TAAAGGCGACTGTTAGAAGGATCGACCAATCTATAATTAGTAAAGCCATCATAGCCCATAAATATAAGCTCCTGCGATCGCGAGGCCATCTTCATATTCGGCTTGGGCACTATTTTTAAATAAGCCTTGCACCCCCATTGGCGAATCCCGCGTGCGGAGGGCAGGGCCCCGAGCCAAGCTTCATACGGGGTAACCGGCTTCGGATCCGGATCCTCTACACTGTTATAGAGCTTGGCTGACGTTGGCATAAGGTTAAGCATTTCGGTCGCCGCAATTACCGCCTCGCCCCACATCTGGGGGGGGGAGGAGGAATCTATTAATAACGTTCGGGCTTTTTCGATAATCAGGCCAATAGAACGTTCGGACACACCATCTTGCTGCGGAGTGTGGGGCGGGGTTGGTTCCCATTTAATACCCTCACTCATCATATAGGCGGCTGCGGTGTTTGAATTCAACTCGCTGCGGTCAGAGTGGATAATCACAACACCGCGATTGAGCAGATTCTTCATAAATTGGTTGAAGGTCCGTATATATTTTAGAGCCTCATTGCGGCGCTCCAATAGGAAGGTCCACCGCATTCGTGTGGCATTGTCAGTGATCACCATCACGAGCTTCTTACCCGCATAAGATGGTGTATCTTCTTCATTACCAAGCGTTTCTCCACCCCCAAATAGGTCCTCCCAGATCTTAAGACCTTTGCGGGTGGCACAGCGTAGCGGGGCGTTTTTATAACTTGCACGTTTATGCTTGGCTTTAACGCACGTGGCGCAGAACGAGAGCTTCTTCGGGCCGATGATGGTGATTCCAAAACGGGGCTCCCACGACATTTTAATTAGATTCTCCTCGCCAATATGGCCCAATCGCTGGTGCCACTCGTCAATCGGTAGCTGCTTCGGCATAATGGCGGGTAGTCAGGTTGGTGGGGACAAAATGAAGGTATCGGTATCCGGATCCTTCGGGTTAATTAGCTGCTCCACGTCATCGCGGTTGAAAAGACCCAGTGATGCAGCGTTCGGATCATAATCCGTTGAAATCGCCCTGGGCTTCGGGACCGCCAAGTATGCCAGTGGTCCAAGCTCCAGATCATTCATAATACCCCCGAACATTGGGGGGGTGTCGGATAGAACATATATATTATTGGAATTCAAATTCGCGTAGAAGATGTCGTTTCCTGTAGGTGCTATTATCTCAAAGTAATTTCCGGCGTCCACCTGCAGATCACGGCGAATATAGCCCTGGCGCTCCAATAGGCCAGCGGATATGAGGTTGGCGGATAAGCCTGGCACCAAATAGACGTGGTCGAATTTGATTAATCTTTCCCCGACTGGGATGGAGGCGACCCCGATCCCTTGAACCTTCAAAGTAGCCTTATTGGCCACTTGAATCGTAGGGCCACTAACCTCTGTTATTTGGGAAAATCGCGATCGATCACACGCAATATGACATCCGGCCCCGCTATCCCATATGGTGAGCGGGTTGGCGATTGGTTCAGCAGAGTACGCAGGCACCCCAATGACCTGCACTAGATTCGCCATTTGGAACGTCTCGGAGCTGCCATTTGCAGTTGGCGGGGCCTTTTTGCCCCCACTACTCTTCTTATTATTATATTTTCCTATTCTCGCCGCGTTGGCGGTCCTCCATTCTTCAGGGGCGCTATCCGGATTGGCTGCCCAGCAGAGCCCGCCATGACGATGCTCGCATTCCGGGCAGATTGGGAGGTCGAAATTTGAACGTCCGCCCATTCGATAGCCTCCGCGTCCCCCGGGTCGGCCCCCACGGGCTGAATTATTTTGGACATTGCTGCTGTTATTGGAACCCGCAGCCGCATTTTCATCCTGAGCCACGTTGGCCGAAGAATTAGCCGCCTGGGCGGCCTTCTTTGCCTCTTTGGGGGGGTTCAATCGAGAGCGTATTTCCTCTATGATCGAATGAACGTCCAACACGACAGACTTCGATTTGGACTCTTGTACCTCCTCGATTTTCTTTTGCACATAGTTTCGCCATATATTGGGAAGTGCAGAATAGAACACGTGGAATACCACGTCATTTGGCAGTAAAATATCGAGTATTTCCAATTTCATAATAACGTCATTGAACTTATCAAAAAACGTGTGTACGTCAGTGACTTGGACACCACCCATTGGTGTAAATGCCAGGACTGCTTCCCTGCAGAGCTGCGTTCTCAGGATGGAGAACTCCTCCTCAACCGCGCGCCAAAGGGAATAAGCGATCCTGCCCTCATCATATTTATTAAAACGGGGCCTAATGCTGGCTGCCAACGCGTTCGAAATGAATGCGTAAAGCCAGCGATTTTTGGCCTCCCAAAAAGGAGCCCATTCGGGGTCCTCATCAGGGCTTTTGACTTGCTTGTCCTCCAATATAACCCAGCATTGAGCGTCAATTAGCTTGGCCTTCATATTCGCATGCCAGGAGAGGTAATTCGAAGATCCGACCAGAGCGTTCGGCTTGGTGGCATACTTAGTGTCCTGTTTGAACTGGCTGATCGCCTTGCTGACGCAGCTATCCAGGTCGTAGAGGTTATATTGCATTCGGGACCTCAAGTTCGGATCCCATGCCGACGGTCGACCCGACGGCGGATTTGCGGGCATCGCGGCCCTGTCATTCAGAGCGCGGAGCCCCTCCAATTGAAGTTGAAGCTGCAATTCTTTGCGCCTCTCTTTTTGAAGTTCTAAATCAATCTTTTGACGTTCGAGATCCAATCTCCTCAGTTGCAATTCTTCGGAGTCAGTTGCCGGCGGCGGGTTAGGGGTCACCGCAGGCGTCTCCACCCCATCTTCTGAAGGAGTCGGATCGGCATATTCGACACGACGTAGGCGGACCGGCCTCACCGTGGTAGGGGCTGTAATCAGCCCGGCTTGCCGATCGGGCGTTTCGGGGGGTCCAATATTGGAACTCTTGAACGCCCCTGGGGGGGGTCTGTGAGCTCAGGACCCCCTGGTCATTTTCAGATCGGTCAGATTGGCTGGATTGGCTCGATCACGACCGCGAGCGAGTCATCATACGTTCCGCCATGTCGTATTAATCTTCTTTATAACGGAGTAATCTTATTCGGCGAGATTCTTGCCTATAAGCTTGATTGAGCGGATTGGGGCACGTTCTTGTGCGATCAGTCGCTGAAAAATTAGCGAGTTGCAGATTTTTTCACCCGCTAAGCGAACGGATTGAACACAGAAAAAAAAAATAATAATATAAGAGCGCGCCAAGTCGATCAATTGACATAAAATAAGACAATATTATATTGAATGAAGCGAGTAGCGATTAATATACGCTATATTTGGCAAGAATTCCCCGAATTGGCAGTTATTTGCGCAATACCGGGCTCATAACCTGTGAAGGATAGATTGCTTGATTGTTTAAGAAGCGATCGCTAGCTACGCGGAAGTTATATACGGTGCGGATTACGTAAGAAGGCGGATAGGCCTGACACATTAAAAAAGACTAAAAATGATAATTAGATTAACATCAAGATTTGATTTTGATAATTATATTATTGTATGTCTTGATAATAAATTTATTTAAATGCTTTAGATTCTGTGAAGTGTTAATAATAATTTCTCTATCTCAGTACAGAAAAAAAATATCTTATATAGCTCTGCAAAGTGATTTGATAAACTTAAACACTGAAGAAAACTCAGTTAAAATATTCTCAAGCTTATCTGCACTCATATCAATTCACTTGATTTCTATGATTTTTTACAAGTTTCAGTGTACCACTTTTTCAGCATACTGTCTTTTAGTGGAGAAAAGTTATTTATTAAGATGTAATTAAATTCACCAGTTTCCGTGTTATTTTGTTTGAGATTTATGATTTCTTCATGACTTTCTATACATCATTTCTTTAGCATATTATCTTCTGATCAGATATGTAGCTGATATAACTTCTGCAATTGCTTTAATTTTTCTCAATTGTGATAAGTGCATTGTCAGATAAGCATGTAAAAAAATGACTCAAGATCATGCTGATAGATATAGTTGATATTAAGCAGCATCTCAATCATTATAAACTTCATTATGCCAGTCTAATACCATGCATCACTTTGCCTGCTCTCAGCTTCTTTAGCAAGATTCAAATCAATTAGCGTATCTAAGTGACTGCTTGTGTTAGCGCTGTCGCTGGTAATATGGGATAAGATTGATCCGTTCCAACCCCAACCATATTTAGTTGATTAGGTTGATCCGCTCCGATCCCCAACCACCTATACATATTGAGCTACTCGTTCATTCTCATATTCTAATCCCCAGTTTAGTATTCTCGTTGCAGCTACCTAGTAGATAGATGAATTGAGCTTTTGTTTTATTACCATCATGCCTCTAGATTGAGCCATGACAGTCTGCCTTGCTTGAATCAATTCTTATTATATTGTTCTCTGAAATATCCTGATGAAGAATGTTCTCATCCAGGTTAAGAGACTGATGCATCTTTATAGTACTGTGAAGTGCCATGAGCAGTTCCAAGGATGATTTGTAGTTATAAATCAGCTTGCTAGTATGTGATACCATAAGACAGCATAGGACACAATTATTGTAGAATTTCTCATCATTCTTGTTAAAGAGGCTTGGCTTATGTGCTGACTGAACAGAGAAAGATAGTTCATTCTCCTGCTGAGTGTCCCTCAACAACTAATTGATGGAGTGTGATAGTTTGGATACCTGCATCTCTTTATCCAGAGATCTGTATTTCCTGGAAGATGAGTTTTGACTTAAGCTACAGAGCTCAGTGAGCGGCTGAGATTGATGAAATGAGAAGGCCGCACTGGGGAGTGCGATTTTGAAGTTATATTGCTTGTTGTCAAAAGTTAGGCTGCAGTGCATGTCAGTGATACAAGTAATGGCATATGGCCAATGATCCTGGTGACTCCTTGGACATTTTTTGACCTGCTAGCTCAAGGAGTTCCGCCTCTGGTCACTGCTTGTCTGACACCCATGAGAATTTGACCACACCCTCCACTTGTCCATCATTTATGAGAAAACATGTTGTCCTATGACACACCATGGCATGCTGAAAAGGAAAGCATTTCACTCAGCTGCAGCATCTTTTCCTCTAAGGTCCCAGGCTCTTTAACAATTACTGATTTGCTGCCATCTTTATCCCTAGCAATAAAGATGTCCAGTCCCAGCTCCTCATCACTCATCATGGTGTAGCCCACAAGCACTTGAAAAAACTGTCTCAAGTCTGTGTAGACATCAATGATGCCTGAGCTGTAGAGGCCTGAGTAGTCAAACACCCACACCTCCATCTTGGTCCCGCAGATGGCGAATGCGTGGATCAACTGCTAGGTGGGCTGGGTGGCAAAAACCTCACACACATAGCAGCTCATCTGCAGCAGGGTGCCTTTTGTCCTGATCTCCTCCGTAGGGTTTTTGAGCTTGTCAATCACCAGGATGTCTCTCCAGTCATGTTTGTTTTGTGAGAGGCTCCCACCTCTAGCTTGCAAAAGAAGGTTGACTTGCTATTCTGTCTTTGAACTGGTAAGATCTGCTTTGCTCACTGTGTTGTAGTAGGTGCTGTGTGATTCTGAGAGCAAGTCTTCTTGAAGATGAAACCACCAGGCAAGGACATCATCCTGTGTAGGAGGATCAAGAAACTGAGCCCAATTACTGTCACTGTCTGGGGCCAGCACACATTGACAGATAGTATCTGCTTTGTCACCCCAGTCTTTTCCTTCAAAGTACTTGACAAAGCCACCCTTGACACCTCGAAATGTGCAGCCATGTGTCTCCTCAAAGATCCTTAAAATCACCAACTCACGCGTCTGCTCGGAGCCTTTCTGTGATGACGAAGTGGATTTGATCAGCGTGCCTAAGGAAGTGGGAGGCATGCTTGCCGGAGGGGTCGCTCGCGAGACAGTGGCGATGAGGTCGAGGACGGCTTTCCAGATCTCAAAATTGGTCGCCTTTTGGATGACAAGTCGTACTAGTGTGCGGCAGTGTTCATAGCTGAAGTCACCATCTTGAAGGCAGGTGAATAATCTTGACAGCTCGGATGATGCAACATTTTTATTGCCTGCTGGTGAACGCAGGTATCAAGATGTTGAGGAGTTTCGATGTTGCATCAATGGCAGGCTTCACGGCTTTCCGTCGTGCCATCATTGTAGTTATGCTCTGCGTCTCGAAGAAGCTTTTCTAGTCGATCAAGTGAATCATTCAAAGGATACCTTAAAATAACGGCGTGATCGTCCTCCAATCGTCCTCCGAAAGGTCTACCCTACAATACGTGTTGATGTTTAATGATTTCCTTGACAAGTCGATGCTCAGAGATCCGCAAAGAGATTTAGGTCAGGTGACTTAGTGGGTCGCAAATTACTCTTAAACTTTCAAGCCCAATCACTAACTTCCACTCTAAAAGCGATATTTCTTTACAAAATAATTATATTACAGACATACGCAGCCCAATAATTTTTTTATAATTTAATGAAGAATATACCATAAAATGATAAAACAAGTTTAATTTGAGAAAAGACAAACTATGCCACTGCAGATTTTTGTAAATGTAACTGATATTAAATTCAATAGACTTCATCCCTTATCTCAGATATGAGTTTCAAAACTTCAGTGAAATAAGAGAGAATCTTTGCCTTGCAAGAGGGATTTGATTCGGTGGATTTACTTTATTTTTTTTACCTTTTACTATCAGATTGTTACTGTTTCTCTTATTTATTCTTTACTCTCTACTATAATATCAATCTTCGCTCGACTTGCAATGGTATTTTTTTTGGTTAGGGGGTTATATCAAATGTGAATCACCTTGATGCAATAGAAAATCCATCAAACATCATGTCAAAACTCTCGCTCTCCTTTCTTCTTTGTTTGAGTAATTTCAGAACTGTTTGCTCTCAGACATGCCACCAAATTGGATTTTGTACGTAAATTAGCAGTAGAGAGACATGCATGAACATAGGGGTGAGAAAAGGGGGGAAGAAAAAGTGGACGTCATGGATTACTAAGCCAATGAGATTCCACACTCTGCTCCGTCAGAATAGATAAGTTACACTGATAACAGCCAAGCTGAACTAGCGCAGGAACGGGCTGGTCGGAACTTTTTATCCACATATCCGGATTGCCAACCTTATCGTATGGCTGGACATCCTCCACCACACTTCCCGCACAACTTAACTAGACATCTGATTTAACATGTGTCTCGGCTTTGCATACCGCTTCCTCCTTGCCATCTGATAAAGCAGCCCAACCTAGCTATACAAATCACCTTTTTACCTATCCAACCGGCGAGAAGCAAGGCGGAGGAAACCAAACGCTCATCATGGGAGCATGGCTTCACGATTGATTCGGTTGATCATGGAAATTTGACATCATGGCGACCCAGTGAGTGAAAGTACGAATTCATCTCAATGATTCCTTGCTGAATGGAGAAGAATCTCAAGACTGATAAAACCAACAGTTGTAAATTCGGTCCCCAAAGCTGAACCGTCTCAACCGTTCGACTATGTCGTTGTCACAATGAAAACTATCCCAGAACTATGCAGCATTCCAGAAATCATCCAGCCAGCTGTAACGCCAGGACATACTAGTATCGTCCTGATCCAAAACGGAATATACATTGAGGAAGACTTTATCAAAGCATTCCCAACCTGCGTCCTGCTCTCGGGTGCTAGTTACATAGGTGCTCAACAGCGAGATGGACATGTAAGCCACAACGACCGCGACTGTATGGACCTGGGAGCCTTTCGCAATCCATCCCTGGATGCCTCACTCGAGAAAGCAAAACTCGACGAATTCGCCACGGCATACACCACTAGCAATTTCGTCGAAGTCAGAAAAGTAGATGACATTGTGTTTTACTGATGGCGAAAGTTATTGTGGAATGCCACGTTCAATCCCCTGTGTGCCATTACGCAGCTAGACAGCACAGCAATTAGGCAATTTGGCAGTGACTACAGCTTAATTCGGCCTGCTATGGCAGAAGTCGTAGCCATTGCAAAGGCTGATGGTTATGATCTTGGTAAAGGCGTTATTGATGACATGATTGAGACAGCTCCGATTGAACTTTCGTTCCGGCCCAGCATGTTGGTTGATGTGGATAAGGGAAATCCGGTCGAGGCGGAAGCAATACTGGGTAATGCTTTACTGGTTGCGAGAGCTAAAGGGGTTCCAACTCCAATACTAGATAACATTTATCGTTTCCTCAGGTTAATACAAGCTCGTCTTCTGGCTTCACGGGGGTTGATAAAGACCCCCAAGGAATTGCCTAAGAAAGATTTTATTTAGCACCATATGATGCCAAGTTTGAATCATGGAATGCGGTTAACCACATTGGTATTGATTTGTATATATTCGTACAGTTGCATGTAAGACTACCCCTCAAACATGATCCCCTTTTTTTGCACCTATCAAAATGCTCAAGAACATAAGACATAACGCCTTTTGATCATAAGGATATGAATTTTGTTGTTGTGTACGTGAAATGAAGAGTGATAGATATGCAAAGCAGCTAAAAATGTTTTAACCTGGGATCACTCTAATTGCCTGAAAGAAAATATAAAACCTCAGAATCCATTCTAAAAATCCTCTCACTTTATCATAGACTATCATCTATATGACTGATTACTTTATTATTTAAAGAAATTATAAACAGATTAATATTTTTAGATTCTCTACAGAAGCTGAATATATCTCATTCTTAGAAACTGTTTATGAGCTAGTTCAATCTTTAAGAGCTTCTAGCTGATGCTGAATTTCTACTCTTCTAATTTAACAAGTTAAATATTGCTAACAAAGCTATTCTATTCTCAGCTAATTTTTTCATTTTTACTATTCAATATTCATAACAAAGTTCACTATAGAGATCTCTTCTAGTAAAGCTATATCACATCAATTCAAGCATATGATCAACTAAGTCCACTAAGTTCGCCTTGGTAATTACGTTACGCTGTATTATATATTAATAAGCAGACAAACGGGCCACCGAATTAAACTTTGACCGTTGGTCCCAAAAGAAAGAAAAGTGCAGTGGCCCCATACTAATTTATTACGCCAGGATTACATACGGAGCTCCAACTTGCCAAATCGACCGTTTACTTCGCCATCATCATCTTTTCACTCTGCATCTCCTCTATCTCTGCCTGTAAACTCTACCTTCACTTTTGCTCTCCTCACAAGTAAAACACCTATCACTTTACTTCCTCCCTTCTACTAATTTCCCTCGTTCCTGAAGCCCTTGGTACTTTTGTTAGTCCAACATTTCATCACCCTTTCGCTTACCGCCACATCTCCTGATTGCTTATCATCAAACGAAAACAACTTAGTTTCTTTTCATAGTCACACAACCTCCTTCGATCAATATGTCTGAAGACTGGGACTCCGTAACCCGTATTGGAAGCAGAGTCCGTGGGGGTGGTGGTGCTCAACCCCGTGAGACAGTTGTCAGAGGCCGATCTGCACTCAACGCCGCCCAGAGATCTGGTGCTATTATTGCAACCGAGAAGAAATATGCCACCGGGAACGCTGTACGTGCTTCCCCTTTTAATCTTTCCGTTATATTTTACTTTATGTGGTTATTATCTGTTCTACCATTGCTGAAAACTAACTGCTATTTCCTTGTGAATTCCAATATATAGACCACTCGCCCACGCGTGGAAGGTCAACTTCTCACCAAAGTCGACCGAAGTGACGACATAGTCCCGCTGAAGGGCATCCCCCGCGAGGTCGGAATGACCATCCAGCGTCGCCGCAACGAAGAAGGGTTGACCCAGAAGGAACTCGCTGTTAAATGCAATACTACACAGCCGGTCATAGCTGCTTTGGAACAAAGCAACCCAACAGCGGATAAAAGTGTCATTCCACGAATTTCCAGGGTACTGAATGTCAAACTTAGTGGCCGTGATATTGGGAAGGAACTTTTTCCGAAGAAGAAATGAAGAGTGTCTGGAGGGTGAGGCTCCGGGTGCTCTTTTTGAATGAATTTCGGGATTTTGTTTGGATAGAAACAAAAAATTGTTATATGATGATATGAGGGAAATACGATTTTTGTTTTGCGGTTTCCTTTCAGTTGGAACTTAACTATATATATGCAGTTGCATAGTAGTAATAGATTATTAAATACATAAAAATGAGAGGAATGATTTCATAGCAATGCTTATCACTGCTCTTCATTTAAAACCGTTTCAAATAAGATGCCCTTTCTAGAGAGCGTTGCTTGATTCTATCTATTCCATTTGTCAAAATTACAAACAAAAGAGGTAAAAAGGTATAAAACAGCAAATTTGAGGTTGTTTGAAGGATGTTAAGCTTAATAGCACAGCGTTTCCCCGTACACTTTTCATGTGCCACCCAGGGTGACTTAGGCCTCCCTCCTAACCTACTACCCAAACATATCTGCCACCCCTGTCAGATCCGGCCCGTTATTGATATTGACCTTGATATCTTCTTGCCCTTCCATTTCCGTTGTGTACCGTGCTTGCAGAATAGATCTGGGTTCCCTTTGAACAGTTTTGGGAACAGTAATGCGCCCTTGTTCACTGATACTTACACCTCGCAAGCCCTCTAATAAATCAAGAACTAGCGCTCTTTGCTGCCTTCCAGACTCGGATTTCTTAAGTGCCGCCAGTGTGTCCTCAACTTTGCTCTTAGACATGTCTGGCAAGCTCTCTATGATCCTCGTCGGCGTGTTGCTGCTAGCCCCGTAGAGAACCCAAATGGAGGCAATAAGCTGTGCAAGTTCCTTCTGCATGTCGACGAAGTAAGGATCATGTACGGACGTAATGCATGCTTTAAGGATATCTGTGCTGATGAATTCGCGGATACTTCTCGTGGTAGGGTTGTCGACGTTGAGGACAAACACTTCCAGGATCGATCGGATAACACGCGTAATGATAGCAGAAGATCGTGTGTCCTTCATGCGAATGGCGTGTGTGCAAAAGATAATTACTGGCTCGAGAATCTGAGGGGTTGAGAGAATGAAGTTGCGCATTGAATCGGAAGGGGACGGCTGGTTAGTAATACCGTTCTGTTTGGTGGATTCAGACCCTTTCTCTGGATCTGTTCGTGAATGTGTTAGATTTTGAGAACGGGTGAGCTGTTGAATTAGGCTGGGGGAATACCTACCTCTACGTTGCGGATCAAGAAGACTGGCCACCATAACCGCAACCGAATGTGTGAGTTGGCGCAGGATACTTTCGTCCTTCATCTCCTCTGTTAGATCAGCATCCAGCATACCAGACTTTTTATGCTCGATTATATCCCATTCATTAGTTAACTTTTTGTCGATCTGAATAAATAGCGCAGATAAGATCGGGGTTAAGAAATTGATTCGATATCTCTCAGGGCAATCGTCAATTAGACAGCGAGAAATATTGAGAAGCATAGATAACTGATGGGAGGAGAGACACGTGGCATCTTTAAATAATGCTTGAGAAAGGGGGACAGGGAGTTCTTCGAATGAATAGAAATGATCGCGGAGCCTGCTCATGCTGAAAAGAATGGAATAACAAGCTTCTCGTACAGCTCTAACTTTCCCTCGAACGGAGGATGAAAATCCTTCAAGTGTAGCCTTGGAGGCAGTGATACGTGCATAGAATTCCTCTTTACTACCACTTGAGATGCCCGCTTGCCAAAACCGATCCGTGAGGATTCTTCGAACGAGTGGACGCATATTTGGTGACAGCTCAGGATAGCTGTCTGGGTTGTGGAACGCATGTGCGTGGCTACGCTGATCAGTCTAGGTTCGAGAATTGACAACTATCTTTACATACCTGAGAAGCTGAAGCAATGTCGGGAGAATAAGAGGGATTGATTCCCGCCATAAATCGCATGCAATTGAGTATGCTGGGTCGTTAACTTGTATCTTTTCTGTGGATACGGATAACATTGTTTTCGTCAGGCGCAGTGGAAGTCGCTAGGAAAATTAGCTTAAGTCCCGCTGATTATATTAAAACCGGGGGATGGTACTTGAAAATTTGATGTCATAAGGGCTTGTATCTTCTTTCCCTCCTCGTCGAGAGGTATCGCCAACCAATCTTCTATATTTTGAGCCTGTAGACGCTCTAGGTAAGGCCAAATTCGGTCTAATCCAAGAATTTGACAAAATCCTTCAAAGGTGGTTGAGCTCTGCTTAAACTCTTCGTTGCTCCAGGATTGTCTGATCGGTTCGATGAACAATTGTAGTCTAGACTGTCGTACAACAGAATCTACTTGTGGTGCCCGTTGCCTGCCTACAATCAGTTCCCACCTCCTCCATATCACTAGCGTATACTAACATTATTATAAGCAGGATAGCAGAAAGCTCCATATGGGGCTTCTCCTCCCCATTAGACGCTGACACAATCTCTTGAACTTTTGGTTCTAGAGCATCATAAAAGGTCTGGACTTGTTAGCGATGCCCATATTCTGCAGTTGGGGTCAACGTACTGAAAAATAACCAGCGTAACGTATAGCCAGCCGGCGCACTTCGCAGGTAGCTACACTGTAAAGTTCTTTCACGGCTTCAGAATAAGTTGGACATTCTGGACGATCCACCGGGTTGATCGTCAGAATATGCTCCAGAACCTTGAGAGCAAAACTTGGCTTATTTTTCAACGGCTTATAAGAAAAGTCAACTGATAACCTTATGACTCGTTCTTTGATAACAGGGTCCTTTTCCTAATTTAGCCAATATATTGGGAACAACAGGAATATAGTGGCACTTACGTCGAAATTCTTCTGCAACAGATTGAGCGCCCATAACTCGAGGGAATTTTCTAGACCAAGCCGTTGTTGTTCCTGATGTTGAAGTCAGCATCAAGAACATCCATCATGAATAGAGATACGTACATCCTCTTGCGGCGTTTTCCCGAGGGTATCTACCCATTTGTTGAACCCCCTTAGCGTTGCCTCAACTACCGTGAACTGGGTATCTGCTTGCAACGACGGAGGCGAGTATTTTTTAAAGTTTGCCGCTAAATTTATCAGCTACAGCCTTGTAGTAAAGTAACTGGTAATGCTTACGATTAAAAGGACCAGTTGAATTATAGAGATTGTTAAGGACATAATCTGCTCTGGTTAGTATATGTGGGATCGCTTCATGTGGTCGTTGAAACACAATCAGTTCAATCGTTTGGGAACAGTATCGTCGATAATTCCCAACAAATGCATGCCTTTCCGGTGTGGTATCAATATCTTCATTAAGAAATATGATTGTGGGATCATTGGTATTCTCAGGTAAAGTTTCGTAGCGAACAAGACGTTGAGTGCAAATCTCAAGTATGGGTGCAATAAGTCCATGGATGACATCCAAGCCCGTGATTCTGGAAGATACCAATAGTCTTGACCACGAATGAAGGACGGGTATAGACACGGTCAGGCTTGGATGCCGAAGGATGTTGACTAGGAACGGGAAAAAGAACCCCAAATCGATGTTCTGGTGAAAATCGAAGTTTTTCTCTTCAAGGAATCCGGAAATATAAGACATTAGCTAAGTCATAGGTCAGCTGCTGGAATTCCAATAAACAACTATATGACTGTCGATGGTTACCTCTGATAGTTTTTTAGATATACTGTATTTCACATCCGAAATGTCGTTTACATCAACAATCGACCAGTTATAAACGTTTTGGAGCAACTGGAGATTATCAGTTTGATATACCAGATTGACAAGGGCCTGAAACTCGGCCATATCATAGCTTGTCCTGCTATATAGTGCATGGAGAGCTTCAACTGCGGCCTGCGAAATTGTCTATTAGTAAATTCGTGGAAAGACAAGAGTCAAGTTAAACGGAGGGAGGAGGGAAAGATACTTACCATAAGAATATCCTCATCCTGAGATTTTAAAGCTTTGAAAGTAGTTTCAACACACATGGATGTTGATATCGCCAAAGGAATGGACCAAAACATCAGTGATCGAAGAGTTGCTAAAGCTTTCGCAGCGCATATTTTGACTTCGCGAGAGCCGTGGATGTTATCGAGACAATCGCTTAAAAAATGACATGTCCTCAAAAGCCAGCCTTCGCTTCCGTGGCGTAGCTCGATGTGGTGCTCTCTCCTTGGGTATATTTGTTGGAAAACAGAGTACGGCGTAACTATTTCGACAAGTGCACGATTGAGATCCGTACCACGAAGTGAAGAAATTGTATCTTCGTGATGAAAAGTATCCTCAGATAAAGTTTCTAAAATTGAAAGAACGAATTTCTTGTGCGCCAGAGAGATATCCCAAATTTGAACCAGGTTTCTATCCATCTCTATCCACTCGAGACCCCAGCTCCGTTTTGCTATTTCTACCCATAAAAGTGAGGTCTTGTTGCTGATAAAAGACTCATCTTGAGGACTGATTGATTGGGCCAAATTCAAAATTATCACCCTTAGATGTTCCAGTTCTGGAGGAGACAAACCTGAGGAATTATGTCTGAGAACATGCTCAAGTAGAGATAGGCCGAAATGGCGGAGGACTGGAGAGTTGCTCTTCTGTGATGCCAAGAAATGGCCAGTATGGACTGCTGATTTTGAATTTTTCTGAGATTCGAGGAATTCGGAAGCTTGATGGCGGGTTTCGTTAGTCGATGACCTACTATGAATGATACTAAGAGCTTGTATGATATTTGACAACACAGAATCCGATGATATGTTGGTGCCGCCTGCAACTTCAAGATCCAGTGGTAGAGGGGCAGGCCCGGCCATGCTGTTTCTATTTCTCAATGAAGAGAAAGCAACGGAGAAAATGTTCTGAACGGAAAATACTTATATCAATAATTCATAGTTTCGTGTCGACGCTCTATGAATAGTGGCGGGACGTATAGCTCGCTGAGCAATAGGCGGGATGAACTTCACGAGCAACTGGTCTATAATTCCCAGCGATGGAATTTTGTTTGTTTGGATATAAATCACTAGCTTGAGGCCTTTCCTAGCATCTTCTATGATACCTGGTAAGCCAGTTGAGATGGATCTGCCTGCGGATGTGTCTGTTCGGCGACGCGACTTGAAAGGTTGTTGGAGGTTTGGGCGACCGCCTGGCAAAAAAAAAAAATAGAAATTGCGGGTTGTCGGCGACCCGCCTTGGCATATTTTCCCGCCGCCACGAGCCACCCTCAACGGCCGCACTTCATCAACCACATCTCCGAATTCAGCACTTTGATTTCTTGTTTTGTCTTTTATTGGTACTTAATTCTGATATGCCGTTTTACTAGTAAACGGTTCAAATGTGAAAACGAAAGGAGTTCATTTTCACCGTCCCCAATTCACTTTCCGTACCACCAACCTTGATGCGTGACTGGCAGTAAGCCTGCCTCATCTGTCCGTCCCTCGAAGGATTTGGTCGCTTTTCAGATGAGGAATATAGAAAATGAGTATTGATGACCGTTGTAAATGTGTTCCAGATTTTCAGTCGACTCGGATCGGCACTTGTGAACGCATCCGCTCGGTCTCCGCCTCTCCTTCGTTCTACTTGGCATTCCACATCGATATTAGAACCGCCGGGGATGCTCTCGGGCTTCTAAACGGTCCCGGATTCTGCGTTACGAACCAGCTATGACAAGTAGCAGTTTTGTTCTCGTTAACTTTGTCAATGCCTACACCTTGCGACCCCATTTCGCTGTTAAACTACAACCTGCAACAACTAAACGGGGCCAAGAACAATAAGAATTAAAATCTTCCCATTTCCTATTGGGCCACAATATTGTGTAGGCTCCATCCTGAATCTGGAGTAACATGTCCGCTTGGGCCTTAGATGCTTGAACTGGTCCTTTGCTTGGCCTGGCGGATATTAGCTAACAATCCGGACGGTTAATATGGCTTATCCTATACTTTTTCTAGCCCATTAGATCATGTCAGAATTCTGTTTATGCTCGCGAGAAACTAAGTCTCGATGAGATAATGGTGCGGATATCATGAACGTCTGATACTCCTAGTCTAGAAGGATAGTCATTTGTCAATCTAGCTAAGCAAATGATATATTACCTACGACTAATTGGGGTGGATAGAGTCCATGGGGACGCCATATCAGTGGATATCATGGCCTCCACAATTTGATCTGACATCTAGTTTTTAATACCAACGCTGTGCTCATCAATTCATCAACTGAAAAAGCCCACAGCTACATATTTCTATCTGGTTGGAAGAATAGTAATTCCCAATCTCGTAGTTTTAAATAGGAATAAATACGCTCGTCACTCAGTTACTCAGCAGTTCTGCTGTTAGGGCATTTTGATACACTAAATTATATCTACAATGGCTGTGTGGAATTTTTCTCTAATCTGTATACTCCAAAATATTAACGTTCTGAAAATTTCAAAAACTGAATAGGCACTGCCCCTGGGTTTAAATAATTTGCAGATTCGAGGTTGCAAATGCCGATATCAGCTCCGCAGGACACCCAGCTGGAGCCACAAATCTGAGACAAAACAATTATCTCGACATCGAGTCTAATTTAATGACATGAACGACGTGCCTCAAAACGCGTAATCACCGAACTGGTCACTCAGGCGCTGGTTACCAGCTGTTACATACATAGGTAGATATCCTTGATAGCAATGTCCTCCCTAATAGCCCTGTGTGCCTTAAGAATTGACTTCTTTTGGTCCAGTGGTTTTTTATAGCTCACCCGCAAACATCGACCTCCTGTACCGCTGCGGTTTATTTCATCAGCTCCAACCTGTTAATATATATCTTCCTCTGTTCTGTATATTCAAGAATGTGAATGGAGCTATATCCATGATAATTCCATGATAATTGGGATAAGACAGCATTTGGTATGAAGAACTTTGGAATTGTTGGTAATGTTGAGTTCTCGAACCCACTAAGAATAATTCCTGAGTAGCCAAAAATAGATTCTAGGATTGTTCCCCTCAAGGGCAACTAGGAACCTTGGAGGTATAGTAATTCAGTGGAAAAATGGACAAGACGAAATGAAATGAATAACATCAGTGAAGCATACATCACTCTTCAAAAATCATGATAAACATCATAGAACTATCAGTTTGTTCAGCTAATGAGTCAATTGCAACATCATCAAATATAATGAGAGACAGTCATAGATTGTGAATAGTAGTCCAGGAATCAATGCATAGAATTTTCAGGCTAAAATGAGACTCACCTTCTGCTACCAAGGACTGGTGCATTTCACCACTGTTGCTTTCAACAAGGCATTGAGATATTAAAGCATGAAAGCGATTGAGAAATGATTTAGCAACAGAGATAAATGCCATGGATGTGCAAATTAGTAGATATAAAATCACTTTCAATAAAATAGCATTTATAAAAATATGTGTTGAGGGCACCTTGCGGAAAAGGGATGTTCTAAATTTTCTCCTTAGTGACAATTACCTACGTTGTTAGTTAACCTCACCCTCTTTGACATTTTTCTACCAACTTATCACACCAGAAAGGGCCCAAGAGCCACCGTAATATATATCAACTCCTTCACCAGAACGCCGTAATTGGGAAACAGAGAGTAAATACTCATTTCCTTTCTGTAATTAGACTCTGATTCAAATCGAAATAAAGTCTCCAAAAACACAGAAGAAACGATCCCCCCGGGATGGTTCGACATAGCAAAGCAGAACCCGTCCGTCCCACTTGGTAGTTGAGAAAATGGAATATTGGATCAGAGAATACAATATCCAACCCCTATCAAGGCAGTCTTATAACTGATCTGCAGCGAAAGTTTCACGCCACAGGTAGTTACACACCCGCTGAATTGATCTTAAATTAAACGCCCAAATGTGTCCTTTTAAGTAGAGCGGATCATGCATGGCAAGAGTTAATGAATTGGATTCACATTCTTGCTGGCACTGCACATTGAATCTCGCTGTTGCAAGATCACCAGTGTGACAGAGGCAAATGATATCATAAGGAAGTCTGGAAATGTATGTGTGCTGTCGTAGTGGTTTCACCTTTTAAATCAATTGATGTGTTGTAGATAGATAGTTAACTAACTAGTTAACTACCTAACCATATTTAGTAAGCGGCTGAAGCGGGGGACAACTAAGCACAAACCCCTTCCATTTCTTCTAACATGTTCAATTCTACTTTGTAGCCTAGATGCAAGTTGACTGGCAATGTTTCTGTAGAGTGTCTGAAGGTTGCCATTTGTCATTCTTTCCTTGGAAGTTCCACCGTCGCCTATGTTCATCATCGTATACATATTTGCCCCTGACAGTTGCCCTCTCTGTACGGACTTTGCCAACCATGAACGGCAGACCCACGCAACGGAATGCATTCCAACGGTTGGAGAAGGTTTGTGCAAAAATTCCGAGAGCTGAGGGAGGTTACTATGGCATTTAGGCTGATGAAATGACTATATAGCTCGGTGAAGGCACTTATGCAACTGTATGTTTTCAATGGAAATATCTTACGCTCGCTTACTCTAACTCCAATGTTCGTTATAAATTACTCCTCAGAAGGAGGTTGTCTAACATTTTATGTCTAGGTTTTCAAAGGGAGAAATCGTCAGACCGGTGAGCTGGTGGCTTTGAAAGAGATCCATTTAGACACAGAGGAAGGCACTCCATCTACTGCAATCCGCGAGATCTCTCTGATGAAAGAGCTCAAACATGAGAATATCCTCTCTCTTTATGACATCATCCATATTGAGAACAAGTTGATGCTCGTTTTCGAATTCATGGATAGGGACCTGAAAAAGTATATGGAGATGCGGGGTAACCATCTCGACTATGCCACCATTAAGGATTTTATGCACCAACTACTGCGAGGTGTTGCATTTTGCCACCACAATAGTGTCCTTCATCGGGACCTCAAACCCCAAAACTTGTTAATAAATGTTGGGGGTCAACTGAAGCTTGCGGACTTTGGTTTAGCACGAGCTTTTGGAATTCCGGTCAATGCATTTTCGCATGAGGTTGTCACTCTGTGGTATCGTGCTCCAGATGTACTTCTTGGAAGTCACATGTATAATACCAGCATTGATATATGGTCTGCAGGATGTATCATGGCTGAGATGTACATGGGACGTCCATTGTTTGCCGGATCCACGAATGAGGATCAACTGCAGAAAATCTTCCGAATTATGGGCACGCCTTCAGAGCGTTCTTGGCCTGGGATCTCACAGTTCCCCGAGTACAAGCCGAATTTCCCTGTATATGCCACTCAGGAATTGAGCCTCATACTTCCACTGGCTGATCATGTGGGTCTTGATCTACTTAATCGCATGCTGCAATTACGGCCCGAAATGCGGATAAGTGCCGCTGACGCTCTCCGCCATCCCTGGTTCAACGATCTGCCCCAACTTCGATATCAGATGCAATATCAGCCACATTATCAACAAAATTATCAACAAAGTTATCAGCAAAATCATCAGCAAAATCATCAGCAAAATTATCAGCAAAACTATCAGCAAAATTATCAGCAAAATTATCAGCAAAACTATCAGCAAAACTATCAGCAAAATTATCAGCAAAATTATCAGCAACATTATCAGCAACATTAGTGGACGTATCAGTATGAGCTATAGTCTTATGGCGAATTCATATGGACGTGGATATCCATCTTATTTGGATGTTGAGGTGATAAACCTGACAGAAGCACAATATACCCGACCCTTCCCTTTTTTCTTTCTTCTTCTTCTTTTCTTTCTTTTCAATTATGGCACAAAGCCCTTAGACATATTCATAATTCTACAAATTTTTCTTCATTTTTGCTTGCCCTACATTTTCGCTGTCTCTTTTTATTTCATATTTTTCGTTTACGAAATATTGTTGATAATCTACTGTCATTTGTATTCCCTATTTCTATATCCTCTGATGAACCTGAACCCGATTAGTTACTAGTAACCTCCCACCATTGACTTATCGCAGCATTATTGCTGACACTTTACTCCGGAATTCGCTGTCCATCGACATAGCAATTATCTAGATATTTATCCTCCTAAATCGGCAACTTGCGCATACAGGGTTTTCCAATTATAGACTACCATACTACCATTTAGCGGGCTGTTCCACGCTGTTCCCAACCTTCGCACGCTCTCCCGAGGACAGCAACGCTGAAACAGAAAAGCTTGATATATATATGCGGTCTCTTTATGGAGAAAATCTTTCTATCGTGCCAATGAATCGAGGGTTGAAGTTAGCTGCTTTAACCCCGTAGGCTAATCAGATACCTGTTCCAGCAAACGGAGCTGACAGCTTTGCTGCGAACAATATTTTCCAGTTGACAGCGAGCCCACGGTATATGCTTTTACGCTCTATCTCGTGGTGACATGTTAGCAGAGGGCAATGTCATGGGATTCTTAGGCAATGTTTCTGAAAAGCCCAGCCGTATATATCTTTGTCAACTGTGAATGCAAATGTTAGCCAGAAGTCAACTGGACATCGATATTTTTGTAAGTTAATAATTCAAGTGGAAGAATACCAATGGTGCCCGAAACTGGATTGTAGTATCTGAAGTTAACTGACGGGAAATCGGCACCTTCATACTTCTATCGATGATCGGCTGGAAGTAAAAAGTAGAATAAAGGTTGTTGTAGATGAGATAAAAGAGTTGCATGGTTTCCAATGGATATCCTGGGACTTAAAGACTAATGAAAGAGATTATACACAGGACAAGAGTCGAAGACCGGAATCAATAGGAGTATTCTTACGCTCCTCTTTATTGAAGGAAATTCGTATATATCAAGGTTGCCTCTGAGTGAAAATTTGTACGCAAGTGAAGATAAAGAATACTGGGGAAACGAAAGACACAGAAATAAAGAGTGAAAGTTAACAAACACCGAAACTCGCTTATCCAAGAGGCAGTATAATGAACCGAAACCAGAATAAATAATAGTAATAGTGATAGTAATAAAAAAAACACTAGAGAGATGGAAAGGTCAAGAATCCCAGACCTACATCACGCTGCATGAACCACGCTGGCACTGCTCAAGGTATCCTTCGTCTTCACTGGTGTCGGGGACAATCCCTGCTTTGCGCTTTGGTCCCGAAATTTTGATGTTTTGGTCACCCTCTGCATGCCACCATTTCAATATTTGCATGGTCCCTGACCCGACCTCTTGAACTTCAAAAACCCATTTTCCACCACTGGCCACCACCTCAATGTGCATTCTTGGGTAGTGCCACTCGGGGAGGTAGATTATTGAAGGCGCATCTTCTGGTGTGGAAGTTTCGGCTGATAACGAGAGTGTAAAGACGCAGTTTCGCAAATCGAAGCCATATTCCTTCACGTTTCCATGGGTGAGGAGGGGACTTGGCCGGACAAACGCTTCAGCTGCACGGTAGCCAGGTTTGCCTGTCAGTTCTAAGGTTGATTGTATCGTTTGGGTTATGGTTTGGCTAGGAATAGCCTTTTTCAGATTTTCAGGAGAGACTTGATCAGTCGTGGTGCTTTGACTAGTGGAGAATGTAGGGGAGTTGCGATCCGAAGAAGTTGATGATCGATTCTGCGGTACCTCTCCAAGTACGCTAGGATTTGGAGGGAATTCCAGGTCGTCTGCTGAAAATATGGAAAGGTCTTCACCGTTCCATCGATCCCCCCATTGATGACAATTCTGCAATAGCCATTTGAGTTAGCCATTCATTGTTTCCCCCTTATTTTAATGGGTTATCTCCGTACCTCTGATGCATAGCACCATAGGGAAAAGCCATTTGACCCGCTTCCTTCTATAGCAAAGTGATTGGCATCCATGGCGCTGGCTTGACTGCTAAAATCGCCAGTTATATACGCATTTTTATCATCCATGTCGTACGGGATGCCAAGTTCGGTGAAGACCATTGGATGAAGTCCCATATAATTGAAGCTCTCATTACGCAAAAATCGTAGCTGGTCCCGAAGACAATTTCTTATCGCAGTTTCTCCAAGTTTAATGGCGAATATAGGACTTAGATACTTCCCTCTTATAACCCCAACGACATCCACATTATAAACTCGATTCCTAGGAACATCTGTTAACAACACGTTGTTCTAAGAACACGAGTGTCCACTCACCAATGCTTCGTCATGAGGGTAAGCCCATCGTACTGATGGGCAGCATGGACCATGTTCGGATCATCATCTTCAGTTCCCTTAATAGAAGGTGGAAGCTCCAAAACGGCAGGCTGGCAAAATATAATAGAACTGGTATGTACACTGCGAATCGCATTCTTGAAATTTCGGTAGTGATTCATAAAATATTTGTTCGTAAAGCCTTCGTAGTCGAGGGATTTACCAGTCTCCGGGTCTTTGGCAAAGTAATCCTTTTTCAGGATCGTGTCTGTGGAGGGGTCCCAGACTCCGTGCTGGGCCCAGAGGCATTCACCTAATTTCCATTGGGGATCCCTTTTCCAGCCGTAGAAGGTATCGTTATAATCAGCCGGTAACCAAGCTTTTTCACCCTTTGGATCGACAAGTTCCCTTCCAATCTGATAAGGCCCAAAGCTACCAAAGCCCCAAGTGCTCACTTCGCATGCACGTCCCGAACCAGTCAGCATCCCTTGAAATGCAGTTGGGGAAGTGCCAAGTTGGAGTTGTTGTTCTGGAGGGATAACGGAGATGTCCTGAACTCCTATTAGCCCTCTATTTACTTCATTCATATTTTCCCAACCAATGACAACTTCATCTTCGAGATCACCAGCCTCATGGATTCGAGTTGCCAAATGTTTGCAGGCATTGATGTAATGACTCTGAAGGAAATCTTGAATATTTTGGCCGTTGATAATCGCCTTTGGTGCAAAGTCCTTTCCAGCCCAGAAAAGGGTGAATATTGTTTGACAGACCAGACGAGTATAATTCGTACTCCAGACCATTTTCGGGAAGGAAGCAGGGTCTGGGAGGTATGTGTTTTGCACAAGAGCAGCCTGGGTAACATTGAAATTTCGAGGATTAAAGCCCGCCGCATATATTGTCCACATGGGCGCACCTGAGCCGCCAGAAAATCGGGACCACTACTTTCCTTATCTATAAGCCTATGATATAGTCGACTGCGGAGAATTCAACGGACGTACCACATCCTGATGAGGGTCCATATAGACATAAAACCCATATTTCTTTGCAATACGTAATATTTCAATTGTGAACTTGATGAAATCCTCATCATATTTGCCCGGTCTGCTATGTTCAAGTGCCTCCCAGGTAAAGATATATCTGATGCTATTGTAGCCCCATCTCTTTAATCTCGTAAAGTGAATGTGTGCATCTTTCAGCTCGAAAGGACGGCCAACGAAGGAAACATTATCCCCATCGTAAAAATTTTCCTGCACATACGAGGGTATGTCGGGCTTTTTCGGGTATTTAGAGCCAGCGTCAACGTTGATTCCTCTCAGTGTGACCTCTCTATTCTGCAGGTCCCGAAAAGTGCTTCCTTCGATCCTCAACTTTAGGGCTGCCATTAAATTGTGATTTCCAGATTGGGAATTAGAAGGCTTCGAGAACTAGGAGACGGTGTATTGCGGAGTACGTTGGCAAGGGGTAGCCAGGGAGGAATATTGAACTGGATAGGCTTTAGTGAGCGTCGGTAGTGGCATAGAACTTTGAGCTATACTTGGCTAATTTCATCCACTTAGACAATCAGATAACTGTTGAACCTTGGTGAATGTTGGTTGCAGCGAGTCTGATTGCTTTGCAGATAAAAATACGGAGCTGGGGATGTCCTTGTCAAGGTGGTAAGCGTTTTGGCAGCAATAGTCTGCGGCTGATGAAATCCACCGCCTTCCCATCCACTTCTCCACCATCTAGTTAACGTGATTCACCACTCAATGAGCCACACCATTCAATGAGCCGCATTTTAATCAACAGCTTTAGATTGAATGTTAATTTTTACAAATTGCTCTGAATAACTCTCGATCTCATTCAAAGTTCTTACTGCCAGATTTCAAATAAATTGCTAGTAGTTTATATTGCTAAATTTAAACATATTATCTATAAATTTAAAATTAAAAATTAATTAAATATTTTAAAACTAATTCTTTAAAAATATCTTAATTTTTTGTTAATATTTTAGTATGTCAATTTATAATTTTTTTAATTTAGTAGTTGAATTTATTTTATATTTTTAAAAAAATTTTATATATTATTTAGTTATTAAATTTTAAATTTTTTATTTATTTTTATTATATACATTTTAGTTTTTTTTTATTATAATTATTTTAATTATTATAATTTTATAAATTTAAAATAAATTCAACTTCACACTTTTAACTTTTTATATAATATTTTTTTTATCATATATTTTAATAATTTTTTTTTTTTAAAAAAAAATACTATCATAAAAATTTTATATATATAATAAATCTTATAATTATTAAGTTAAAAATTATTTTTTTATTTATATTTTTTAAACTTTATTACTATTATTAAACTATTAAATAAATTTTAGTTTATAAATAAAAATTTAATAAAAATAATAAAAATAATTAATTTATTAATAAATTTAATAAATTTTATATACTTTTTTCTTATTTCTAATATAATTACTTGAAAATAAATATATTTTTAAATTATAAAATAATATTTTAATATTACTGCTAATAATATAAATTAAAATAATTTTTTTTTATTTTTTTTAAATTTTTAATTATTTTTTTATATTTAATTACTTATTTTTTTATATTTTAATTTTTAATTTAATATTTTTACTATCTATATAATTAAATAGATAAAATAAAACTTTTATCTTAATTTTAAATTTAATTATAATATATATTAATATATTTTTAATTATTTATTGATTTATTATATTAATTTTTTTATTATTATAAATATTATAAATTAATTAAATATTTTATTTTAATTTTAATATTATATTTAAAAATTAATAAACTTTTTATTTAATTATTTATAAATAATATTATTTATATTATATATAAAATTTAATTAATTATAATACTAATATAAATTTAAATTTTAAAAAAAATAAAAAATATATAAATTTTTAATAAATTATAAAAAGTTTTAATAAAAGTTATAAATATTTTTTAAAAAAACTCTAGTATTTTTATAAATTAATCTTAATATAATAAAAAAATATATTATTTAATATTATATGAATAAGTATTATAAAAAAATTTATTTCACTTAGTTTAATTTTGATTATAATATCAATTAGTTTATTGAAAATAATATATTACTACACTATTTTATTTTATGAATATGAGTATCATCTAGCATATAATAACTATTACATTATAAAATTATAATTTAAATATACAAGTAACACAGTAAAATATAATTACTCAAAATGATATTCTAAGAATATATTTTTAAAAAGTATTTTTAAACTTAATAAAAGCAGCTATATTGCTAAATATATTTGTAAATATAAACAATATATTATTTCTATAGTATTAAATAATAAATTATATATTATAATTTTTTTATTTTTATTAAAATTTATAAAAATTAATAATTAAAATAATATAATATATTATTTTTTTTTATAAAACTTTTAAAATATAATATAATAAATAAGTATTAAATTTTAAATAATTAAATTTTATTTATTTTTATAATATTATTAATTATTAATTTAATTTAATAATTTAATATTATTTTATAATATTATTTAAATAATTTTTAACATATATAATTTTTTAATTTTTTATTATAATATTAATTTAAAATACAATATATCTCAAGAATTAATTAATTAAATATTGAAATAACATTATTAAATAAATAATAAATCAATAGTTTAATATATTTATTATATATTTTTTGATAATTAAATTATTAAAATAATTATTAAATAATATTTAATATAAAAAACTAAAAGTTATAATTTAAATTTCAAAGAATATTTTCAAAATTAAATATATTATTTAATTTATATCAGATAATATTTTATTAATATTTTTAATATTATTAATTAAAACTAGTAGTATATTTATTTTATATAATTACTATTATTTCTGAGCTGAAAATTATATAGTTATTATAAATATTAAAATTAATTATATATTAACATCTCTTATCTATAAGATAAATAGTTATAGTTATATTATTATAAATATATTTTTAATAATTATTAAATATTAATTATATAATTATTTTATATAAATATTTAATTAATATAAATTTACTTTAATTTTAAATAAAGATATTAATAAGTATTATTTTATTAAATTATTAATTAGTATAAAATATAATTAAATATTTTTAATTATTATTATCATTATTATTATTAATATATAAAATAAAATTAAATAATTATTTTAAAACTTATATTAATATTAATATTATAAAAAAATATTATTAAAATATAATAAATTTATACTAATAAATTAATTAATTAATATATTATTTTTAAATTAAATATAATAATATAATTAATAATTTTTTTTTAATTTATTAATTTAATATTAAAGAAATTTATTTTATATTTTTTAAAAAACTGTTTTAAAAATTTTTTATATTAAATTATATTTATGATTTTTTACTATTTATTAAAACTTATAGATAACATTATTGAAATATAATAAATAATTATATGCAACATGTTCTAAAAAAAATTCAAAATAAAATAAACTAACTTCTAGTTTGCAGTGTGTTAGTAGTGACAAATTCATCATTGCCTCAGTGACCACATGATCACATATACAGTTTGGCTAGCCACTCATCCGGTACAAGAGATTACCATAAACCCATCTCACAAAAACCGAAAGTCCTTCAGCTAACACCTGATCTGAACTTCAACTATCCATCTTCCCATCTCCATACTAACCTTTCATCGTCTTCAACACCCCCATCCCATATCTCATCATTGCCTCTTATCCTTTCTTCATCTGAGTATCTACTCAAGACCTGTTTCCTCTGATTCTGGGCCCTCCCTGAATCTCCTGGGCAAAAGAACGTTCGTTATCTGGTCATTTCCTGTGACTTAGTCAACAATGGCGCCCAAAACATCCATCTACGAAGCCAAACGGTCATTGAGAACCATCCGCTCCGTCAGTTTTTCTGTTTCCCTGCATCCTAAACGACTTCACAGTGAATTTTAAATAAAAAATGTATTCTAACTGATATCTTTTACCCTCCAGGAGTTGGAATTCCTCGCAGATACATCCCTCATTACCCAGAGTCAACTCACCTCCCTCCTCTCTCAACTACCTAGTGATGCACAGCTCCAAGCTTCACTACACGAATCCACGGGGGATTCTCCACCACCAACAAATCAATTGTCGAGCCTGCGGTTGAATGAGAAGAGCCCAGAAGCCCAACATTACCACGACCCTGTTGCCCCACCTGCCTACGCTTCGGGGCCTCCTGTCTTGGCCATCGCATCTGCCCTCTACGCCTACGCACCTACAGATGCTGGGGATTTGGCCTTGCAGCCTCAGGATAGGATCCAAGTTCTAGAGCACATGAACAATGACTGTATGTCACCTGAATTCCGATATGTTGCTGCGTTTGCGTGTAGACTTAATAACTAATGACTATTTTAGGGTGGCGCGGCCGAAACGAGCGGACACAGCTGGAAGGGATCTTCCCTCGAACGTATGTCAGTGTCATTGAGGAGAAATCAATTATCCATTCGCCACAGCCAGTCAGTGGCTATGGCAATGCTCCCCTTGAAGTCGCCCATTTAGGCTCGTCCGGATCATTTGGTGGACATAGTAGTGGAAGACCCAGCAAGTTCGAGGAAAATGGGAAGAAATTTGGAAAGAAAATGGGAAACGCCGGTATGTTTATTAATGCTATCGTCATCTTTGACAAGAGTATTATCACACGATTTAAGATTTACTAACTATCATATTTTAGCGATCTTTGGTGCTGGTGCAACGGTCGGCTCCAAGATTGTCAACGGCATTTTCTAGCCTAACCCATCCTCGTAACTCTCAGGATTCTTTCCCTTTTGTTTTTGGGCTTTGCTGGTTCGGATAAAGATTTGGGACTTCAGCATGAAAAATTGGCGTTGGAGGTTCCTTTTATGACTTCAAATTATTATTTTTTCCCCACATACAATCAAGGTGCAAAAACGTGGTGACGGAAAATCTGGTCACTGTCTGGGCTTGTTTCTTCTCGTCAGATCCAAATTGATTAATGAGGGATGCTGGTGCGCCTGCACTCTGTCAAATTATCGATGAGGAACTTGTTGCATGTCACTGCCAAGGCTGCGATTTCAAAACCCGACAAGTTACCGTTCCTGCAACTCCTCTCTGTTGGCAGATTTATCAGTTCCACCTGGGATAATGGCGCTCCCACCTGGATTATACCGGACACTTTTGTGCGTTTCTCCAACCCTGATTTATTCGATTAACTCTCTAGCATGGATACGCCAGAATGTTGATGTTACATCAAAATTCTCGAAGAAAAACGAAGATTCATAGAAAGCAGCAACATCCTACGCGCAGACTATTATTTTGGACACAACTCTCATTTGTTTTGACTGACATCTTCTTGGTTGCTGTCCCCTTCTCTCCCCTAACACTCTCCCTTACTTCTTCAATGTCTATTCTATGTTTCCCTTGTTTTATACTATGAGGCTGCCATTCTTTGCCGTTTTCCTTAAATTTTCTTGCTTCAATTTACTGCTTTCCTACTGCTTTCCGTGTTTTATCTTTTCTTTTCTTTTCTGTTTATTTGTTCACCACCTCTGTTACCATTTCCTTCGACAGATGATATGTGACCACAGCAAGACGATGGCATTTTCATATTCAAGGGGGTCATAGTCACCAGTTTGTTGGAAAATGGGATCAAATCTGTTGTACTTGACAAATCACACCACCACACAAAGAACATGCCCGATTTTATTTGTCTTGATCCGGTGGGAATATGAAACTTTGTCTGATGGATTTATGATTTGATACTACTCATGTAGAGCTCGCGTTTTATTTTTATTTATTTAATTTTTTTTGTTGGAGTTTAATGATGAAACACCTGAGGTAATGGATACTTAATATTTCCCACAACCAATAAATACATGCTCGTGAGATATAATGTGTTAATCCTTTGGGGTTTTTATATTTTTTTCACATTTTTTGGTGTTCCAAACCGCCTTGAAAGTCCAATAGTTTCCACACCTTTTCCATAAATGCTACAAACAAGTCAAACCAGACCAGAATCACCTCTTGGTGGGGACAGACTTTCTGATTCGGTAACCTTGAATATCCTCTCATCATCATCGACTTCAACTGTGAAGCTCCCAGTCATACCTGGGTAGCGCTGGTTACAGCACAGCAACCGCAAACAGCCATTTTGACATCGAGGTGACAATTGAATCGACCTCATGGTTTCAGCAGTAATCATCGTTCAAGATGCACTTCCGATTTCTCGATCCGGCTCTTTCTAGTTAGAAGACCTTATGAAGACCTCAGGAATCAAGGTGGTTGACTGCTACAATGGAGGTTTACGTTGTGTCGATTTCTAAAATCCTGCGTACGGTCAGGTTTGTCGCGTGCGGCTCGAAAACATAGTTACAGTAGTAGTTAATCAAACAACCTGTGAGCAGATCATAAAGGAAGGGAGATCTGCTGAAACCTAAAATTGATCACCGACCAATAACTAGAGGTACATCTTGTCCATGTATCTTGGATTCTTCGCCTCTGATTCTGACAAGCACTTCTACCTACATCGATACTAAAATAGATCCATTCTCAAAGTAGGGGGGGACCGAAAGGAAATCGACCAAAGCCAACGATGCGGAACACGAATATGGGGTTATGTTGGCGCCTGTGGAATAACTCATGCCAACGACTCAGCTGCTACGAGTCCCTCTTGATCCCGACAAGCCAATGAAATCCCACCTGCCAAATATTGACGGCGGTTTTCTCGATTGCTTCTATCTACATGAAAGTTTGTCACCTCCGATTCTCAAGTTATCGATAACTGTTCACATTCTTCCAACATCCTTCTCCTGTTGAAGTTTGACAGGCCACAGTAGGCATTGAACGGTCTGTTATGACCCTGCAGCAGCTTGCACGGTTCACCACCGTAACACGCATTTGGATTTATCATGCTCTTAGCGCTCATGCCCTGGGTTATTTTTAAAGTCTTCAAACTGGTGGATGCGACTGGAAAGTGAACGCCATTTTCCTCTTACCAATCACAGTTCTGCCAAGTAAAGACCTCGTGTTCTAGGCCTCGTTTGATATGCTTCTTCATATCATCCCAAATCCGCCTTGATGGAAGACAATGAGCTAGCGGCTGCTTTTTGACGACAAAACTTTCGAAGTCGCTATCGTGCTGTGCTGGGTAACTTCCACTTGGTTCTTCGCTGGGGTGCCTTGAGCAACCTCTGATGGAATTTCTTCTCCCTGTCCATAAATATAAAAGCCACTGGACGACCCAACTAAGTCATCGCCTAGCCGCTGGGGCCTAAAACGGACTTTTGGACTAGAAAACATTGATCGTCGTCGATCTGCTGTTTCCTCAATATATTTAAGCCCCTCGCCTCCCTTTCAAAGTACGGGATTCAAAGAAAAGAATATATTCATTTGCATTTTGCCGGAAGGATTATATTCACAACTACTTATAACCAACCGCTGCTAATTTTTTAATTTTTAATTTTATTTATTTTATTTTTATTTTTACATATCGAAACCACTTTATTTTTATCTTGTTTCTTACATCTTTGCAACCACGTTCCTTACCCCGCTTCATTTAAATCCCGGACAATCAGGCCCAAGAATGTCGTTTCAAACCCAAGGACAACAACCTCCGCAGGGAGGATACTATCCCCGTATGGCTATCTCTTTGTCTATCCTGACTGCAATTGATGTAAACAGGAAGCTAACAAAATCGATTGTTAATTGTTCCAGCTCCCAACCAGCAACAAGGTACAGTACATATGTGAATTTAACTTGTCGGCCTCTTCATAGTTTATTACGTCTTGGATAGATGGACAACTAGGCCACTTTTTCCCCATTTAAATGTTTATCTCTAGGTGTTGCTTCTCATTTACGGACGTATTGGACTAACATTTTCAGCGGCATATCCACCCCCTCCGAATCAAGGAGGTTATCCACCACCCCCCCAAAACTATAGCTATCCTGCGCCAGGAGGTCAAACTAGCCCGTCTTTTCCTCCTCCCCCAGCTGGTGGCCAAACCTCTCCCCCTCCCGCTGGTGGACATCCCCAAACCCCCCATCAACAACCGTCACCCATCCCTGAAAAAATGCAACACGCACTTACGCCTGGTGGAGCACCACCACAGGGGCAATTCGTTGGTGTACAGTCGACTTCCGCAGATGATGTTGGTACATTCAACGGTGGCAGCTACCGGATCAGCCACCGAGACACGAACACTGTCTTGACTATTCAATTGGCGATGGGGTGTCCATTGACAGCTAAGCCAGGTATGGTATTGTAAAGTACATTTACGGAACATAACCTCTTCTTTCTCATAACCGCTGAGCCTTATTCCCGCTCAATTGCTCAAAATTAACCTAACAAGAGGCACATCCTACAGGTGCCATGATTGCCATGTCGCCCACTATGACTCTGAAAGGATCCGTGAAGTTTTCGATGAAGAAGCTCATTGCTGGCGGCGAGATGTCAACTTCGACCTACACGGGCCCTGGAGAACTTCTCCTCGCCCCCACAATGCTTGGTGACATCTCTGTCTTGCGCCTTAGCGGTCATGAGACATGGTCTGTTGGCAAGGATGCGTACTTGTCCTCTACCCAAGGTGTTATCAAAGACTACAAGAACCAGGGTTTGAGCAAGGCCTTCTTCTCCGGTGAAGGGTTGTTTGTGTACAAAATCTCTGGGAACGGTCTTTTATTCCTTCAAAGCTTTGGTGCTATAATCAAGAAGGACGTATGTTTTTTACCACTCCCCAATGATCAAAGTATTCAGATCATAAAAAGAAAGAAACAATACAAGAAACTGTACTAACTCCTCCTCTTCCCCAAACCCTACAGCTAGCCGATGGTGAAAAATATAACATCGACAACGGCCACCTGGTTGCCTGGAGCTGCAAATATGTCATGGAGCGTGTGGCTTCTGGTGGCATTATCTCTGGGATGACTTCGGGTGAGGGATTGGTTTGTAAATTCACCGGCCCTGGGAGTGTATACATGCAAACAAGGAATCCGGGTGCGTTCGCATCTTGGGTTATGGCAAATGGGGCCGCTGGAGGTGGAGCGTAATGCGAGTATCTGAAAACTGGGTAATGTTAATCTGTACATGTCTTTGAAAGATAAAGAAGATAAAGATTTTAATCCATCTTGTGGCTTTGGTTTCTCGTTCTGTCCAGTTTGATCCAGGTGCATTCTTTTGCCGATAACTGTTATTCCCCATTGCTTTTTGTTTTTGGGCAATTTTTTTTTTGTAAACTCTTTTCTGCTAATTTGATGGCTCGTGATATATCTTGGTTTTCAGGCGAATTCGTTGCTTTCTTCCCTCCAATGTGAAATAAGTTGGAATGCCCACGAGAACTTTGCAGAAAAAGTCCAATACTCCGTAACGTGTATGGCGGTTATGAAACTGTCCGTGGTTAAATCACTCAGTATCTACGGCATTTCTCTCCGTCTCTACCTCAGCAATTGTCCCATTCAAGGGTACCATAACTCTGCGTCTTAGTTCAATTAGTAAGTTTTCAGTCAACTTTTACTAATATTAGTCTGATAGGTAAACAGTGCAGGGAATTTCTGTCGAACTCTCATGGCTCTTGAATCGTGTCGCTGAGTTTAAAAGACAGGAGATCCTACACAAAACCAGACAAACTTTTACCGGATATTCACTACATGGGCAATTTGACAATTCGCAGGCTCTGAGATTCTTGCATTCATCGCCGATCTTGGGACCTGCTTTAACCACGTGAGCTAATTCAGTGCGACGCAAGCATCCTACGCAACCACGTCGCTGAGAGGCTGATTCGTTTCATTTCACTTTATCGAACAGCAGCAGGCTAGGTTTATTAAAATGAACTCTTTCGCGTTTAATTTGCTTCAAATATAGCCGAATTCCCGAAAACTCAACACAATGGTGAGCTGTGTCACTGCTAAATTCAATCAGGCCGAAAATGTAACCTGAAAATGTTAGCTTTGTGGCGAGCTTCTGGGACGTTGGCCGAGTAAAAGAGATGAGAACAAGATAGACGGGCTAGGTAGGGGTATGTTGATGTGGACACTGACAGGACGACAGACACAATATCAAAAATGAATTGCAAAGAGAGAAATCCTAAAAACTCTCAGACCACTATCATAGAGTGTTAAATACTCCTCCGGGGCTCTCCTAGGGGGTCACTGAAAGGGCCCCAACGACCATCCCTCGTGGTACACTCTGTTACTCGTCTAGATACGAAATATATCGAATTTCCCATTACCCCAGGATACAGCGGACGGTCTACTGCTGAATGTTCCCCCCAGACCTTCCCATCCATGCCACCTTGAATCATCCCACCATCTATGATACATTTAGTTATCCGTGCCCGCGCCATGAATATCAATTGGGTTCTTCGCCTGGGAGACAACAAACAGTGGGCTAGTGAGGATACCACCTATATCTTACCATCCCGTAGGTGATGACCACATCAACTTCCATCCCACCGTTTGTGAAAAGGTGCGTTGTTTGTTCCGATACCAAAAATGTCGAGTCGATTGCAGCCGCAAGCAGCTGCACCTGGTGACTATTTGAAACACCCCAAGCTCCTCCCTTCTGCTCCAAGAGTTTCCATCCCATGCCTTGTGGTACATCTGATTATCAGTTCCCAAGAAGAAAAGATCAATCCGGTGTGGGCCTTATGAAACGGCAGTGAGTTAACTACTAAACACGCCGCCTAATGCCTCGCATCCAGTTTGAGATGGGCCCAAGGGGGTACATCCCACCACTTATGGTAGAGATGATTGTCTATCTCCAGACGGAAGATGTCCAGCATTTTGGCGCTCAGGAAACAGCTGTAGATGGATTTGAGAAAACACCTCATAAACCTTCCCATCCTCCTCAAGAATTACCGTCCCACCGTTTATGAAATATTTCATTATCAGTTCCCAAAAGATGAATGTGGTTGGCGCCCCATGACACTGCCGTTGGTTCACTGCTGAAAGTGCCACGGAGATTCTCCCAGTCGGATAGAGAAGGGCCCCATGCTCCATTCCACCACTTGTGGTAGAGAGCTTTTTTATTAGTGCCCAAGCCAAAAATGTCCAGGCAACCTCCGGACCATGAGATCGCCGACGCATCAATGTCATTGAGAAGCGATAGAGATTCAAGCGTGATACACATGGCTAAAGGTGATGTTCTGTTTGGCTGCGGTGAGGGTTTTCAGGTGTATGGAGCGGAGGATGTGAACTTAAGTTTCTCCTATCAGCATAACGTCATCTCTCATAAACGCAAAAAGTGACACCCTTACTGCGGCAGCCCAACCCACGCAGATCTCAGAGGATCGTCCCCTAGAAGGTGTTTGCCTACAACTTGCTTTTGTGAGAAAACAGCTCAAATATGTATACAATTTTACCGACAGGGATCGAACAACCCTCTCCTTTATTCCTACTATGTTACTATCTGGGATCCCAATCTCCGTTCTCTTCGGCCGATTCGCATCTATGTACATGCATATATGCACAAACTATCATGATCTATCCATTTGGCTGGATGCCAATGGCGCAAATAATGGCATGCACGCCTGGAATGATGCCACCGTCTCTCCAGGGGGTTACAGGGTATCCCGATATCTTACCACATTTCACCGTGGATATGGCACTGATATTTATACACACTTCCGAAATGTTGATCATCTCGCTCTCCGAGAAGTATTAATATACCGGTAGAAGCAGCGAACAATGAGCGTTTGACATCTGAATCTGGTTATCCATACTAATAGTCTGCTTAGTCAATTGTGTTCACCCAAGACATCAACCTCAACAACCGGGCGCAGAGTCCTTTGTTCTAGGAACCTGTGTGACATGCATAGCAATCGCATGTTATCTTTCAGATGCGGTGTGCCGCTGCATGCCGCTGCATGCCGCTGCAGCGTAACAATGCTTCACCCAATTAAAATTCCAAGAATCAGGCTAACGTTTTTCGTGTTCAAACCAAATCCAGGATAGACACGTGGACTCCCGTTCAGCAAAGATGTTCATCCGATCATTTATATATGCTTCTTGCACTTCTTGATAGATCAAATGTTGGTTTGTTCATTAAGTAGCTAGCTACTGGAAATCTGAAAAGGTGATTTGATACATTGATAGATCGATCCGTGACACAATGGACAAAGGCTCACCAAGTCCCCATTCCTGAATTTCTTTTCTGGCTGTTAAGGTTTCGTTGTTTATTCAGCCCAATAGTTAAAATGACAGCTGAGGATAATATAAATTTTGAAGTATCCCTTAGTTATAAATTTCCCTTATTCATTTTCCTGCTATATTTCTGTTGTCTTTGGATAAAAGTCTTGACCACAAATCTGAGGTCGTTCTTCCCAATGACGTACGCCTTTACAGCCTAACTATGGAAGGTCGAGGCATTCTGCCGGTAGTTTTGACTTTCACCAAAGATATACTAAATCCAAATTGAAATACCTAGTGGGTTTAGGTACCTAAACATAACTATTATTAAAATTCTAGGTAAGGATGCCTTACGCCTTAAGTAACTAAACAGTTTAGTTAAGTATGGTGGCTGAAACAAAATATTTAGTTAAGCCATCTTCCCAGTGCTTTTTAGTGTTTTGGTAAGTTAAAACTTTTGAATAATTTAATCTCTGTGCGTCTTAAAATTTCGCTAGTCAGATGGGGATATAATATATTGAAACACTCTTACATGATACTTGACACCTTCAAGCATATCTGATGTATATGGGATGTCTGTACAGAGGATAAAACTGAAATATGCTTCAATTCACCTCTTACATCATGCTCTCTTATTGAGGTGCTGAAAATATGCTGTTTATCAGAAATACACTGAATGCAGATTGAAAAGAGCGAATCATACGGAATGATAGATTTCTGGCTGTACAGCTTATTATTCTGTATGTATTAAGACTGTTAGCAGCAGGATATCCGGGCTTACTTTGAATGCTTAACCTCCATATAGCGGATTCCTCTAAATGGCAAATTGAATAGGCTTCCAAGATTAATCATTATAGCAAGGGTTTACTGCGTATATCTCTCTTCTGTATATAATTGAGTTAATGATTATGGTGTACATTTAACACATCATGTGACCCCTTAAACATCTATTATTTAACCTAAAGATGAATTATTATTAAAATTTGCATTACTTCACTATGTAAGAGGGAATTGTATCTTAAATGATATACTAGAGTGAATTTCAAAGTCTTCAAGAAAAAATAAGTAATAGAAATTGGACAATGTTCTTTATTATATCTTCTGTTATTTTTGAGTTCATGCAAGTTTCAAATGAATTTCTTGTGAATTTTTGAAGCTACATTGATGAGAATCATTATTTGCATGAAATCCTTTACAACGTTTTCATAAAATCTAATTGACAGATTTTCACTCTTTGTCTCCCAAAGTTCATTTCTTTCCACATTTTCTCAATAACAATCAGAGAATAACCACAATAAAGGAATTAGAGTACAGAGATAAACAGAATGAAATCATTATTGCTCAGGGTATCTATTTTTGTTTTGCTGCTGCTGCTGCTGCTGTGGTGGTGGTGGGGGGGGGATGGAAATCCATCTTTTGTCTCTTGTCGCAAAGTCCATGCATACACAACACATGGGGGTATTATTATTAGACTTCACGTTTAAGCGAACGTGGCTGCTACTGCTGAAAATTAGCACACTGCACTTCCGAGCCAGCTTAGTAATGCTCACCTGAACTAACTTGGTTTTAAACGGTGCGAAGATTCCACTCCAATCAGAACCACCACTCTGGGGCCGGTGGAAGGATGTGTTGCGTGGGGGAATTTTATTTTTGAATTAACTAGACGGTGATGGTGTGGACAATAGGAATGGGTCAAGATGGAAAAACGAGAAGCGACGGCCAAAAAATGATAGCGTTTCGTATTCAACAACAAATGTCTCAAAACAAATACGCCCCGGCCGCTGGAGTCGATGGGATGGGCTTGGCCCCTTTTCCACGAGTCATTGAGGGGTTTAGCGCAAGGCAAAGACGAATGGCCGTATCCAGCATCCTTGCCGTTGTCCAGACAGAGTCACAGCACAACGTGCAGCTGAAAAGCTGGCTCCAGATCCAATCAAAACCCCTCGGAATCCAGGCGTTGGGACGGGCAATCTCCCAGGCCGTTCCGGAGCAAGGACGGTGGACGCTGGACACTTGACACTGTGGGCGCCTGGAAGGCGAGGATTGTCAGCGCTTCTGACATTACTCGATCTCCGGGAAAAGTTACCCAGGAAACCATGCAAGAATCCAAATTATACTACATAAAATCCTTCAACTTTGGAAAAGCCTGTTTTTGGGATTGTGAGCTGACAGGATATTTTTACAACCACGTTTGGAAAATTTTCAAGAAATACTGTCAAGCCATCCATTTAATATGGGAACACGCTCCATGAACCAGTCATGGTCGGCGCTACTAAGCAAGACGGATGGACATGCCGATGCATGCCCACGCCGTGGCTGGATCCAGCGCAGCGATATGGCCCAAGAAAGACCTCATGAGTGGGCATGGATCCTCGGTTGCTGAACGCCTCTCCCAATATCAATGGGCTATGGCCCCAATTAACATTGCTCTCGCCCCTCTTATGCTATTGGAGGGCCTCTTGTTTGCAGCCCGTACTTGTGGGCCTGAGCTAGAATTTGCACTCATCCTTCGATAAGCCTTTCCCACAGGGCGCTAGAATGAATTAATATTAGTGGGCAGCTAATGCTGTTGTACAATGTCATGATGCAGAAAAAAGAGACACTTTTGGACCACTTCTGGGAAATGTGTTGAATCATTGGATCAGGATTTCACTTATTTAATATTTGAATGCTTTGTGCTCGCTTTGTCTTGTTTCAATTCAGATCTTGAACCCATTCAGTGAGAGTTGCTTCTGGCCTGAGGGAACCTTGGAATCTACTAAATGTCACAACTGGTAACTAGTGGGTCCTCGGAGTGCTGGTGACCCAAACCCAATTCCAGCCACGATGGAGTTAGACTCAGGGGTTCACCCATTAGAGCCCTGAAAAAATTCACGCCCGTTTAGCAGCACTGTAAAGGCGCTACTCCTAAGACATGCATCGAATCGCTTAGGAGCTCACGCTCCCCGAACTATACAGGCATAAACCCACCCCAAACGGGGCGATAATCGTGGCATTAGAAAAAGAGCTGTTCCCCCCGTCTCTCTCTCCTCTGGATTGCTCTGAATGATTTATTCCCAGTCACTCGTTTTATTCCCAACTTTTACACATAACTTGGTCCTTGTTGATACACAATGCGGTGGACACTCATTCTTTTGGGCGCCTCCGTGGCGTCCGGCGCGGTCACGGATTTCATGAAAAAATTGAGCCCTAATCTGCCGCTCTCATCTTTCGGTTCATTCAAAACCATGTCCATCCAAGATGTCAAGCAGGGAAAGGATCTTCTGGGTAAATTTTTAGATGCCCCAACAAACAAACAAGCACCCGCGCCCGCTGCTGCTCCAGCCAATTTCCAAACCTTCGCAGCTGCATGCAATGGCAAGACAAACATGCGCACTGAATGGCGCAGCTTCTCGCACAATGACCGGCTGGCATTTGTAAATGCGATCAAGTGCTTGACCAACAGACCCGCCTCTGGCAGGTTCTCGGGTGCAAAGAACCGCTACGAAGACTTCGCCCGTCTCCATCAACAGCAGCTATCAGATATCCACGGCAATGATAAGTTCCTACTGTGGCACCGATACTTCGTCTGGGCTTTCGAACAAGTGCTGCGTGACGAGTGCGGTTTTAACAGAAACTTTCCCTGGTGGGATGAGACCAAGGATGCCGGCAGATTCGCCCAGTCACCCATATTCACCAGCGACTACTTCGGTTCCCTTCCTCGCCCTGTAAACGGACAAGGCGTCTGCATTACTGATGGTGCATTTGCCAGACTTACGTGCAATATCGGCCCTGGCACACAAAACCGCCCTCACTGCCTCGCACGGGCAGTCAACGAGCAGCAAACCGCCCAATGCACCAACGATTTCGTGAAGACTTGCAATTCCCGAACTACCTATCCTTCTATGCACAGCTGTGCCGAAACCGGGTAAGTTTTCTCCTTCAACCCAGTGCCCAAAAGAACGTTATGAATTAAACAACATAAATGTCAATTTACTGACCAATTTCTCAGTCCCCATGGTTATGGTCACAACGGTATCGGCAGCGTCATGGCCGACGTTGCTGCCAGCCCAAGCGACCCCATCTTCTTCATGCACCACGCCTTCATCGATAGAAATTTCCGTGTTTGGCAGAACGAGGCCCAATCCCGCTGGACTACCATCAGCGGTAGAGTCGCTGGTGGTGGCGCCCTCACCTTGGACACCCGCATCAGCATGGGTGGCATTGTACCCGATGTTAGAGTCCGTGATATCTTGGATACCCTGGGTGGAGCTGCGATCGGTGGGAAGAATTTCTGTTACCGCTACAATTACTAGGCATAGTTATATGGCTAGGCACATACATATATAATTAATAGTGTGCACTTGCATGTTCCTAATATTGCTGTGGGGTTGGAACATAGCGGCGTTTTGTTGAAAACTCCCTTAATATTTTTTTTTTTTTTTTGAACAGAAATTTCCTATTATTCTTGCTTTGATATGGATATCTTTTTTTTATTTATTCTTTTTTTTTTGAGTAATTTAATTCAAGTGCATTTCATGGAAGGTCATATCATCTTATAGATATCATATGTCGCTTCTATAATATAAGTCTTTATCTCATGCATTTAGTGGAGATCAGAATTTAGAATGGTGTATCTTACACATTGAACAATCACACCTTTTACCTGTCTCACCAGATAGGTGGTACAGCTTTTCCTGATGAAAGTCTGGCCAGTCTCTCTTTGGAAAGCTGGAAACAAATCTGGTAATCCTGTCTCACACCAAGCCTTCTCAACAAGTTTGACAATACCTGGTGCACAAGTGAATATTCAAGCCATCCCTGAATGTAAAAGTAATACCAAATCAATTCCTGAGTCTTACAAGATTGGATAGAAATGATAGATTATTCTGAACAAGGAACAGAACAAGGAAACAAATGATGAATAAGAGATTCAAAAACAACACTCATCATACCCGCCCAAACTAGTACAGAAATATTGTGCACACAGATTAAGTGCTCAATCCAGTCCAGCAGTTGACATGAAATCCCTCATCATCACAATAATGCTGGTCCAAGCATGATTTTTAAGTCCTTCAAAATGCATCATATCCTGGGCTATTTCTTCGCTATACTCAGTATCATCCGTACTCAAATGGTTAGCAATCTTTTCTGGAAATAAAAGGGTATTGAACCGTGACACCTGGAAGACCAGCGTGCCATTGCTCTATAGCTGTATGAGGGAGTAGAAGTGGTGAAGGATATACTGCAGTGAGAACGTATTTTGCAACATGTTCTCTAATGCAAAAGTCGGAGTGGGGATTAGAGAGTGAGCCTGCGCGCAATTTGGTGTCATATACGGATCCATGTGCGGGAGGAATAGAGCTGCATAAGCGTTCGTGTAATGGATTATTATTATTATTATTATTATTTTTGTTTGTTGTTGTTTCTTTTTGCGCAGTTCACCGTTCCTCGTGACGTGTGCACGTCCCAAAGCCCTGAACCTGATTCCCTTTTGATATCCGGTGGCGGGGTAGAATGTGGACAACTATGCATCTCTCGAATACGACGTTTGGAAGTAGAAATTCTGCAAGTCTTGTTGGATGGCATAACCTGGCAGGCCACACACCAGGCCGCTGCAGCACACCCTTGACGCTCGTCTTGGCCCCTGCCCTTCATTAGCCTTGAACATGTGAGACATCACCACCAGCAAATTCAGACGTCATGCAAATATCAAAGGTTGTTAATGAGGCTATATACTCGCATGAAACCTTACGCCTTTTAATGAATTCATGGATTTTGTTAGAGAAGAAGGCGTTCGTTGGCGATGATTATAAGAGCTTGTTCCTTACCATGAGTTTTTGAATAAGCAGTAAAGCCTCGGAGTGCATCTGGAGGAAAGTTGAGGATAGTAGGATCTAGACCTGGGAACTTTGTTAACAGTAATATCATGTTGAGATATTTCATATTGTCGCCAGACCTGGCCGTATGTGACCGATGTTTTGCGAGCCTGCACCACTCTCGGCCTTCCGTGCTTCGAGTATGATGACATCCTTCCAGTTAATGCCAGCTTCAAGTAACTAGCTAGCTGGAAGGCTACAAGACCGCCACCAAACACCAAGCCAATAATCACATATTGTAAGCCTGGAGGAAACTACTTTCTCTTCTCGACTGGCGTATAGAAGTGGGAATGGTCGAGTAGTCCGTTGCCAGTAACTAAGACATGGGGTTGCATTCGGTAGACATTTGCCAGAGCAGTTTTCGGAATTGCTATTGCTGGTCTTGGGAGCAAATACCATTGCTGCAGGTGTCCCCGAAGAGTCGTGAGCGGCCCGTCAGGAGATAACAAATGGGACATAATAAAGTATGAACAAGTTTTTTATTGTGTCGGTGTCGGAAAAGATTAATGGACAGGGGATTAATTCCCCACGCAATGAGGAGTCTTGGATTTGCATTCAGAACTGGCGTCCTTCCTGCAGGTGGTTGTGGACATCAACCGAAACTATTTAATCTTGTGCTTGGTCCTCATTAGCCGTTGTCTCCCGTGACAGCACTTAATGGCGATACCGATCTCCATGATGTTGACCCCCGCATCCAGCGGCATTTTGAACCGATTTTCGGGGCCTCGCAAAGGGGTGTTTTCAAGGGAAGAGCCGGGCATTGAGCCTTAACGTTAACCCAAATTGCGGCTTTCAGCCGACGGCCCCTTTGGAATACCCGGACGTGTGCAGCAACGGCAAGCTTCCGCAATTGAACAGTTCAAATACAGTTGATTATCAAAGTTCTCAAACTATTATTCTATCGGTTTGTGGGGTGTGGATGGATACTTGTTGCGTTCAAGCCTTTGCAAAGAAAATTTATCTCAATGTGGAGGTTTCTTGGACGTAACTAAGGCTAATTAGATGCCCTATGCCAAACCTTCCATTGTTCAAGAGATAATTGTCAATTGTCGACATACTCAACGTAGCTAACACACCAGTAATACTGATTGGTTGCAGTGTTACCTCTGTGCTTTGGCACCCGTTAAGCGACTGACTGGTTCATTATTTCCGTATTGTTATTGGCTTTTTCACATCATAGCCATGATCAACAGTCGCTAGATAACAAGACTCTCTGTCCTCTCTCCCATCGCTACCACTCTTCTCTCGCTGCTACTATTTGCCATTATAAACGATGAGGTTTTTCAAACGCCTCTGTCGCTCAGCGCCTACAACAAATCATGTTCGCTCACAAGGCGAAAAAGCTCTGGTTCGACGACTAGACATGTTTCTTCTGACGTTTGGTTGTCTTTCTCAAGGTAGGTCGACGAAACAAAAAATCTTTCCATAAGAGTTAGGAAATGACCAACCAATTCAGTCATCAAATACCTCGATCAGCAGAATATCAACAACGCCTATGTTTCTGCCATGAAGGAAGACCTGAATCTGCATGGAAACGAGCTCAATTAGTAAGATTAGTAGTGCTTCAAATATCGTCGAAGAAATCGGTGAATGAAAGCTAATGTTCTCAGTTTCACAACGTACTTCAATGCAAGTTAATAATACTTTTAAACTTTACTCGTTTAGCGGAATTGGACGCCGTAATAGAAATTTCTGGTATAGATTGCTTATTGTATATTCCTCATCCCTTCTCAAATCATTTTGACGTATGTTCGTCCGAGCTTCTGGCTCTCTGGCCTGGGTGAGTGGTGGACAGCCTTCCCTGCCGTATCGTTTTGTTTCTGATATCTGTTTTGAAGAGGTTTCCTGGGGGGTTATTACTGGTCTCATCGCTATAGCAAAAGAGGCCAAGCAGGTTTATATTCTGAGGGCTTTGCTGGGAGTATGTGAATCCTCGGCCTGGCCGGGTACCGTTACGCTTTTCAGTAAGGCATTCCCCTACCCTTCCAACATGGACTGTCTGGACCCCGTTTCACTCAGCTCCACTCCCTCCACTCCACCATTAGAGACTAACTCCGTCCCTCAGTGAATTGGTACACACCAACGGAGCTGGCATCCAGAATTGGATTCTATCACTCCTGCCAGGGTGTTGGCCAAATGATGTCCGGTGCTTTGTAAACCAGCATCACCAACACGATGGAGGGCCACCGTGGAATTGCTGGCTGTCGGTGGCTCTTCATATTAAATGCTATCATAACCGTAGTATGGGTTTGTGCCGGTGTCTTCATGCTCCCTGACCTGCCAAACAAACCCAACCCCCGCGCGGTGTGGTTTACGAAGGACCACGCCGAGCTGTCGATGGAGCGACTAGTCTGCCACGGCCACGGGGAACCGAAGCGGACGACTTGGGCGGGAGTCAGTCGCACATTCTCAAGCTGGGTAGTGTATTTCATTGCGGCTCTATATATCGCGACCGTGCTGGGGACGTACGGATATGTCTACTTCGGACTCTTTCTCAAGTCGCAGAAGAACGCAGACGGAAGTCATCGATGGAGTGTTTCGCAGGTTAACGCGACCGCGATCGGCGGTTCGGTGATTAATGTTGTCTCTGTGTGGGTCTGGGTCTTGCTTTCTGACTTCATGGAGACGCGCTGGACGCTAATTGTCGCCCAAGCTGTGCTCGGGACAATCCCATGCATTATCATGAGCATTTGGACATCCCATCCCACAAAGATAGCTGTATCAGCTGCATACGCATCTTATTTCATTTCATGTATTTGTCTCGGGACAGCACCATTGATCTTCTCTTGGCTTTCCGATATCACCCCGCAGGACCCGGAGGCGCGTTCGTTGATTATCGGCGTCAGCGTTGCGGGATACTACTCCATAAGTGCGTGGTCTCAGGTCCTGGTTTGGCCTGCTTCGCAAATGCCGCATTATAAGTATGGATGGTAATCATCTATTGCACTGTTGGTCCTCGTGATCACCATGACATGCGTCTTGCGAGTGATCGATGTCCGCTACCTGCTGCCGCAGCGTGTGGCTTTCCGGGCTACCCTTAACAGCGGTAGTCTGGCAAAGGCATCCTCAAGCAACGTTGATAATGAAAGCAAAACAAACACAGCTGTAGTCGTCTCCTAGGACCCGCAGATGGGCTGGCTATCATGTAGCTAGCAGGTTGGAGAAGTTTGACGAAGAGTATAGCAGCAGTGTGATACGTGAGTGACAAATTTACCAGAATTAATTGCGCTTGCTGTTGTTCATCAGCGACATAGTGAGAATGGTAAGTGATGATCTAGTAACCACTTCCTGGTCCCGTATGCCAGCCACCCATTGGGATGCTGAGTATGTGGGTGTGGATCATTATTAAGGCAGTTTGCTGCCCTCAACATTCATGACGTGACATTGGTACAAGAAACAAACATTATTCCAAGACTAATCGCCCCTTGGTTTCTGCTTCCAAAACAAGTAGAGCGGTATGAGGAAAATCCTCTGATAACATTTTTCAAGTCCAGAGGGTATGTATAGAACGTACCCAAGTATACAATTCCAAGTCAAGTTCCCATGCACTTTATTGCAAGGAGTTGTGTAGCACAAATTTCAGGACCGGGCAGAAAATTCGACGGCGCCGCTCCCGATATGAACAACCGAAACCCCAACCCTTCATTAAACCCTCTGCAGGTAATGCGAGCCAAACAATACCTGGGGAGGACAAAACATCCGTATGCTTACCACGGGCAATCGCAAGGTTAGTTCGAATCATTTCGTACGTCAATGCGACGGGGATGGAATACCCATCACAATTTCCGCTCGCGTCCAACCCTTCTCCTTCTCAAGTCTGAGATCGAACAATCCGCAAAGTCATCACGTAGCTTTAACTGTTCAACCATCTAAAGTTCAAAATTATCGTAAAGACCTCATACTTTCCATTCAGTTTCTTCTGATTATACCCCCCCTTTTTTTTTTTTTTTTGGCTTCGGACTTCTCACATGTCTCTAATCTTCCTTCTTTTCCCTATTTCCATTTTTAACGCAAGGCGGCCCGATTTCCTCTACACATACATGTGCATTATTCAGGGATGGGATGGTTCTGAAGGGAAAAGCAAGAGAGAAAGTAAGATTTTGAGGAGAAAAGCAAGAAGGCTACAAGAATGCATGACATTGTGACAACGACGGGGTAAAATCATTAAGACAGAATAGCATGTCTTGGGGATATGTATACATTTCAGTAGCAAAAACAGAGAAAAAAATATTGGAAAAAAAAAAAAGGAAATAAAAAGATCCAGCTCCTTCCGACTGAGACAGAAGGATAAAATAAAAGATAACAAGGGAAATTGGTCGTAAACAAAGTTTTATGGAGGCCTAGTAAAAAACTAATCAAGTCATTGAGTTTCATTTTGGAAAAAGAGAACATGCCATTACTACCCATGCTTCTAGATGCCGAAACAAAGTATTTTAAGCCCCAACGTATCACCTCGTTTAGCCCTGTTGCTTCTTCCGCCTTCCGACTTGGCCACGGAAACCAGTCTTAATTGCAGTGACGGAGCGTCTACTGCCACAGGAGTTGCATGTAACGAAATAAAGACGGTTTTCGCCCTTGTTGAGTTCCGTGTCTGGACTGCGGCACGTCTTGCAAGTGACATATTCGACTGAAGTAGTTGGCATTAGAAAGGCAAGTTCTCTTGATTACACACTTTATATGATGAGAACAACTCACCGATGTATCTTCGCAGGACATTCTCAATTTGTTTCTGCTGGAAGCGACCCTTGATGACTAGTCTCCTGCTTCCGTCCACACTGCCGCTGGTGACCAACTCAGCAAACAGGAACTGCATGACGTGATCTTCAGATCGCTTCATACGCTTGCAGATATCGGTAATATTTGCAAAGATAGTTCTCCGGTTGCCCTCACGCAGACACTGGGGCGGTGGGATCTTGTAGGACTTGGAGCCGCTTGAAAGAATATCGGGATGGTGGCTGTGAATTAAGGTGAAGAAGCGAGTAACGAGAAGGTTATAAGGGACGGGTTGTGTGGCATCATGAGCCCAGATGCCTCTGCCATGTTCGATGTCGCTGACGATCTCCTCGGTTGAAGGTTTGTCCTCTGGCGCAGCTTCCTCGGTAGTCAGACCAGCTTCGGCAAGTTTAGCTTCGAAGTCTCCATCGGCAGCCTTTTTACTGCTCTTCTTCTTTTTTTTCATCATCGAGGGATCGAACTCGGCGTCCGCGGAGGGCTCTGCGTCTGCATCCTTTGTCTTCTTTGTCTTCTTCTTTTTTGAGAGCCCTTTGAAAAGCTCCGTTACTTCGTCGACCTCCTTGTCTGGAGAGGCTAGTTTTTGCGCGTTGAATGTCAGTAGATCATTGATGGGAAGAAAGAGACACCGTAAGGGAGCCATCACTTACTGGCAGTGTGCTTCTCAGCAGTAGTCTTGTCGGCATGGTTAGCCTCAGAGATAGCCCCATTTGCATCCATGATCGTAGTCCCTTCACTAAACGCTACTGATTTTCTATGCTTCCTTTGGACAACTGGAGCTTCCTTTACAAATAAAAACACAGTTAGCACTTTGGGTTTGGATTGCAATAAAGAATAAGGGTTAGTTGGAAATTATATATTGGTGAGACCTGGTTCTTTATAGCATAGATGGTAAAAGTGGTAGGGAAATCAATGTGGGAAGCGTATCGGCAAAATAAGTTGGATGTGACGTACCGTGTCAGCCATGGTGATCGTTCCAGGACAGCCCGTGACCACAAAAATACCAACTGCTGCGCAAGCACTGAAAAAGAAGTTCGTAAAGGATTGATGTTCAACAAAATATGGCTGAAGGGTGAAAAAGAGAGAAGTATGAGGGCGGTTTGTACATCGACAGAGTCCCTTGACGTCGCTTATTCACTCGCTGCTGGCAGTAGAGCAACAAAAAAGAAGAATTTGCGGCACGTGATGTATATTTCTTGGCATTCCTTCCTTCCAACGACATCCCATGGATCTTGTTACGTCTGCTAACAGCGTATATGTATGCACAGTATCTGCACATTGCACAAGACAGCTGCTAGGTTATTTGACTACTTTCGCTTTGCAAAGCATTGCACCAGGGACTGATTTTGGGGTGGTCTGAATGCTCTTTTTGGTATAACTGCGTTACAATACCGCGAACCTTCCCAACCTCCTCCCGGGATCTGCCAGCTTTTTTATTTTATCACCAATCGCTCTGGTCGAACCTTCCACCACCCTCTAACACTTTCACCATGTCCGCTTCTCCGACTTTCAGTTTTGCTTCCTGTTTTTCTCCCCAGTCAGCTTCAACTTATATGGTAACGTCGCATCTACATTCATCCTCCGATGAAGACGAAATTGCCTCATTACCTTCCGTTTCCGCCTCTGATTCTTCGCTAGAAGGGGGCTTCAGCGATGGGGATGATGAGTCCGATGCCGAAACGGAGTGGAAGGAAAGTATACAGCAGTTAGAATTACTTCTCACTATGGTGATTATACCGTTTGTCGGCAAGTATTTGGGAAGGAAATGTGCTTATTTGGGTATGCTACCAGCCTTCTCTTATCCACAGAATTTATTCTCCTTTTCGGTTACTAACTACCCTTGTTTTATTTACAGGATGGGCGAAAATGATGGAATGGAAGTACCCAGTGGAAGTTGTTGTCCAGAATAAGGCTGTTTCACGCGCTGCTGGAGTTATTGAAGCTCAGGCTTCTCTGTGACAATGTCAAGGCTTCTTGATATAAAAATTATGGTAGGGATTTGACAGCTGTCTACCAGTGTGTTACGAGGACTCGAAACTAAAAAGAAAATGAAAACAAAAATAGATACCATAGATTCCCATGCAAAATTTACCACAGAAGTGCGACTCCTGGATATATGATAAAGATAGCTCACCATTCACGACTTCAGATGCGTTGATGTCACATTAAAGCCAAAAAAGAACCAAACGCCTGTAGCTACTCCGGCACCTGCCTTACAATTCAAATTCCAAGATGGGCGTTGAATTAAAATTACTCGAACCTACCAAACCCAAATTTCAACCCCAACAGGTGCCGATCTCTTACCGGAACTAAAAAGAGATGATATAGTGTGTGCAACCTAACTGTCTTTTAAAGCTGCAACATTCGTCTTGCTTATGCACAGTGGTCCATCTAGAAAAGGGATGATCTTTATAGCCAGTTCTTGTTGAATGCCTTCAGTGAGAACCTGGAAGACGAAGGGCTGAGCCTACCTAAGGCTGCCCTTTGTCTAGTAAGTATCGAGAGAGTTTTTTTTCGGAGAGATCTACGGCGGCCCTAAGATGGCAATTATCGACGTTGACACCACCCACGGGGAATGATTGATACTGAATGTCATCACAATTGTTTCCAGGAGAAGGCATAACGCCATGGTTTCGGGCAGCAGCGGAAAGTTCTCGCTGTTATTTTGTCACGAGTATACCTACAAAATAATCCCTTTGGTCACATAACCATTTTGGTATGCTGCACTGCGCCATCGTGACTCACCGAAATTGTCCCTCAATCTCGCCAGTGTCATTCGTCACCCTTAAAATTTTAACGTCCAGTTCCTGTGTTGGAGGATATGATAGAGTTGTCACACTTTTCTGTGGGCAGTGTGTTATTGAAGCTGACGAAACTGGACGTGGTGATAGAAGGTGTCGCCTGATGGGGTTGTTGGGAGTTTGCTGTGTGTGCAATAGCCTGCCGAGATGCTGTGGTGGTCGATTTACTTAAACGACCTATCAATCCGTTAGGTAACACATCCATTTATATTGTTTGTACCTTTATAATGCATTTTTATGCCTTATTAGACCAAATACTGGGGACAAATCTACTTACGGGGGTCACTTGTCGTTGATTGAATATCATTCGGTTGATGATGATCAATACTGCACTAGGTATTGCAAGCATGGTTCGACTAGAGTCAGCGCTGCAGACCGAGCAGTGGAGAGCACATACTTGGGCGGTGTTTTGTACGTCATCTTGCCCAGGCACTACCCCTCTGTCGGATTCGAGCGGCTTCCTGCTTCTCAAGTTTAGTTTTCCGTCTCCTGTTCGATCCCGAGGTTGGCAGCTTGCCAGAGGTTGCATCAAAGGTAATTTGGACAAATGTGTGTTCGGCTGGTTGGGTTTTGATCTTGGATGATCTGGAGTCGGTGGGCCTGGGAGACATGTTATGAGATGTTTGGTTCTTTAATGTTTCGTTGGCATTCATGTTCATGGAAGAGCGCCCATTTCCGACCTGAAAAGGTATAATGGGGCTACAGTCCGTTGTAGTGACATGCGAGTGGTCCACTCTAGAAGTTGTACCATGGATGTGGAATGATGGTCTCCATCAATGGTGCTGTGGCTGAAGTCTGGAATGGAAAAGGTTTGAGAGCTTTCTGTGTAATGGACGAAATCAGATCTGGAAGACGATACTGGATATAAGTTTTCCAGCCTACTGCCTTGAGACATTGGGAAAAACTCTTCAATGGAAAGCATGCGTTATTCACACTTTGGCCTGGGATCTTTGGATGTACTATGTTCCAGGTGGACAGCATATTGTTATTCTCTGGATCATAACAGGATTTCAAAACCCCCATTGGAACACTGGATAGAGAAGTATATTTAAGGCCATAATCAAAAGATTTCATCATTATCGGCCCAGCGAAGGTTCCATCCATTTTGGCAAAGCTCCTTGGCTAACGTTGGCTGGTTGGCATTCAGTGGTTGTTCATATTGCATTGGCTGAAGTTACGTAAACATGAGAGCACGAATCCATTGTCTAATGGCAGAAAGTCAACTTGCTCTGGAACCTGATCCACGTTGTTTCCCGGACTATATGGATATTTGGTCGTTTGAACGGGTTTATTCTGTTGACGGCGAATGGCCTAGGAGAAGGGCCATTTCGGGAGATGAAACCGAGGGAATTTGGTCCCAATCCAATTGATTCCAGACCATGAGAAGGGAAGACACCTTTCCTGCCAATTTTTTTTTTCCCCTACAAGCGGGTTAGGAAAACGGACAAGAAGCCCTCCGCGGGTAGATCTGCCAGTGATAGTTTGGCCTTCTCCTTACGGACACATTGATATCCCGTTCCCCCGGACACGTTAGTTAGAGAAATGAAGGGCAATAGAGGCCCTCTGGTGAAGCAGAATATCCCGTCGAGATATGAAACAATCCTTTCCATAAAGGTTTTATGACTTGGTGCGGCCCTATTTGCAAGTTGGATTTTGAAAGAAGGCCAGGCAAAGAATAGAATTAGTGGGTTTAGGAGAGAGCCAAAGCCACTGAGGATGTATGGAGTATGGGTTAAAACGGATGTTCTTATCCGAGAGGGTTTCAGGAAGCCTGAAGCTTCTGAGATGGGAAATTTTGACATCACGAAGGCACTCTTCAAGAACCGCGACTCGTGGGCAGATATTGGCTGAGATCTTCTTATTTATTGATTAGAACAAATCCAGTGAGGAGGCGCCTTACAAGTTATATTCGAGGAAGGAGAAGATGCGAAATCATTTCTGGGTGCGGGGAGTGCGGAATGGAGTTGGCGACCAGAAAGAACAGAAAATAATATTTCTTGTGAAAAAATATGATTGACTGAATAACGTTGGGCTTCACCAATTCCGCGTCTGAATTTTATCACCCAGCAAATTGAAGCGCGTTGTCGATGCTTTAAGCATAGCCATGAAGGTTTGGCGGATAGAAGGAGATGGGATGGCCGACCTTGCCGCTGCAAGAAATCTAGTTTCTCCTAAGAATGCAAATATTCGTGCCTTGCATTAATTATGATATGATGATGATGCAACGCGCTTAATCGGCGAAGCGCATTCGAGGAACAGAGTGGATCACTTCATCCTCCCGTGCCAAGGTTGCTGAAGAGATTTGGGGTTGGGAGAGCAGCGAGATGTTCGTTTTTTGTTGTTGGATCAATTTATTAGGGATGGTGTTGAAAGACGGAGAACGTGAAGACTGACATCTTCCTCTCCAACGAATGGATTCCTGTGGTTCGACTGGTGATGTGGGATATGAGTTCCTCATAATCCATTCATTGACCGTCACAGCAGATGCAAAGGACGCAAGGCAACCCGCGGTTGGATAAAGGCAATGCCCGCTAGTTGGCTCAGCCACAAGTTAGTTAACGTTCCCAAGTCCTACTTATCCAATCGGACCACCACATCGCTGCTGGCCCAACAATCTGAATCGGAGCCGGTGCTTTCTCATTTAGGGGTCCCTCAACTAGGGCTTCTGCATAGCCCTTGAACCACTAAGGGCGGAACTAAATGTTTTAAGCGTCAGATGAAGATCTCGCTCCAGAACTGCAATCCAGTGAAGACCCCCTATTCTTACAATTAGAAAATGGCAGGCCTAGAACTCTCCAGACCTGGCCTGATTCAAAGGCTCAATGTCAGATATCCATCCATAGCTCTTCGTCCGTCATCAAATCAGTTAGCCCCTCGCTTGCTCGACTTCATCCATTTCCGCATTATAACAAAGACCCCGTGAATATACATACAGTAACTGACTCACGGTTGGGAAATGGAAACGCTGGAGCATACGTTGCCCTTGTGCATGGGATTCAATTCAAGTGCAGTTTTTGGAGAGCAAGCTACCACTTAAACTTGCTAACTAGTGGGGTCTTTGTCCCGTCGCTGTATCTCTCTAATATCATCGGTTTAACACGTGAATCCACAGTCTCCCTGTCGCTTACCCTTGTCATACATGGCTGAAATTTTGCATTGTTTCCTATTATCAGAGTCCCAGTGCGCCCCTGCATACGCAAATTCGATAGGAGAACTGTCATATTTGCCAGCTGTGACAATGAGTTTGTATGGAAGCATACTGCCAATCCCAAAACTCTTTCCAGTGTTTGCTTTTTCCCTTTTTGCGCTTCCAATTTCCTTCTGTTCAGCATCAAATATCTTCACGTCAAACTCAAACTCTTTCCCCGTCTTCCACCCCTTTTGGTTTTGGTTTTTCTGATACTGAGTAATGTGGAGCCCGCACCAACCACTCCTCCAGGGATTTTTTGGGTTTGGTGTTTTGGGTTGGTATTCTCCAAAGAAGTTCTCATCTTTCACGGGAAGGTTAACAAAGCATTCAGGCCATTTCGATTTTTGAGTGAAAGATGGGAGTTTCGTCCAATCAGGAGAGCCGCTGCCTTTTTTAACTGCGCAGTCGACAGCATTTGTTAAGGCTGTCTTGTAATCGAAGCCATAGTAATTGGTGAAAGAGTTATACATCTTTTCAGTCATGAGTATTTGGGGTCCGGGACTCAAGTGGTCCTCTGTTCTCTTTACGATCGCCGTGCAGCGCTGCGGTAAGTAGATAATGTCAGCAATAATCCCAGCATGTTAGTCCGGTGGCAGACAAAATATTGACGTCAAGGGCGAATGTTAGCAATTGCGGATACCTAGCTAGGTGGACTTGCATTATTCATCCATATTCTTCTCCCTTTCTCACATTTGTCTTTGCTTATGTCGTACTAAAAACCAGAACAGATAAGCAGATGGAACGCATGTTATTGATTAATCGGTCGTGACAGAATGATGAAAGGCTTCATCGTACCCTTTGAGACACGTAATACTTCCCTGCTTTCAAACACTGAATGACTATTCCTTGTTTCTTCAACAGTCAGCCTCAGCCATTAAAGCAAGCGTGCATGAGGAAAAGGTAATGTAACCTACAATCATTGCCGCAATTGCGTTGGTATAGGTATTGATAGCCGGCTCAAGTTTTGTGTTGTCCATCATTTTGCCTTCTGAAAATATTCCTCCGATCCACTTGACCTTATCTTCGATTTCACCAACACTCTCGAAATTCCCTCCAAAAACTGCCTCGACAGTTTCCTTGAGAGCTCTTTCAATGCTCGTAAAGAAACGATTCACATCCTTCTCCGTTAGTTTTTTGAAGTCTGCGGGTCTCACAGGTTTGGCATTCTTTGCCTCCGCACCAGCAGCCAGATTCAGAGCACCAACAACCCCAGTTAGTGGAGCACCAATTTGCCAGACTGGACCGGTAAACGCGACTGCAGATACAAACACGCCAATCATCAATGACCATATATAGCGATTTTCTGATTCAGGAGGACCAAATATGTCAACCGCATTCTGTATGTCTTCAAGCAGGGCACTAATCATAAAGTTTTGAATCGATTCATGGATTCTATCGAGAGCACCCTTCAGCATCCCTAATGATTGATGGACAAAGAAGGCCTCTGGCGGGTTGTAGGTTTCGCAGGCTGAGCTTTCAGGTGTCGAACAGGGTCCGCCGCCAGGGTAACTCATACAGTTAAACGTCGAGCCGCCATGTTTACCCATATTCACGGTATGTTGAAAGAACTTGTTGGTCCAGTTTGTAGTTCCATATTTCTTCAGGAACTTATCGAGAAACTCGCCAGCACCGCTTTTCCCCCAGGTGTTGTTCAACGTCATTTGGCTTACCCCAGTGAAGGGAAGCTTGCATATTTCGGCTTTTTTCCAGACCCGAGGGGTAAGATCCAGCAAGTGCTCTGGTGACCTTGCGACATAGGCTGCTGCGCATGAGATTCCAAGGAGTACTGGCGCGAAATGGATACGCATTATTGTCAACAAAGAGTTCGGTACTGTTTCAATTGCGAACAACAGCAGAATACAAGTTAGGCAAACGAGGAGTGAGAAGAAATATGTCAAATACAAAATGTGAAGATGGACTGAGGCAAGTGATTGCATTCGCAGGTTTCTTCTGCCAGATTTGCTTGCGATATTGGATAGAAGGCGCAATTGAGAAGTTTTCAGGAATCTTTCACGTATTTATGCATTTCCCATCTCTCCTCAAAGTTCCCTTTCGTTGCTCCTTAGGTACTCCACCCCGATTCTTTTCCAGGGTAAGATGGAGAGTATGTTCCCCTTCTGTCCAGGTATGTGTGCCAAGGAATATATATCAGGTAGTTAACCATATGTGAAACAGTTAGGAGGACCCTTGATTGCTCCAACCACCGGTTATTTCGAGGATTGTTGAAATAAACTTTGTGGGGAGAGCACTAGAAATTCCAACCCAACGCCGATCGGCTGCTCCGAACAGGCTTGGTACTCTTCTCTGCACATGGAGTTGTATTAGGTCTCATTTTGGGTATTTTCTAGTCTCGCTACCGCTTGGCCCAGGTAGCTCCGTTATATGTCCTGCCCGTCTCTAGTGAAAGGGATCATTCATGAGAAGCCACGAGTAAAGGACATATGAGATTCGATCTGGCCCCGGAGTTAGAGTGCCAGCATGAGCTTGGAAGCAGCGTATCCCGATCACCTATCCAGATTATGCTGAATGCAGACGCCAACACTGTTCACGAATCTACAGCCAGAACATGTGCTAATATTCGGCAGCTTCTGTCTCAAAATGAATTCAGCATGCAACACGTGGAGAATAACTGCATATCTGCGTAGCTTAGATGTGCCAGATCAGGCGTTGAGGATGGGTTGCATATGATTATCATTACCCTACTACATACCCTGGATTCGGGGTAATGAGTGCAATAGCACATGGAGAACTGTGGAGCGGCCAGGGTGGGGTAGAGGTTTCACTATTGAATCTGACTGCGATTCTTGCATCCCATAGAGCGTTTTGACCTCTTGAGGTGTAGACCTGCATCCCACATTTCACTCTAAAAGTCATTCAATGTGGGAAACCCTGCAGTGCACGAATGTCAAACACCTGTTCAGTATATTTCTTCCTTATTCGAGTAAATGAACGTTGTGGAAGTGACAGGTTCATAAGGTGCACCCCGTGTGAAAGTGCATGTGTGTTTGTACATACATGATTTCAAAAAATTCCAAAATATCCGTTACTTGCAGATGAGAATTGAGGGAGAGTGAAAAAGATCTTGAAATTTGTCTAATTGGTATGTCTATTTTAATACCATCAGGTTTACAAAAGTAGTATCTGTTCACACAACAAAGCCGAAAATGCAGGGGCTGGGTACATTTGTGAACTCTTTGACGCATATCATTGAAGTATGTAAATATCCATAACTGGTGAAAGTGGCCAGGGGGTTGAATAAAAACGGTACGGATATTCTCCGGGAACATTGACCTTAGGGCCAGTTTTCTCTGTTTGGCTATTATAACTGAATTCTCTTGCAAATAGCCATGTGCTCCATCTAGGCACCTCCATGGCTAACAGGCTCTAGAATGCAAAATGGATACAATATTATTTCATACTGCGTTGAAAAGCTATTGACATTTGGTAACTGCCATTTTTTGTCCCAGCAGCTATAATTTATCATTGCAGCCATATTATTCCAAACCCATGAAGCTGAAATAGCAATTCCTGTCATCCGGCTAGCGGAGTGTGGAGTATGTGATCTACCCAGGAACCCCATTGAATCCAATGCTTGTTGTATGACCACGGAGTACTTCGCGTGTACGTTAAGGGTTCTTCTCCTAGTTAACCTAAGAGGTAACTAAGTTTAGAGTTCATAGTGAGTGGTTTGCGGCATTTTCTTCAGCAGAGGGATTCTCCAGCTAAGATGCACCGAAGCTCGTGGGCACGCATGGACTTATCACTCCATCCCTGTAGGAGCATAGATGCTAATGGCTTTAAAAGCAGCAACTTATAGATGTCGTAGTTACTATCCCACCAGCCTATGTGGAGAGTAACATGTAAGAATAAAATAAGTGAGCCTATGACTACCTCCTCATGCCAGTATCTGGTCTTTCACGCCGATCGATGTGAGAGCTATAGGATTTCGTCTCTGTTATTTACCACTTTGAAGAATAAGTTCACATTAGTTAGTTATCCACTCATGTTTAAACCGTTCATTAAGAGGAGATGATACGAAATGAGTTCTGCGGAATCAACCCAGCGCGAATTAGCCACTGCCATTCATCCGATCTAAATCGGATTTTTCTCTTTCTCCATTCGTCAATAATCTCGGAGGCTAGAATGGCTTCCAGGTGATTAAGTGCCATTGTAATGGAACAACGAGCCACTAACCAGGCAGAGCACAGAGGGATTTCTCAACCCAGTCGCAGTGTCCAACGTCGAAATCTGGGGACCAGAGAAGGTCGTTGCACGCCGTTCCCTGCCGTTCACGCCGCCCCCGTCGTATTTTTCTTCCTCGTAAATTTTGGGAGGTTCCCTTCAGCCAGAACTAAATATGGCTTGTTCGAAGGAAGAAAAGGGAAAACGAGAAGAAAAGAAGCAAAAAAGAAAGCTTGTCATGGACGGGAGTCGACTTGCAGCTTGAGGGACTTTTGACGTTTGGTTTGTTCCAAGTTCTGTCTCGGCCCGCACGGACCGCACCTCCCGAAACCCTGATGCAGTTTTGCCCATACGGATGGAAATCCACCTCCCACCAGCCAAAGATGTACCAAATGATGGCTATATCGCCATGAAGAATGTATAAGAACAGAAAACATCTCCTCCACAAATTACATGTGAGAATCACCTGCAACTTGCAGTCTTGGGTGTGGCGTTCCTGAGCGCGAAGACAGATCTTTAGATCAAGCCTGGTTCTACATTTGGATGTTATAGCTAGAGCTGTCATACACACACCGTTTTGCTTTTATGACAGAGAGGGGTTTGACTGTGTACGACATAATGGGCATTAAATAGGAATTGCGGGATTTAAGATGAATAAGAGTTGGAAAGTATCCAGTGTTAATTATTTTAGTGTGCTTGCAGAATTCTTTACTGAGCCCTGGTATCTATCTATGTGGCATCCAAGTTCATATCTAACCAGCAACGGAAGAATAAACAGAATTAACAGTCTAAATCACGTACAACCGAAAATCAATAGAGGCTAGGAGAAAAGAGAAAGGAAAATAAAATGAAAAAGGCTCTCTGTTTTCGTGGAGGTACCATTCTAGGTGGCCAGGAGGCTGGGGACTCATGGATGTTAAGATGTGGAGGAGTTCCATATTATCCCCTGAAGACATGTGCGGGAATTATGATATTATTTTTCAGACATTGTGATTGAAGTGATACGCAATACCTTCTTAGCTGATTCCTATTTGCATGAAAGCTGAGCTTCCATTTATTTGTCAGAAGGAATGGGGGAGGAGGGAGGAGGGAGTGGAAACAAGAAAAGGGGAAAGGGAAAGGAAAAGAAGGGAAAGGGAAAAAATGGAGAAAAGAAAAACTACTAAATTGACAATGCACATTGCACGGTAACCACAAGTTCTGTCCGCAGAGATCAGCCGTTGCTTGGAACAACATGAGGAGAGAGTTCAGCTAACATTTTGTCACCATCACGTATTTTTAGGCGTCCATGATGCTCTGGAGTGTGGCCGGGCCTGTAAATAGTTCAAGTGGCCCCATCGTCTTCCTCTCTTCCACAAAGGCGCGGGATCTGTATTTTAAACCATTCTCACACAACTATATCCGGGCAAAGATGCTCGGTTCATTGAGATCTCCGGGCGTCAAATACCGTTCCATAGGATGTTCGATGGTATTCTTCTTGAGGCGTTTATCGTCTCTCACTAAAGAATCATGGAAACGGATCAAATCTTCAGATGTTGGACGTTGAAGAGAAGAGACGATGGGGGCTGCTGGTTTTGTACTCCTCTCCTGCGTGAATTGATGTATGATTTCCTGGAGCGGACTCGATATTTTTCAGCGTCTGCTGGCTGGCTTGCATGCTTACTGTGGCTTGTAGGTTTCTGAGAAGGCATATTTAGTAGTGAAAATGTGAGATCAGAGCAAAACTTACAAGATTTATATTCCCTGTTATGCATTGCCAGTCTTTCCTCTGTCAGTAGTTGCAGTGACGGCAACAAAAAGGACTTCAAATGAGACTATTGTGACAGCAGTATCTCGATTTTAGAAGACCATTGGATATTTAATGCTAGCCGAAGCAGGATGAGACAATATCTATTGGTAGAGGGAATAAGTACTGAGAAATTTAAAGACAGGTGACGATTGCTGGAAACACACAGCATTGCCAAATGTTTTAGCTTTTGCGGGCGCATGCTTAGCCCCTTAACCCTGAAGGAAGTGAATATCATAATGCCAATATGGGACTTCAGTCTCAACTTAGCAGCTGTCGGAGCAGCCGAATTGAGATGGTGAAGAGCAATCGCCGAGAGCGAATTGCCCACTACCCTACCCCGTCATCTCCTGCATAAACTCACCAATCCACCGGGTTCCAAGGGTTTTATTTGGAAACGGCCAAAGTCTTGATTTCACGCTCTCCATGTGTAAGCAATGCATATTCTATTCTTTATCATGAGTTTCTTGCTGGCAGGTCTAATGGCATATTCCTCAACCACGTTCCATTCGAATCAAATTTGTTGAGAGACCCAATGGAACGGTAAGGGTAGCTAGTTAAGAAGGCCGACGGGCCGCCAGATTCGGGGTTAATTCGCCGACCCAAGGATAAGGTATGCCACTGATTTCTTTCGTCGTTTTATTAACGCACCTTTCCCACGCTTTTACTGGAGTTTTATGCAGCAGTCCTTTCCAAAAGTCGAGTGGTGAAAATCGATTGTGGATTAAAAACCAACCCTGAAGGGGAAACGGGTAAGGATACTTCTGTTCAAGAACTCAAGCACGAGATATGCGTTCAAGCAGAGTCCGTCAGCTCCAGCAAGAGTTATTTAGGGATGGCCACTTGATAGCAGTCCGGCTGTACGGGATTTGAAAAGAGATCCGATATGCACGTTTTGAGGTCGCAAATGGAACATCAGAGCTAAAAGAAGGAGTAGAAGTGCAACCGACAATGTGGGGAGGCTTACTTACCCCTTACCATAATTGACTCAAATCGAGTTGAGCAAACATCGTCCTTGTTTCTTATGACAGTGCATAGGAAGCCATGGTTTCCCCGGAATTTTGAGGGTTTGTTTTGCACAATTCTATAGTTCCTATAACTAATTCCCCTGCTCCCAAAAAGTTCTTTCAAAGAGTTAGCGTTGCAACAGCATGCGACAGTCGAGAAAAAAAATGATCTCCAGAAAATCGTTGACCGACGGCGTTGTTGACGGAACACTCCATCAATGAGAGCCATGCGAGTATGAGAGAAAAGGGAGCATATACTGTGCCGTTTCCTAACAGCAGTGTGTTTTCTAGCTGCCCCTTAGCTTCGAACACGGGAGCAGATCGCACGGCCAAGATAAGATGTCCCTGGATTACGGCCCGCTTCCAAGGCCCGATGTGGATTTCACGTGTCTGCGACCTTCAAAGCCAAAAACCATAATATCCATGGATCACTAGAAATTGAAATGTGGGCTTCTGAAGTATTATTAGGAGAGAGAAAATTTCTTTCCTGAGGTCCTCCCGTGCGCATACTGTGATACCGAATTGCCGCGAGCTTTTTGGTTGCCATTTTGCGTTAGATTGCACATCCCTGTTTTAGAACAGCAACTTTCAGACATACAACCTTCCTGGGAGCAAAGAAGGTTGTCATGGCATGCAATAGAGAGTAAGTGATGATTGCTCGGAAGGTTTGCTGAAGCACGAAACTAGTCTTGCCGAAGTTTCCTGTTTCTCACTTCCTGCTCACACTCCGGCGAGATGGTTGACCAGACAAAACGAGGGGTGTGGGATCAACGCCGTTATTCCTCCACCTTAGGCGACGAACCAAAGTTCTGGATAGGGCCCATCTTAGTGGTAAAACGGCGAACTACTCATTTCAATTATTCTTTGGATATCGCAGTTCTTCGATAAACAACCCCCCTGGGAATGCAAGGGTGCCCCATCCATCAAGCCCCTTGAGCCAACAAACGGCACGAAGTGGATCTTTGTTGAAGTTCTGCAGGTGGTTGCTGTAGCCTGCGCCTGAGCGGTCAATCTCAAATGCTCGAAGTGAATTCCTGGACTAGTTATCGAATGTTGGCCAATCATGAGCTAATAATGTCTGTGCACAGTGGGCCAACGACTCTTGCTCAGCTTTCACCCCCTGTGGATGGTTGATGTTCCATCTCCAGGCTTGACTAGGAACATAGCCAGGATAGCGGCTGAAGTGAGACCTTTCAGTCCGGGATTCTGGGCCTCTGCAAGACCTGCACTTCCTGTAGCCGTTTTAGTGACCGTCTTCTCCTCTTACTTACACGTCGGCGTCAACCTCAGGATAACAGCAACCCCACTCCTCGCTCAAGAATGCATGTCAAGGTTTCTGCTCCACGATTTTGGCTCGTTAACTAGTTAACCCGCGGACCTTCTGCCATAGACCCTTAGTCTTCAAGCCTGTGACAGGCAACAGGCAACCAATTCGCAAGGGCTATGGTTCATTGATCGACGACGCGTCCCATAACCAGCCCTTCCACAAGTCTAGAACTTGACCGTTAAACTTTTTGTCATAGTTACTCAAGCCAACAAGAGAACGGAAAAATCCCGTTCTTCATGTGGTGGAAAGGTAATTTCAGCCTTGATGTACCCTCTCTTTCTTACCCAGATAGAAGCCCTTAGTTTTCAAGGTTTCGTTTTCTGATCATGGCTCCTCTAAAAGGAACATATGCACATATATACCCCGCACCGTGCGACGCATTCACTATCAGCAATGTCTGGATTGTTGCTCTCTGCTCACCATATAAAAAGGTAGTTATTGGGAAGTATTCCTCAGTTCTTCCCTACCCCGCATCATAATGAATCAACCCTTTTCATTCCATTATTAACAATTGTCACTTGCTGATTGTAAAAGGATAGCTTGCAGGTGATAGTTTGATTGGTTTTAAACCTCCCATTTAAGGCCGCCGTCCCCAACTCTGATTGGTATGAGCCACATTCAGCAGTCATTCCATCAGCGTACGGGGCTCTGTTCTCCGACTCTTGGTTGCGTAATGATGACAAAATCCACAGAATATTAAATCTCATAATCAAGAAAAAGCTGTTATGAATAACATATTCATCGATGTCAGGTTTTGACATTTAACATTTTTAAACATTTTTAAGGTTAAAACCGTGTGTTGATACCCATGGAGTAAACTATAATTAAAACCCTGTTATTTTGGCTGACGTGACTTTCAGAGGGTTAAACTGTTGGACATTTGAGTGGTTGTATTGGCAGCTAACTATCTACTCTGTAATTACAGAGCACTGGGCGCTGTATGCTGATGTGTGAGGCGCTTGTCCATAATAGGAGGCCTTGGTGCCCACAATATCTACCAAAGAATACCAAAGAAGCTTTTCAAAGTAATTTTCCCTATTATGATTGACATGGAGAGACCCTTTTTTTTTTTTTTTTTTTTTTTTTGTTCATTTATTCTTTTCAAAGACTTCTTACATTTCTTGCCTGGACATTGTTATTGTTGTTCCTGCTGTCATTGCACTACTTTAACCTATTAAAAAGAGGCCGCAGAGGCAAGTGTCCCAAGAATCAGGTAAAATGCTAGAAGCTCACAGTAAGTATCTTCAGTGACATTTCACAAATTTATATCAAACTGTCTTCAAGAGGCGTGTAGGTATAAGTATCATATTATACATAATTTTGCATTTATCTAAGTAGTGCTTACGTGGTGGATTGAGTACTATGAGCTGTCCACACCTGCTAGAGTATTCAGAAGTATATATATATGACTTAAACTGAACATAATTTTGTGCTCAAGAGAAATGCCCTCTGCAGTGGTACAGGAAGAACAAATCACAATAGTGAAACTTGTGTGATTTGAACTAGAGAACAATCCAGACGTTCTGAAGTTAATAGATGACCAAGCTTAGTATTCAACGAAGCCACTGCTGCAAACGCCCAATAAAAATAATCAATGTCCCAAAGACCACCTGTGGCAATCCAAGAGGATATTAAAGAAGTTGGAGAATTCAATGTAGTCTGTTTGGGTGAGAGAATGGGAGAGTGAGAGAGTTCGGTGGAGGCGACATAACTTCGTTTACCAGTGGAAATAAGCCCGGATGAGTAAAATTGGAGTGCAGGTGTGGAACAATTTGCGAGAGATAAGTTGTGTGAGAGGATGTCCAAGTCGTGATGTGGTGATGGCGCCAAGGAGCATTTGAAAGGATGGTAAAGGCCGATCTAGGTGTAGCTTGTATATACCCCGTAGCCGTCAGGCGGCCTTCACATTGGAGGGAGTTGGAGTTTTGATGACCATTTTGATTGTTACAAAATTGGTATAATGGAGGATGCTGTCCAACAAATCTTGCCGGATGGTTTTCAGATACCCAATCTGCGTCGAAATTCTGGTTATTCGAGCGCCCACTTCGTATGCTTGACGTCGGCGTTTCTGGATGACTTTCACCGTTAGCATGAGCGTAGAGCGGCCATTCAGTGTTCCTGGTAATACTGTGTGATGGGCTGCTTCCATTCGCTGTAAATGCTCTTTTACTTGTATCCTGCCCTTTAGAATAGAGCAGCTGGGCTGAGTGTGATGAAGGATGGATGTTGTTTTGGATGGGATTGATCACTCTTATGGAATTGTGCCCAGGTTCGCGATTGATAACGGAACCTGTTTGCCCTTCGCCCAGTCTCATCGAGCCGTGCGGAATGCAATCCGTCTGTCCTTGTGCATTCGAATGGTGTATCGGAGAGGGTCCTCGCGTACTCCACAACTGAGGGCATGTGGGATTCCCAGAGTTTTGTTCAACGTGAGTCGTTCTATTGGCTTCAAAATTGCAATCATTAAAATCCCGCGCATTATTATGCCCACGGACAGTTGCCTGGTGAGCCACAGGAATTTCATTTCCCATATCTGGTTCTCTCTGGTATTGGATAGGATTTTCCAGATTTTGTCTAATTAGTTGGTGGTTCGACTTAGAAGAAGGCAGCACTGACATCTGAATGGCTCCCGAAGCTCTATTTTGTTCAAGTTCGTGTGCATTTCTATTTGGCTCGGCTCTAGATGAATGCTGGCCAGTGTTGATGGCACGAGAGACTGATGAGGAAAACGACTCAGAGGGGCTATGACGGCCGTGCATACTAAGCTGATGTGCGTTGGTATTCGACGCAGGATCAGTGGCAACTTGATGATTGGAATTCGAACTTGAAACGGAAGGTTGCTTTTCTTTCGGAATCCTACTTCTCTCGCCAGGAGATGGCGATCGTGGAATATCACCAGGTGCGGCAGGCAAATGGGTACCCTCCCAGGAAAAGGAGGCTGGAGCTGGAAAGTTAATTTCATCTTTAGAGGAGGCACCTATTTCCCATCAAAAGATTAGTCTGCATGAGCGCATCCCCAACGATGGCCAGGACGGGAATCATTATTAAATCATGTGGCCATACGTACCATTTGCAGCATTTAAATCATCACACTCTTCGGCAATGTCGCTGGAGGCCGTGTAGTCGGACTCAAAAACGGAGCAGAACTGAGATAAAAAGCGATTTTGCTCTTTGATGACCGCTTCTTCTTCTCGCGCCCCCCTCTTGATTGGAGTTTGAGAGATCAACTTAGACATTGGGTACTCTTTTTCCACTTCAGCGTTAATCTGCAACCTGTTTTTGTGACTTAACAACTTCGCCGTATGTTGTAGAACCCGTCCATAGTGGTCGAGAATTGCAATATTGGTAGGGTCCCACGCAGGCCCTGATTCATGGCTGCTACCAGGGGCACGAAATCCAGCTTGAGATAGCCAAGTTGTTGGTTGATTGATTTGTCTCCTCAAAGGATTCGAGGTGGATTCCGCCGGATTCACACTAGCATCACGGAAAGAACTTGCAGGTATGTTGGAGACGAATGAATGTATGTTTTGTTCTGGAGGCGCCTGATCGGTGCCTCCTGAGTGATTTGAATTAAGTTTAGGATTTGAGGGAAAGTTGCTGAGCGGCTGTGAGGCTCTCTGGGAACAACCTTCAACTGTAGAGAGGTTGGGCAAAGGTTGTGCCTCTGGGTGACGTGAGAAATATTGAGATATGGTCTCCCCAGAGTCGTTACCTTCCCGTGCCCTCTTTGTACGGGTTTGTTCGTTTGGCTCTGATTCACTCGGGCGCTTAGTGCTACTTGACAGAAAGCCCATCCCTGAAAAGCTGAGGTCAGGTACTGCAAATTTATTATAGTTAGCACGGAATAGATAGATTATGTAAGGAATAGCAACATACTACCCCGTCCGACTCGAGCTTTGTTAAGGAATCCCACACCTGGGTTCATCGGTAGCTGAGAGAAGCATGTTAGCAGTAAGCTGTTGAATGGTGCAGTGCAGTTACTGACACTAAGACGGTCTTGACCAACATTTGGCGCCTTGAAATTATTCACAAGGCTATTGTCCTTCCCCTTCCCCCTTCTACGGACTTCTGGTTTCTTGATTACCCCTGCAGAGTCTGGTGAAGTTAACAGAGCGCTTGTATCCTTGGGAGTATTCTTGGTGTTAATTCCGTTTCTCTTTTTCCCTCCCTTCAATGCCGATGACGTGCCGGCCACCCCCGTTGAATTTGATGGCATCGTTGAGGGGCCTATACCCTTGAGTTCATATTTGTCGAGCCGAGTCTTGTGCCTCGGACGACGATCATAGGCACTTCTAGGCATCTCATTAGGCACTGGCGGGTTAAAATTTCTCGAATCTCGATTTGCCACTGTTGTATCAGGCTGTGATAGAGTAACAGGAGATTGAGCAGTGGTACTCTGAGGGTGTGCGCAAGGCATATGCTGGGACTCTCGTGTAATTTTGTTCAAGTTTTGCGCAGTAGTAGCGTCCTTTCGTGCCTCTTTATCGGCATTCATCGTTGCTATAAAGGCTAGAAGCTCCGAAATTGTGAAATATTCCTCACGTTCTATCTGGGGAACTTGGTTGCTTTCGTCGATTCGTCTCTGTCGCAACCACTCTCCCTCCCCTTGTTGCTTGCAGCTTGCAGACCGTTGTTCTGTTTCGTATTGGATGAGCCTTCTCGCTGTACAAAAGCAGAGTTGGGGGGAAGGTGGACATTTCGCAGGACAACTTCTGATAGCCAGTGGTATATTACGTCATTCTTCTTGGAGTCACTGACCATGTTGAAAGCAAATTGCGCGCAGCCTTCGTGGAAAAGCAGGGCGAATGTAGCCCGAGAACAGCAGATGAACCACCGTTGAGGGGGCAGAAGAGGGGATGACCCGGATAGATGTAAACACAGGATGCAGGCATGGCATGAAACAGGCAACAGCAGCAGGTTGGTTCTTGTGGTTCACCCACTCGCTCCTTCCTCAAATTGTAGAGCAGGAGCCTCCATCTCCCAGAGAGCCATGGCAGGTGCGAGGGGCTGGCTCTTGAGGCATCGCTGAGGCCAACGAGAAGGAAGTCGTGATGCTCAACCGTAGCTTTGTTTGCATTGCGATAATGCGCTCCGTCAGTCTTTCCCAGGAAGTTTTGTAAACAAAGACGGACGGCAGTGGTTAGACAGAGGAAGATATCAGAGTGGAGGAAGACAGCGCTCAATGTAAATGATAGCACAGTGCGCTTCATGGACGCAGAGCAAGAGATCAAGGCGACAGAAACACACATTCCTTCAACGGCATTAAATTGCCATTTGACAGCCACGAGGTCGAACCCTGGCTAGGTTAAATCGAAACGATTGTATGAGGAACCCGCAGCTTATCTCTACTCAATCCCTTTCACCCACTGACGGTGAATCATGCTGACCATGGAAACCAGCTCCTGGGAAACACATTCTGTGGGACAGAGTGACTGTTGGCCCGATCTCCCAAAAATGTCTTCACCCTGGGAGTTCCAATTCAGTGATGGCAGAGCAGTACTGGTATTGAAACAGTTCCGGCGACCAGTTCAAAGTATGTACAGGACACGTACATACATTCAACCCGATTGATTTCAGCAAACCCAATTGACAGACGTTTTACATCACAAGCGGATAGAGTTGGAGTTTTTTTTTTTTTTTTGGAGGTCAATCTTAGTATGAAATATCGCCATACCATCACTGGCTGTGTGGGACCATGTGCAGGCCACTATAAATTTTGAGGCATCGCGTCTCTCCAGAAAACGCCTGTCCCGTTGCTAGCGGGTTAGTTATTGTGAACTCAACATCCATTTGGAACGCTACCAGCTTGTTTGATGCTGCATTTGCAGCATGAGAGGGAACCAATACCAAATCGCGAAATAAATTGGCGTTTAAATGTTTCAGAAATCTAGAGTTGAGCAAGGTGTGATTCTGTTTAGGGGAAGAAAAAAAAGCCAAAGAATAATTGTGTCGAGTAACGAATTGACTGGAAATAATGGGAAATACGACGCAAGCGAGGAAGAACTGCAGCCAACAGTTTTCGAAATGTGGATAACGGAACCATCGAATCAGGACGGAAAAAATTACATGAATGCACGATTTGTGCAACCTCTGCAGCATAGCCTAGCGGCGACGCCCTTGCACACGCTTGCGTCGGGCCCAGACTTTTTTTCACAAAAGAGTGTGAGTGGGTATTTGCACTTCGTTGGATAATAAATAATAATAATAATAAATAATAATAATAATAATAATAATAATAATACACGGAGTAGTTATCTTTGGGAAGCAGGCGAAATCTCCAGAGGCGCTCGGTAGGCTTGCGCAGTAATGAAAGTTTTCATATCCCTGGCTTCAATGAAGGGGCGAAAGAAGGGACCTTCCAAGGTTTGGCAATGCCATCCAGGCTGACTCACCAAATCAAAGTTAGGCCTCTTCACCGATGGTGTGAACAACGACCTAATCTCTCGAAACCACTTTTGAGTTGTTGAAAAAATAATCAGAGCGGGAGTCGAGATGAGGTTGTTGGCTGGGGTTGAGGTAAGCTCAATGGGTGGAGACGGACAAGCATCCAATCTGGTAACTAACCGATGCAGATGGATTAGAACGTTTCCGTGGTTCGTGATGCGTGGTCCATCAGTAGGCATGCCCAATGACCCTCTTCTTCTGCAAGGACCTGGTCAACCTGCGCTTTTTGTGGGGGGATATTCAAATTCAAAGAACTAACTAAGCTTGTTTGAGAATTTGCGGTTTTATGATCTAATGACTGGGGACTCCACCGCAAGATTGACGTCCCAACAAGCATGTACGGCTTCAATCGTACGTCCGCACTAACCCGCAGAACTCTCCGCCCTCAAGGGAAGTAGTTATTACCCATTATTAATGCTTCTGCCGTCGTTGAAGAAGGCAGAGCCGAAACGAGAGGGCTGCAATTATGAACAGGCAACGGTGGGAGCCCTGGGAGTGGCCCAATCTTGAGGACTAACACCCCCAAGTTCCCAGGCTAGTTCTGTACTGTACGTCCTAGCCGCCTGTTGTGGGAGAAAGGTCTCAAGAGATCCAGTTTGGCACTCCAGCATTCCAGCTCTTTCGATTTCAACTTCAATTATGGAGGTGAAGAGCGTTTCTGGGCAGCGCAACGTGGTATATTTTTCAATCAACGGCATGTCTCAATCAACGTTTCTGCGAGGATTTGCCTGGATTTGCTTTTTCTCGGAAGGAAGAATATTGAAATTAACAGTATTTTCGCTTGCTCCGTCCCGCACCACACAGATGTCGGACGCAGTAATAAATAATAAATAATAATATATTACAGTGACAGAGGGAATAAGTTGTATGCGAGCAAGTGATAGGTGAGGTGTGGTTGTTAATTCACTAACTACGATTCTGCCCATGTTGCTGACTGTCGCCGTTTGAGCCTTCCCCTCCTCTGTCTTCTCTTCTGCAACTTCTCACTCCTCTTCTTTCTTCACCTCTCTTTCATCCTCCATCCTCATCTCATCTCCCCCTCATCTCCGTCTCCATCTCCATCATCTTCTCCATTGCCCACCCGCTCCTGTTCGTCTCGTCTCTCAGGTCTCTATCGCGTTTGTCTCTACGAGCTCCTTGTCGTGTTTGTGCTCCTCCATCTCTCGACTCACTCTCTCTTAGTTTCCCCTATCACCCTCTCTTCGTTCGTTCTGCGGTCTCGACTGCTCTGATCGACTTCTAGTCCAATCCAAAACGTTGGAACACTCTATTTCCTTTTGCTACGCTTCTCTTCTTTCCCACTTTTATGGTTGTTGATCCCATTCTCACTATGTGTTGTCTCTTTCCTCCTATCAATATTCTGTCACCCGTATGTCTTTTGTAATACTCTCGTTTTTATCTCCCCAATAACTGCGTTATCTCATGTCTGTTTAACTCTTATCCCTGTTTCTTGTGCTAGTTGACATCATTTGCATCTCCATATGTAATTGCGCTATGCTGCATGGGTCACATCTGCCAGTGAATCAACTCATTGATGGCAATTGTCTTGCTTGGAGACTTCCGCCATTCTCATCGTTACCCAGGCATCCATCTTGGAGATGCTAACGCGAATCCAACACATACCCTACTAAAGTGCCCTTTTGATCATATCCACTAATGCTCTCTCGTCATTTTCTTGCTTGTTTCTCTTAAGTTGGTTCAATGACTTTCACATTTACATCAATCAGATGACCCTAACTGTTTTCTTTCCCTCATTAGATCCGAGCCAATACCAAGCCTCCTGACTCTAAGTAAACAGGCTCCAGCATTTGCTTGAAACGCCAGAATGTCGAAGCTATTTGTTGGGTCCGTTAATCCATTTTCTATTGTTCCTTTTAATCTAGCCTGAATGTAACTGACAAATGTCATTCTTGGGATGTGTAGCGGCCTTGCATGGCATACTACCGACCAGACCTTGCGTCAGGGTTTCGAGAAGTACGGCACCATTGAAGAAGCCGTTAGTGTTCCCTTAGTACAAGATGCCTTCTCCGATTTACATTTCCAATCGCTTCTCCTGGCGGTTTTCTATCTCTAATTGCCCTTTGCAGATCGTTGTCAAGGACCGCGACACAAACCGCAGTCGTGGTTTCGGCTTCGTCCGGTTTTCCCGCGACGTTGAAGCAGACGCCGCGATGAACGCAATGAGCAACCAGGAGTACGTTGGAGCCATTCTGGAAGCGCTGGGGAATTAGTCCTGGTGTTTACTTTGTCCGTTACCGAATGAACATCATTGAGATTGACCCGACCAGGTTCGATGGACGTGTCATCCGGGTCGATAAAGCTTCTGACCGTGCTTCCGCTCACCGCAATGATGGTGGTGGTTACCATGGACGTGGCGGCGGGTATCACCGCTTCGACAGCAATGGCGGTGGTGGATATCGCAATGGCAGCGGTTATGGTACACAAATATCACTCTCGTTCGATTTGCGTATAATATTTTGCTGTATTTCTGACGCGAGTCCATTTAGGTGGCGGAGGATACAACGATCGCCATGGCGGCGGTGGTAAGCTGCTCACCTCGATTGCAAAGTTTCTCTTCCATTATTTTCCTACTCAATTCCTCGTTACTAACTGTATCCCTTTGTAGGCTGGGGTGGCCACCAACGGCAACAGTATTCCAACCACGGCCTGGGTGGATCTGGGGCATAAACACACATTTATTAAGCGCACACGTTCAGAGATAGCGATTTGTCAACCGTTTTTATATCCCGAAGTACATCTCATGCACCTCAATTTCTACTCTTCAGATTTTTTAAGGTTACGATAAAAGGAGTATAAGAAAACGAGGCAACAGCCAAGGAGCCACGACTATAAAACGATTAAAAGAAAAATTGGGATACTATGGATCATATGTAGCCCTTCGATGTTAACCTTCTTCTATTTTAATTATTTCTTCAGGCTCCCTTATAAGCTCGAGCATACACCCATGTAATTGGCGTCAATCTTTCTTTCTCTCATCACTTTTCTTGTACCCCTTCACCAGCGATCCGTGGTTTCTGCCTTCCACATAGCTTCCAAGTCTGTTTTGTTTTGTGGCTTTTTTTATTTATTTTTTTTATCTAAGTACCCCCAGTGTTATTTGCAGCTTGTGCTTTTTCCAAAAACTAGTAGCAAACAAAAGTCAGTCTCTGGTGGTGGACTTCATTTTTTCCCCCTACAGCTTTAATTTATATTCCATTTTGCCTTTCCCGCCTCTATTGCTGTCTCATGTGTTTCCATGATTTCCCACCCTCCAATTCCTATAACCCCCTTCTCCAAAACAATCTATCAAGTTAGCTAATTGTTTCCCAGACTGTTCTTCCCTCTATCTCACACCCCTCCAAAGCCCTTAATCCCAATAAAGCTCTGCCCAACGCCTGTCATGTCCTGCTCTTCTTCACTAGAATGACTAACTTTACCCATTTGGTAATGAAATTAACTGCCTTTTGCTTTCTTCTCGTGGCTGATATCTGTTTTGCTCTGTTTTGATTTTGCTCCGTGTCACTTTCCCCAGCTTTTCTTTTGTACAAGACAATAAACGAAATCAGAAATGAGGAAATTTAATCAACTCAACAAGTTGAGTGGGTAGAAAACAAATTGTGTTCTGTTTAAGGTCTCTTCTGCTCTCTCGGTTGTGTTCCATTCTAGCTAGTTCCCCTCTTTTTTTTAATGCTATGAGAAATTGCGATGGTATTATTTTTTGTTGCCCGACGGCGTGAACACATGTGGTTTCTTTGCCCAAGTTTTCTCGTTTTGGTCCCACACTTTCTGTTGAAATATGACGTACCGCTCCTTTACCCATGTCAGATATTACTTATTTTGATGGAGCAGTGAGTTCAACAGGCTGACAAAATGAAGTGGATAATATCAGTCATATCATGTACATATGTACATGTAAGCGTTGTGGAAGGGGGAAGCAGGAAGTATTTAGAAGTAATCTACGTAAAAATAGTAACCCGAGAGGATATGGAGAAATATTGCTGCAAACGCGCAGATAGTATATGAACGGAGCATTAAAGACATTAGAAACATGTGGCCACTCCTTGAACATCTCCCATGCACGAAACTTTTTAAGTAACAAACACATGATCCAAATCTAGATATGTTCTATAAAAACAATCTATGCAGACAGGTAAAGCATCAGCATACACCTACCTCACCCCTCCCCTCCCCCTCCTAATCGGCCCCCTTCAAACTCCTCCATCCGAACCGCCTTCTCCTCCGTTTCCATCTGCGGTCCAGGCAAATGCTCCAACACAGCTTCGCTCCTCCGCCGATCCGCCTCACTTACATTCTCCCCCTCAATAGCCCTAACCCTCCTTGCCAAATCCGCCACATGTCCATCAGCAACCCCCATCCCCCCTTCACCTCTATTCCACTCAAACTCCGGACCCTCCAACGCCTTCTCCAGCAAATACAAATAGTCGCGATTCTCACCGCTTAACCCGCGGCTCTGGCTTATGACACGCGCGACGGAGGCTGGGTCGCGGTCTGCGGGATTACGGAGGAATTGCGCGTTGGTGGGGAGGCCGATGTAGACCATGCAGGTTATGGGGGAGGTTGGTGGGTGGTTATTGTTGGTAGTTCCGGTGGTGGTGGATGATTTTGGTGACGGGTGGAAAAGGGTGAAGTGAACAGTGTACCCATCTATTTCCCTTTCGTCGAGGTAGGCGTGAACCTCTCTGGCGTGTGAGGCGGGGATATGGTAAGCTGCTCCCCAGACGACGGAGAGGTTCGAGGTAGATTGTTGGAGATCATTTTGCTATGAAGGCACGTTGGTTAGGGATTGTATAGGAACCTACCTAGGTAATTTGCTGGGTGAGGTAAGGTTTGGGGAGGATGGATGGAGGGGGCATCGATTTCTCTTTTTGATTTCTTTTAAAGATACTAACAGTGTCTGATAGTGTTTCCCAAAATGATTGTTCGATGACAGTTACGACTCTTCCGGGTGATTCGGGAGTCCCTCGATGGTCTCCGCTGTTTCAGACGGAAGGGAGCAAAATCAGTAAGGTCCATGAAAACCTTTTGAGACAGGGTTTGTAGGGATATAGAAGTGACTTCCCCTCCCGGGGTATGACGGGATTTCCAAACCAGACATAGAAAACAAAATAATGATGGGAAAAATTGATAATAAAATCAGATGGACGCACCTCGCCTTTACATGAATAAAAGCAGGAGAGAAAGTCAGCTCCCGGTTTTTCACAAGTTAAACGGCCGTTGGCTCCCCATTGTTTCGCTCCCATAACTCACTGGATATGAGTGTTTTTAAATGGGCTAGGATAGGCAGCACCCGATCATGGAGACGAGGTTCATACCTGCCAGAACCGCCGAACATAACCCTCTATGTAGCCGAGAACCCGCTGATCTAAAAAGATACTTAGTCACAGTATGCAGGTATATATTAGTGTATGTACTTGTAAACCAATATAGGATAGTTGATGCTGTGCCACAAGGTTATTTGGGTGAAAGTTCGAGATCCATGAGAGACACTGTCGTCAGCGCAATTTCATGTTTGAAATCCTTGCGTCTTCGACTATCCTTTGTCATACAGGAAGAAATTATGCATACCATAATGCGGGGGGGGCTTCCATATCAGACTCCTAATTGGTATATATCAGAATTGCATATATGTATGGCTCTAACAGATGAGTGCATGTAGCGTCAAAAGATGAATGAAATAGAAAAACAGCTAACAAGAGGATATATAGACCGAAATTGAGATTGCAAAAATAAATAAACAAAACAGTAAGCAGCATAGGAGAGCATTTACGAACCCGTATCCGAAAACCCAAAGATCTCCGTTGGGGAAATGGCTCGTCCAGGAGATTGGAGCTGGTATCAAGGAATGTGGCATTTCGGAGTCGCCTTGTGGTTTCACCCTACCTACCCAGTTAAAGACTACCAGCGTATAGCAAGGCAAAATCTGTTGATACAATGAGGGGGCAAACAATAGAAAAGAAACGCAGAGGATTCAATGGTGTCTTCTTTGTGAATGTTGAGATGTTCGAGGTTAAGTCAATTATTATTGGTGCTCTTAGAAGAATATGCTGATGTTTGCAATCTTTGCAACCATCAGGATTCATCATCAGATTTATCATGTGATAAAAATCACAGCATGGAGTTAATCAATGCATCTTCTTATTTTAAACATTTTATAAATTTCAAAAGCTTTTATAAATCTCATATTTACACTTAGTGAGAATGTCTTTTTCTAAACATGAAAATATAAAACTGTATAATTGTATTATTACTATATAATATAAAAGTTTTAACTAATTTAACTATCTATTATATAATTAAATAAGTTGATCTTTATTTTAATTTTATATTCTAAATCAAAGATTAATTAGTAATATATATGCATTTATAAATATTTTTTTAAAGTTTTTAAATATAATATTTATTTAATTATATATAAAAATTTTATGTATATAATATTAATATTATTTTATTAATTTATTAAAAAATATAAAAATATTATTTATATAATTAAAATTAAACTTATTTATATAATATTATAATATTTAGTTAATACATCTTTAAAATATATCTAAAGTATTAACTAATTTAAAAGAAATTATTATTTATTTAAAAAAATTATAAAATATTTATTTTATTATTTAGATTTTATTTTTATATAATTCTTTATTATTTTTTATAATTTATTTATTTTTTATATATTTTTTTTAATTTTATCTAAGTTTTTACTACATTTATAAGTAATTATTTATATTATTTTATAAAAGTATTTTTATTAAAAATTATAAATTAAGAGTATTTTAAAATAAATTAACTTTAATATTATTATTTTATAATTATTTTATAATTTTTAAAATCTTTTAATCAAAAATTGAAAAAAAATATTTTAAAAAAATTATATTATTAAATACTTTAAAATTAGTTAAAAGTTTTTAAAATAAAAATAAAATTAAAAATAATTTAAAAATATACTATTATTTATATTTACTTATAAAATAAAATTTAATTATAATAAAATTATATATATAATTAAATATATATTAAATCTGATTATTAAAAAAATTAATAATTTTATTATATATTTAAAACTTGACTATAATATTAAGTTATTAAATAAAATATTAAATAATATTAATCTTATTAAAGATTTTATATAATATAATCAATTATCTGATGAGATAGATTATCTACTAAGACAGATCTTCACTACATAACACATTTAACTACTTAATTAATCAAATGTCAAAATGTCAGCAATTAAAAATGATAATTTTTTATACAAGAAAGAAAGACTTACACTAGCTATTGAAATAGTTAAAAAAATCAAATTTCTAGTTTTAGAGCTGTTGTCAGATTGTATAATATCTTTTATTTCACTCTTTGTTATTAACTTCATAGCTATACAATGTGAGAGAACTCTTAGTTAAGAAATTAAAAACTGATCTCTATTAAGAAATTATCTTTTGTTTAGTGAATAATCTTTATAAATGAATGTGATCAGTCTTCTTAAGTGAGTATTATATAAGAAACAGTTAATTTTCTTTTTGTCAATTGAGATAAATCTTTCAACTCAAAAATTGTTGATGAAAGCTGAATTAAATAATTCATTAATCATTATTCTGAGTTAAAAATTCAGTTCTTTAATCATATAATCATCAATAAGCTTTATGTGAAGATTCTAAAATTATTCAAAAATGATTTGAGCTTATAAAAAATATTATTCAGAAATATAATATTGTATAAAAGAATATATATAACTTTGATGAGACTGAGTTCCATATGAGAATTATTGAAATATTTAAAATGATTACTAAGTCAAAAAAGATTCTTTGTTCAAAGCTTGTATAGTTTGAAACTACAGAATGAGTTATTATTATTGAGAGAGTCAATTTAACAAACTAATTATTATCTTTAATGATTATTCTTAAGAGGAAGTTACATCAAACTTCTTGATTTGAAAATGAGCTACTATACAACTAGATGATTGAAATCAGTAAAAATGAATGAACAACTGATAAGCTAGGTTTGATCTTCCTTAAAGAGATGTTCAATAAACATACTAAAACTCATATGATTGATTAATATTGACTCTTGATCCTCAATGAACATGGCAGTTATAATGATTCTGAGTTTGATCAGTTTTATACTCAAAACTTGATTATTTCTCTTTATATGTCAGCTCATTTCTCTGATCTCTTATAGTCTTTAAATGTTGCTTGTTTTTCCTCATTGAAGCAAGCATACAGAAAAGAGATTGAGAAGAGAATGAGATTTAACATCAATTATATTAATAAGAATAAGTTTTTAACTATCTATTTTTCAGTTTATACAGTAGCTCTGAGTGAAAAGAATATTCATAGTGGATTTAAAGCTACAGAACTAGCTATGTATGATTCAGAGTAGGTTCTTTCTTAGCTCAATACTCATATACATACACCAACCCTTCCAGAGACCTCACATAGCTTCCAGGCCTTCTGGGCCACTGCCACTCCTCATAATATATAACAACTGAAGCTTCAGAGTGAGAAGATTAAGAAATATCTCAAGTACTGTACACAGAGTCCACTTAATTCAATCAATCAAGCTCTGGAAAAGCTAGTCAAAAGATGTCAGATGACTATGCAAGTACTGTTATTTTGACAAAGAAAAATAAAGAGCTGAAGACTATAAATGCAAAGTAAAAGAGAAAGTAAGAAAGATGTTGTACATATATAAACCAGAAAGAGGATTTGACTATTCAAGAAGAAATGAATCATATACAAAAAGACATTGCAGAGAAAAGAGAGATAATAGAGTAGTCTGATAAGCAATTACAAAAGTGAGCAGCACCACAGTGCAGTGAATATGATGTTATAGAATATACTATTTATATATGCTCTCAGCATACAGAGAATAATTTATAATATAATTAGCTGGTTTTACTATCTAGTTGTGGTGATATTCAATTAGAAAGATATTGAATGATGAAGATTTATCTCAATAGATGATCTGTCTTGCTAGATGATTGATTACATTGATATAAATTTCTCTTTTGATGTAATTTTTAATTGAGTAAATTACTTAATTAAGTAGATTAGTAATTTAAAAATATTTTTCTATTTAACTACTTATTCATCTTAGTTTACAATTATATCATCAATTTATAATAAAAATACTTTAAATTTTTCTGAAAAAGAAAGAAGTTTTGAGCATATGATAAATACTTTTAAAAAAATAAGAAATATTCTCAATTTATAAAACTACATATGTATTTAATATATCATTTTCTACTCTAAATTGTCAACTCAATGACTGAATTATTTGCATAAATCTACACGCAAATTCAAACAAATTAACTTAGATTGAAGAGAATAGACTAGTTGAATAAGTATTAAATCAAACTAAGCAAGAATTTCCCTTAGATGATTATAGGAGAAGCTGAATAAGTGGATTTAGCTAGTTGAGAAAGAGCATATCTCCACAAATAGAATAGAGATCTAGAAATCAAAGATACAAGTAATTGTTAAAGAATTTTATATATAATTTAGTAACTCTAATATATTGAGAACAAATTGCTGATTCTCTGAACAGTGAGTCAGCTAGCTATCTTTATAGAGCTTCTATCAGACTTTCTTTTTCATTAAATGTGATGAAATGCCCCGCTCTATGTTACGGCGCAGCAGCTTGTAATATGGATTAAGGTTGATCCGCTCCTCTCCGAAAGATTGACCCAACTCCGATCACCAATCTCTTCATATTTGGTTGCTCGTTCATTCCACATTCTAATCCCTGGATTGGAATTCTCATCGCGGGCTACCTAGTTAGATGGGTGAATTAAGCTTTGTCATGTTATCATCTTAACTCTAGACTGACTCATGACACTCTTATCTGATTAAGGAGGGTAGAGATTTCTTTCAGATATCATTAACAGTGTGATTCTTGTGACTTTCTGCAGTAATTTATCTATTCAACCATCTTATATAAAGGTGAGAAAGTAGAAATATCATTGAGAGAAAAGAGCAGTACCAAGAAGACGTCTTGACAAGGTCTTATGACCATGATATCATATTTAATGGTTGATCTCATAAAATGTAATCACAGTTCTCATACTGAAACTTTTACTTTTTTATGCTCTTCATATTTCTTGCTTTATGGTGTATACAGAGATATTTTCATTAACTTAAATATTCTCTCACATAAATTATTATTTGCTAATAAAATACAAATAAATCAGTTAATTATAATCCTGATGATTATTTCACTAACTTTAATAGTAAATATAGAAAATATAAAAGTTGAATTTTCTTCTTTTAATTTATTATATACAGTCTATCTACTCATATTATACTTTTAATTAACTTTTTCTTTTTGTGATTTTTCTCTGTTAATATATATTTAATTTGTTCTTTATTCTTTTAAGTTGAATTTAAATAAATTCTAATTACACTCTTTTTAATTCACTAAGAGAAATGAGTCTTACGTCTTTGAATGAAGAATATAGGACTTCTCTTTCATTCAGAATGTGAAGTAAAAGGTAATTTACTTATTGAGATCAAAAGATTGATTTTATCAATGCACTCACTTTTCATTACAATAATATTCCAATTATGTATGAAAAGAGTTTTCTTTTTGAGAATTGATGTTGAACTCATCCAATTACTATCATATGCAATGAAATCTGGCTAAAAAATTATGTTTTTCATCAAAAACGTGCTATCTGGGCTATATAACCTGTGGGATGATTTCAATCTTTCCTTCGGATGAAAGGCTCCAGCTAAACTAACTATACATTAATCACGTGCGGTGGGGCGGGCTGCCCAGGCAACGTATGCCCAGCATAAACTATATAAAAAGGCACGTGATTATAATGTATTCAACTCATATAAAGTTTAAATTAGTTATACTTTTAAGAGACTTAATTTCTTACTTTGAAAGAACTAAATCAATCATATTTCAACACAATCATATTCAAGATGACTCTTCTCATGCATTCGTAAAGAGAATTCACTGAATAAGAAGATTCTCTCTTTGTAAGACAGAGATTTAACTTCTTTAATGGAGGATCTATGTGTGCTGTAATATCATTTAGTAAAATCATGATGAGTAAGAGTGAAATGAGAGACATCATAGTTTCAACTTACTGCAGATCATACATTTGAAATCCGATCTTTAATCAAATACTTGAATGTTAGAAGTTTTTATTTATTTATTTATTTTTATTTATTTTTATTTATTTTTATTTTTTTAAAAGAAGGATTGATGACTTTTCCTTGTTGATAGTTATTTTCAATTGTTAAGTCAACAGGCGCGTCGATGGTTGATAAAGTGGCTTACATTACTCTGTAACTACGTTAGCCTCTAACCATCCCTCACAGCGCCCAATTACAGCCACCCCCGTATCCAACACCATCAAGATTCAAAAGCCATAGAGCATTGCCCCTGGCTGGTTGGTCAAGACACCCTCGTAACCAGTGATATGACCCAGCAAACGAGGATACAGCCATCGTTGTGTTGCGCAGCATAAAGAAAGGCGCCTCGGCAGCGGCTGCGATATTTACTACGCAACCTTGGAAGGTCTCGAGCTGACGAACTGAGCCGTAACTTGGCGAATCAACACCTGCTCTTCACATCGTCATCTCCCAAGGCCGTCGTTCCTCCAACACCTTAAGCCTCACTGTTGGAGCTCGGGTTCTTTCTTATTGCTATTATTTAAATACTCTCGCGACACTCACGAACATCTGAATAAAAAGCTGCCCTTACTGCCAGTTCCTTGCTTTCCAGAACACGCCTTATATCACCCCCGCCATGGCCTACAAGGGCGCATACAATCCAGATGCACTTCCAGCGTACGTTTTCTTATTACACCCCCGTACGCATTCTCATCGTATCGAGACTCTAGACTAATAAACAGCTCTCCGTTTATAGGCATGCTGAGCCAGAGCAGGTACGTTGTCAAATGACTCTCCTCGACTGGGAAAGGTTCACCATTTCCCCATTTATTAAACTGTCTCGTGTTCGATAGCATTGTCGTTAATGTTCCTCTCCTCATCTCCCAGGTAGCGCAAATGCTAGGGGCAATGTCCGCGAGACCGGATCCAAACCAAGGGCGAGTCCCTGTTCCACCTCCAAAAAACGGACAACTCCCCCAACATCACCGCGTATCTCCGCAGTCACAGATTTCCCCCCAATCGCCTGCTGCACAACATAACTTCCCACGACCAGGGCCTGGTGGTCCTCCCAGTACTGCACCGGGGCAAGTACCAGGGCCATATCAAAGAGGGGCTCCCAATCCAAATACCACCGGCAGGCTGTACTCTCCACCTCCTCAAAACTATGGCTCAGGCCCCCGTCCCACACACCCTACCCAGAACTGGCCTCCGGCCACCTACCGCCCGCCACGAACCCCCCAACCCTCCGAGCCTGAATCCAACGATCCAAACGATCTCTCCCACCTCTTCCAAGCCGCAAATGCCTCTGGCTCTGGCGCACTCTCTGAAGGTGAATTAGGCCCCGCGCTGGTAAATGCAGACTACACTGCCTTCGACTCCAACACAGTAAAGATGATGATCCAGATGTTCGACAAGGATGGGTCTGGCACCGTTGGTTACGACGAGTTCGTCGCGCTGTGGCGGTTCCTGGCTGCCTGGAGAGAGCTGTTTATACGCTTCGATGAGGATCGCAGTGGTCGGATCAGCTTGGCGGAATTTAGCAAGGCTCTGGTTGCGTTTGGATATACGCTTAGCCCGCCATTTGTGGGGATGATATTTTCGATATTTGAGAGCCGTGGGAGGAGTAGGGTAGCTCCTGTTACTTGCCCGAAGGACGGGATGAGCTTTGACCTGTTTGTGCAGGCGTGTATTACGTTAAAACGAATGACGGATGTGTTTAAGAGATATGATGATGATAGGGATGGATATGTGACTTTGGGGTTTGAGGAGTTTTTGACTGGTTAGTTGTTTCTTGTTTTACATTCCCTCCCTCTCTCTTCCCTTGATTATTTGTTGTCTCTTTTGCATGACGGCGGATTCCATTAAAGCCAATTTCCAATATTTTCTGGAAGCTAACAAGCTACTCATTCCCGCGAGGTAGAATGTTTACGACTTCGAGAGTGATCCACGCTTACTCTGGTGCTTTTGAATCGTGATAATATTTTTGCTCTTGTCCCAACATTAGATAGCCTTCTTCGTTTCTCTCATCTTCGCTTCTTCCCCTCGTATATATATAATTATATGATTCTTAAATACGTACAGAGCACTTAACCACTGCTATAGATGAGCAGAAAGAGGAGGGAGAGCAATAAAAGTATATAAAACACATTTTTCTCTCTAGATGGTGTTTGCTAGAACTTCCCGCTTGAATCGAAACCCGTTAAAAGTTCGCAGAATAACCTAGCCTTACCAAAAACCCTTAAAAGCATCTTTGATAAATGAAGTAAAGAAAGTTTCCCAACCTCCCGCATTTGAAACTGGTCTTGTTGGGCGTCAGAAATTTGAAGCCAGAGCGGGGGTTAAGACAGGGGCAGATATAGATTCCAAAGGTTGCTTTTCCAGTGGTGAGGCTCTATTGGCGGGTCTTGCCTCCTTATGTTTTAGTGAACAACTGGCTGGGAGCGGAACAATAGGATTCTCCGAAGTCCGGCACCGAAGTAATTTGCACCCTTGGCGTTTCAGACGTTATATATTAACCTAATAATCGTTTTTACTCGTTAGGTCCTTTATATCACTTCCACTTTTCCTAACACCAGGAAAAGAATTGCGATATATTTATAAAAGCTTTATGGTCGTATACCATCTCTTGAACAAAGGTGCAAAATGCGGGCCGACCGTCGGGGTATATAGTTATATCACCATGGCAAAAGACGTTGATTGAAGGCGAATGACTCCGTACTTCAAGATCCCTCCATTAAACAGTTTCAATCATCACGCTGTTGGCACCGCCAATCCCGTTCTCCTTTACCCCCTTCTCTTGTTGCTTTTTCTCCTCCAGCTCACGCTTGGCAGTAAGCCGTGCCTTTCTCGCATCCTCTTGCGCTTCGAGTCCAGTTTTCGTTACTTCGTGATGCCGACTCAGTTCTTTCTTTCGTATGAAGAAACTGCACAAACATCCTATCGCACTAGTAACTGTGTAATAAATCCACATACGGCTTAAAGCAACGTTATACACATCCAGTAAGATTTGTCGTTGCGTCTCAGTTAAAGTTCTTAAAGTATGAGTTTGGCTGCTGACCCTATTGCTGAGTAATTTCTCTGCAAGTTCAGGGCCCAGTGCAGCTAAAATTTTTGGTCCAGATTGCTTGAGCACGTTTCGATAGATGACTCCACCCAACACGATGGAGGAGGAGGTTGAGAGTTGTCTGATAAACCCATGCGTTGTTGTTGCGGTCGATACCTCCGATTGCGGGACCCGTGATTGCAGGGCTAGCATAGGGGCTTGGAAATTTGGGCCGATCCCAATGCCAGTGATGAGTTGGTATATGATCAGACGTGGCCAGGATGTGTATGGCTTGAGGTCGATGTACAGGCCGTTGCCAAGTGTCATGACAAGCATGCCCAGTCTGATGAATTCAACGTACATGCCAGTCTTGCGAATCGTAAATCCTATGATGAAGGAAGTGATGGATAGGAAGACCACTTGTGGCAGAAGGTAAACACCGCTCATGATGGGGCTTGCCCCGAGGACGGTTTGAAAATAGAACGGGAGAAAGAATGCGCCTGCAATAAATGAAGAACCGTGCGACCAGTTTACTAGTAGGGTGAAGATGTTGCTTGTGTCTGAGAAAAGAGCCATGGGCATAACAGGGTACTTGGCTACTTTGCGCTCGATGATGACAAAGATGCCCATCATGACGGCACCGAATATTATGAGGCAGATCACTGTTGCGGAGTTCCAGGGAAAGGATATCCCGCCGAATTCGATTCCGAAGAGGAACATCAGCGTTCCGCCTATGATGGTTATAGTTCCAAACCAATCGATTGCGCGAATGCCAGCAAGGAGAGGCGTCTTGGGCGTTTCAATTTTGAGCCAAATAAAGAGGGTTGCTAAAGCGAAACCACCAAATGGAACTGGATGGGTGAAGAATGAAAAGTATTGGCAAATGGACCGGTATTGTTTGACATTTGGATTAGGCGCTCGGGAGGTTTACTTACGGTTGATATAAAAACACCATCTCCAAGTTACTTTCTCTGTGAATATTCCTCCCATGACAGGACCTATGGAACCTGCGATGGCCCATGTCATTCCGAACATGGCGTAATATATCGGGCGTTCTCTTCAGGGTTTCACAAATTTGCAAATCAGCAACGAATAAATCCCTCTCATAACAACAAAGAGGGAAGAAAGCGAAGGGGATTTTTTACCTTTGACTGAACAAGTCGCCCACACAAATCTGTCCAAGCAAAATCAAGCCTCCTCCTCCGATACCTTGAATTGCTCTCCCGGCAATCAAAGTTGCCGTATTCGGTGCCAGAGCGCACGTCAGACTCGCAAGGAGAAACAAGATGTTGGCACACATAATAATGGGTTTGCGCCCCCAAATATCGCTCAATTTCCCCCAGAGAGGAATGACCGAGGCATTACCAAGAAGATAGGATGATGCCATCCATGAATAGCTGTTCTTAGTTGCCTTGAACTCTCCCGCTATTGTGGGAAGAGCAGTGGCTATTATCGACTGTCATTAAGTCAGTATTGAGATGTCTATGGGAAGGAAGGGAAGAAATGATGGCTTACCATATCGAGAGCCGCTAGAAATAAAGCAACCTGCTATACGGTCAGCTTCCAAAGCCCCCTCATTGTTCCATTCTCCTCATTTATGAGGGAGCCCACAAAAGGGACGTTAAAGTCCACTTACACAGAGGGCAACCATGACCGCAGTTATTTGCCTTTTGGCCATTTTCTTCCTCTGTGACAGAGGATTATCCAGTGCCTCTGTCAAAACGTTCTCTGCCGTGGAAGTTCTAAGGCTATCATCATCTTGCTCCCGATGTTCACTATGAGTCACTTGTACCTCTGTACATAGCACTCTTATTTCTGCTAGCCCGCCGCATGGAAGTGGTTTCTCCCCCACTGGGCTCTGACGCCCCTGTGGTGTGGATAAGCTATCGGGTATGTTTTGTTCTCGTGGACACCCCATTTGGCCTTTATCAGATGTGGGAGGACTTTCTTCGATCTCAATATTCCCCTCCGAAGTATATCGTGTACGCGAATCAACCATCAAGAACCCTTTGGTTGGTGCCGGCCGGAACGAAAATTTCTCGAACTATTAGATGACTATAAACAAGGAAGAAGGCTCTTTATATTGGAAATACTGAGCAAGGGCTATAATCTGATAACAGTACCAACCGGCGGTCAACTTGATGGCTTCTTTTCCAGGTCTATTCGTTTCAAACTATCCCCAAAAGGTGAAATGTTCATCTATACAAGCAGTTTGATTTGGCTCTACACTATATTTTGTTTAAAACACATGTCTTTGGACCAAACGAAAAACTATTGAAAAAATGGGGAATGCGTCAAATCCCCAACCCAAACCCCAGCAAAGCTTGGTTGAAAATCTATGAATAATACGCAGGTAATACCTTGCTTGAGGGGAAAGAAATCAACGATTTATAATGGAGCCCCACTCAGTCCCGACACTGGTAAGTGTCGCCAGGTTCTGGATGTCGTGGTTATTGTGTTTATCTGATCAGATAGTTTGGCTCCGGACGTCCCCAACTTGAATCCCAGACGATGTAGGTAAGTACATGTCCAAAGAAAAGTTGCCGGCACAGGAATATTGCAACTGCCTGTTAACGATTATCGTCGGCTTTTTGTTCCTGAGAAACCATATTACGTAAGAGCACGATGGTAATGAAGGGAAAGAAGGGCCACCGGCGTCTCCATATATTGATCGATCAGATAATTGCTAGTGTGGGTGATTTGGGGGATGTTGTTTTGGGGGGGGTGGAGTTACTTTCTTCAAAACCTCCGCAAACTGTGTTGAAAACCATAACCGCTGAACCGAGGGAAGCAATGCATAAGCACTAGTTAAAGTTCTGTGGCGTCCAATTGGTCAATTGATGAAAGAACAACAGACCTTTCCACCTCCGTATAGTTAGCCTTGGTTGGATGTGAAAGTGATGATATTTAGCCACCTCCCAAGGTTCTCTCTTTGCTCGTGGTCTAAGCACTTTTTCTTTTCTTTTTTCTTACCTTTTTCCCCTCCTCCAAAAGGATGGAGGATGGGAAAGAAAGTCTGTCCAAATGGAGTGCGACTTTGTTGTCGGAAACTTTCCACGTGTTTGAACTTGGCTTGGCTTGATGGGAACCTTCCAATGGAAAGGAGAATTGAACATGGAAGATATGACACAAGCAGCGGTTCGCCGTGGGGCCGGGACCTTTTAACCAATTTTAGATCATGCGTTTCGTGCCAATGCGGTTTCGTTTCCCATCATTCATCATGATGGTTATCCAACATCCACCATCTATACGGAATACTTAGGGCTTGGAGTTTGCCCAGGTGTGGTGACTAGTGAGGATTGAACCAAGTTTCGAATCCATCCAATCATCCCTTGGCATGGTCACGGGGTGAAGAAGTTTCTTGATGTGTTAGATTAAACTATGTTTTAACTCCGAATGCTCCCTTGCGGATATCATTCGGTTTCACTTATCTCCAGCCTTGTTCAATTGCGGAGCGACGCACATGGCAAATCTTCTTCAACACATGTATCCGTGGGATCGGGCCGCGAACCATGGAAGCTCGGGAATATCCTTTTACTCCCATTCCAAAGCTTCGCTCTCACTTAGTTCACAACTAAGATGAAGCTTCAGACCCTGCTCCGGGGGTATCAACGACCAGAACAGGCTGCAAGCTTGCTACATCCATGCCTCTCAAGGAGCTTGACAGAGGCTACATGACTCATCCAAGAGTGAGCCGTTGAACGACAAACGTTATCCTTTGAAGGTCTGTTCTGAGTTGCATGGATCAGGATTTCTCTCTAATCTAAGAGGTTATTATTATTATTTTTTTCATTTTTTGACTTTCCTGCAACCCACAGAAATTGATTTTAGTTTCTTCACTGAGGTCAAGAGCTTCTCGACTCAGCATTGACAGTCGCAAAATATAACCCAAATTTCCCATGCTTGGTGCCCAAATGTTCACTGTTAATAAAGCTGAAAAGGAGATTGGTGTTTTCGGGTTTAAGAACCTTCGTGTCGTTCTGGCCCAAGGATATTTCGTGCGCAGTGCGGCACCTTGCGTGTGGGGTATTTGAATGAAGGAAATATTCTCGCAGAGGACAAGCAAGTCGGGCTCTTTTTCGGGTTAGCTTCTTCCAAAGGTTCGGTTTTTTTATCCGTTTCTTTCAATTAAGCGGTTGAAAACGGCAAGTCTTCAAAACGAAAGTGTTTGCGGAATGGGTAACGGGGGCTATCAAATCGTTTGTCCTTCGCGGACAATAACTAAAATTACCTAGAGAGACAGACTATTATTAATTAGTCCTTTAGGCTTGCATTCCTCATATCAATCTATGGAAATATGTCACAGAACACAAACCACCCGCCCCCAACAGCCGAGTTATATTGCTTGGTATCCGATCTTCAAATTACCCTCCAGACTTGCGACATTAAAGACGTCGAACGAGCGAGGGATGGAAGTGGAAGACCAGTTTCCAGGTTCAAAGTTCTGAAGGTTGTCACTAGTAATAATTTTGGTCTCATGAGACGTCGACTGAGGCACCCCCTTGCATTCTCGGCTCCCGGAATGCTGAAGTCAAATCCCCCTATGCTGTGTTCCGGAAATCCGCCGTGGTCGAATGTTTTCTTCGGCTATATGTGGAAGTATTAGGATAGGGTGTTCTCCCCTCGAGTTCCCTATCCCCTTATTATCTTGACTTGGAGTCACTCCCTACCTCCCTCACAGCAGGGAAAAATGCTTCCGTTTTCCTCCTTGGAAATTGAACGTTCATGTTTCCTTGGGTCCTATTTGAACCCCTTGAGCTTCACACACAAGGTACTCGAAAGCCAGGTGAACAGTAGCAACAAGATACGGCTTCTACATCCGTGAGCGAAAAGCAACCTGGCACACGATATTAAGTGGATAGTTGTGGGATCTTGCGGAGAGAGCTGGCATTGTTCAATTCATCAGCATAGATCTTGGCCGACGACATATTGTCCAAAATGCTGGCCAAAAATATGTTCCTCCGCTCCAGCTCTTCTTTCTGGCTCGCTTTCCCGGTATCGCATTCGACCTCACATGTGAACGGAAACGCATTTATTTGCTTGGGTACATAACTTGGACATATCGTCGCTTTATGATCTTCAGCAAGATGCTAACCTAGGAGCCATACTGCAATCTCCAGAGTGTACGGATCCATTTGTACAGTTTTAATTGCCGCTAGATATCTAGTCAATGCAGATTCAATTGAAAATCTGCCATCCTGCCATCCCTTCCCTTGGTCTTCTCGTCGTTCGTCAGAAGAATCTCGGGTTCAGGTCGGCGGTTGAGCAGACCTTCTCTAGCAAAGAAGCGTCATGGAAGCAAATGCCATAACGTAAAACCGTCGACAATCATCCCCGAGGATTTGGAGAAATGGGTAACTTAGCATTCCAAAAATAAAGTAAAATAAAAAAAACTGAAGCTTGGGTGGGCATGGGTTATCTGATCTGGGTGCCGATTCGACACAAGGGCGAGAGCGCGTTCTGACATGAACTAGTATGTGTTTTTAAATAATACCTCGTTCTGCATTTCCTAATTTCTCAACAAATTTGACTTCTGCATCTATTATAAGATTGGAGGGTCTTTGAGGTAGTTATTGGATTCAGTATAGGCTGCGCCACATTTGGGGATGTTGCCTCAAACATCCGTTTGGGCGATGAAAATGTTATGGTGGCTGAAGCTTACGGTTAAGATGGGCCGAGGACTGTTGAAGAATTGGGGGAAATATTAAAGGGGCAGCTAGGTTTCGGTATGTAAGGCAGGATGATGAATATTTTACCTTGAATGGATGATGAGAGTAATCCTAATTGGTGTTCTGGCATGATGGAAGGGATGTGTCTGCTTGGCAAGGAAACGATGTTGATCACATTGTTGATAATCTATACCTTCTTCAAAACTAAGATGGAGCATCCTGTTTTTTTTCTTTTTCCTAACTTTACTTTATTTTCCATGGTAGAATTGCGAGGGTCACACATTATCACAAATAGTTTATAACAAGTGCATCAAATGACTTATGTGAGAAGATTGAAAAAGCGGCTGGAACATTCCAAAGAGTGTCGTCGTCTCTTGGGCCGCGGCAAAAGGGAGGGGAGGGGAGGAGACTGAAATCAACTAGCAAGACACATTTACATGCCTAGACCAGGTTGCCAGTCTTCGAGACTTACTTAACCGGTTTTCGCTTAACATAGGAATGGTTATAACTACTGCTTGCAGTGGCTATCCCCAATAGTCCTGTGCAGATCGAGTCGAACTATCTTCTCTCACACAGTGTCCATGGAGTTACGAGGTCACGCCGTGGAGATCAAGTTTGCCTTTATTTTCATTCTATGACTCTGTTCGTGAACGTCACTTCTGACTATTCCCCAGGGAAAATTGGTAGAAGCCAGGTTGTTAGCCTGTTAGACTGCCAGGGAGGAAAGTCAGTCTGGGGAATGTTTGCTTTCTGCGTCCTGGTTTGATGGTGATTGATAAAGATAGTGTTGACAAGGCCCCTACCCCTCCATGCATATATATTCTCAAGCTGTGTACTATTTGTAGTTACCAGAGAGGGTGTTGTTCTTTCGATAGTGGCTGTTGTAGGACAAAGCGCTGTGTAGGAGTGGATAAGTTATGTATTGCCATAGTTACCCAAAATACTCCGCGGCCAGTATGTGAAGGGGAATACCACCAGTTTGTACCAGTTTGTATACTACAAGCAATGGCGGGGAAAAGGTTTCGATCCGACCATTGAGTGGGGGGAAGAAGAACCATAAGGCATGAGAACACCATGGTCCGAAGTAATAGCTCTTTGAAAGAAAACAATTCTTCCAACCAACAGTGAATATTCCGAAATTCTGAGAAGCAGAGAACAGAATACTATCATAACAATGCCATATTTTCAATCAAGTTTTTAATACGCTGTATTTTCTGAGATCATAGTTGATCATCAATCTTTGGGCTCACAAAACAACGCATCAGTCTCGGTCCGGGATTCAGGTTGTCACAGAGGATGATAATGAACAGGTTATCGTGACAAGTAGTTATTACCCCCAAATTTTCCCGTGAGAAATACCAAAAAGCACAGTGATTCAGTTGCGCTATTCCATCCGGCTCCTGAAAAAGTTATAAGGCAGCCAATTTTATATATATGTGTGTCAGAATTATTTAATCTCTGGCTCAACGTAGCTGTTGTTGGATCTGCTTTTTTTTTTTTTTTGGTGTTGCTGCTTAACGAACTACCTGCCCCCAAATCGTATGCGAGAAGCGCTTAACTTTATTAATCAGAGAGAATTCCTATCGGTTGGATATCTGATATTTCCTAGAGGGCAGCCAGAAGACAGGCGAAACCGGATGTTGAAATATTTACCTACTGACCTCCTCGAGGCCACAACCTGTGAGGAGTTAACTAGACCTTTGTTCAGCATTATTATGCGCTTCATCTGGAGGTTTCTTGGTAGTTTGGTCGGAAGGGATTGGAGCGGATGCCGAATGTTAAGCCTATTATTAGATTAACGAGATATATCCTCAATCTGACCAGCGAATCCAGATCGGCCCGCACCCAAAGCTGACAAAAGCGGAACAAGCATCTTTTGATTAACTAGTAGTTATAAGTGTGTGTTGTTCCAGTCCATTCATTAACAGTTCCACCACCACAGCTGCTCTGTTAGTTGTTAGCCTCCTTGCCCTCGAATCTGGCTGTCAGTTGTAGTTAGTTATAACTAGTTAATAGTTAAGTTAGTTAACTAGTTAGTTCGTTAGTTCGTTAGTACGGCTGCTGTGTCATCCCTCCACCAACGTCTGGCTCCTACCACTTAGTTACCAGTAACACAATAGCCACCAACACCACCACCACCACCTTCAGTTCTTCCATCTCATATTCTTTTCTTCTCTTCCCCCTCTCCCGTATCTCTTGTCGTAATAATTGCTTCAATCCCTCGTCCTCATCTTGCTCTTCTTTCCCTCTGTCGTCCTTGTCGATACCTGCGGCTTCACCGTCATCCAGTGTTGAACAACGTCCGTCGACGTCAGTCCAACCTACCTTTCAATCAAGAACCCCTCCTCCACATCTCACTCTCCTACCTTGTCAACTCCTTTTCACAGCTATTCACCCAGCTGCTAGGCCAATTGCACCATGTCGAACTCGTTGACTGAAGCTGCAGACAGGCATAGTGCAGCGTAAGTATTTTCCTGCCACACTGAGGCTGGCCGTACCCTCCTCAAAAAAATTGAGTCCGATCTTGAATGGAAACACAAGCAAGATCAAGCAACAGCAATGGCTGGAGCCAGATCTCATTGCAATTACGGACCGTAGCGATCTATGCGCAACTAAATTATCTCCTCTCTATACCAGGGCCTTTTTGCCCATTGCTCTAGTTGGTAAAATTTCGAGTTGAAGTTTGCTTATACTTTGTTCTGCCAATTAGTACAGTCGAATTGAAAGATGATACAGTCATTGTCGTTCTTGGAGCTTCAGGGGACCTGGCCAAAAAGAAAACTGTGAGTCTTAACACTCTCCCCGGCTCCCACGGCGTTCCCCCATACTGATGTAACCACAGTTCCCCGCGCTGTTCGGATTGGTAAGCCTATTCGCCCTCGGTACTCGTTGAAATATGGGATATTCATACCCGTGAATTAACCGCCGTTTACAGTACCGCAATAAATTCCTTCCCAAAGATATCAAGATCATCGGATACGCACGAACAAAAATGGACCATGCTGAATTCATTCGAAGGGTGCGGTCATATATCAAGATCACCACACCGGATATTGAGAATCAGCTTACCGGATTCTGCAATATTTGCACGTACGTCTCAGGGCAGTATGATCAAGACGATTCTTTCGTAACCTTGAACAAGCATCTCGAGGATCTCGAGAAGGGGAAAAAAGAACAGAACAGAATCTTTTACATGGCACTTCCACCCAGTGTCTTTATAACTGTCTCCCAGCATCTGAAGAAGAATTGCTATCCGGAGAATGGTATTGCAAGAATCATCGTGCGTCATTTTTCTGTTCAGGTTGCAGGGTATATTACGAGGAACAGCACTAACACGAACCTTGCGATGTGCAGGTAGAGAAGCCGTTTGGAAAAGATCTCGGAAGCTCGCGAGAGTTACAAAGAGCACTGGAACCCGATTGGAGAGAGGAGGAGATATTCCGTATCGATCATTATCTTGGAAAAGAAATGGTGAAGAATATTTTGATTCTGCGATTTGGGAACGAGTTTTTCGGGGCTACCTGGAATCGCCATCATATTGATAACGTTCAGGTATGGTGCGCTTCTACAACATAACGTATTTGAAGAGCAGCGTCACTTACGCATATCAGATCACATTTAAAGAGCCATTCGGTACGGAAGGCAGAGGGGGTTACTTCGACGAATTTGGCATCATCCGTGACGTTATGCAGAACCGTTAGTTCACGCCACCACTGCCATGTTTCCTGTGAATAGGGCCGCTAATATGGGGACTCTAGACCTTCTTCAAGTCTTAACGCTTCTAGCAATGGAACGACCCATTTCATTTTCCGCGGAAGATATTCGGGACGAGAAAGTGCGCGTCTTGCGTGGAATCGATGCGATCGAGCCCAAGAACGTCATCATTGGTCAATACGGGAAATCGCTGGATGGAAGCAAACCCGCATATAAGGAAGACGACACAGTCCCGAGAGATTCAAGGTGTGCAACATTTTGTGCCATGGTAGCATACATAAAAAATGAGCGGTGGGACGGTGTACCATTTATTCTGAAAGCAGGCAAAGGCTAGTTTATTTGAGAATAAATCCCGGCGCACACCTTTTACTGATTGCTATTTTTAAACAGCGCTGAACGAACAAAAGACGGAGATCCGTATACAATTCCGTGACGTCACCTCAGGCATCTTCAAAGACATTCCGCGAAACGAACTCGTAATCCGCGTACAACCCAACGAGTCAGTATACATAAAGATGAATTCGAAGCTCCCCGGTCTTTCCATGCAGACTGTCGTCACAGAGCTCGATCTCACTTATCGACGAAGATTCTCAGATCTGAAGATTCCCGAAGCTTACGAATCCCTCATTCTAGACGCCCTCAAGGGAGATCACTCTAATTTTGTCCGTGATGACGAATTGGATGCCAGCTGGAGAATCTTTACCCCACTTCTGCACTATCTAGATGAGAACACAGAGATTACACCAATGGAATACCCTTATGGTTAGCCAAATCTCACCCTTCCACTCCCCAAAGAATAATTATTTTCTTCTTTCAGACATAGCTGCTAACCCGCTCTCGTCCAGGCTCACGTGGCCCATCTGTCCTCGATGACTTTACATCATCGTTTGGCTATAAATTCAGCGACGCTGCCGGATACCAGTGGCCCCTCACCACCACTCCAAACCGCTTGTGACAATCAAAGCTGGCGTGAAGGTTGAGGTTTTTATTTTCTCTTGAAAAAGAAACATATTTGTCCGCATATACACAACGACTTCCTAGCCCGTAGCCAATTTTCAAAAAAAAAAAAAAAAAAAAAAAAAAAAAAAAAGAGTTCGCTACGCAACTAACGAGTTCTCCCCGTGTCATAACGACGAAATGTTTTTGTTTTTCGTTGAAGGAGCAGGGAGAGATAAATTCAACCTTCTTAACGCCCTATATCATGGTATTTTAATAAGAAAAGGAAGAAAAAGGTAGGAGAGTCTAGACACTTTCACAAGGGATGAAGGAATATGCGTGGAGGGAAGGAGGGAGTTTTCGTAACTCGGAGAAGTAACTGGGACACGGAGATCCACGGCATTTTCCTTGGATGTGAGTTGACTGGGGCATATGTTTTCCGACTCCATTGTGCCTTCGTTTTGTCTTTTATGGAATGGGAAAATATGAAAATGGGGAGAGAGGGATGTATGTGATGACATCACAATGGAAACTTTTGTTTGAATTTATGGTGTTCTATTATTCATTTCTACTAATATTGCTTTTTCCATCACTCTACACCACTTCGCTCCATGTGAATTTTTGTTTCTTCTTTCCGGGACATTTAATTTTTTTTTTTTTTTTTTAAACAAAAGGCCTTTTTCCCTTCTTGTGCAATTCTTGCCTTGCCCCCTATCCTCATATCCTTCATATAGAGCCTTACTTCAGCAAACCCATTTTTTTCATATCCCCAGTCGCGGTCTTGGCTTTTATTTTATTTTATATTCTTTTTTAGCTCAACCTTTTTGATTTTGTCTTCCTGTTTGCCAAAACCCCAGTGTTCTTCTCTGCGGGTTCAATGAGTTTTCAGCCTTGATACGTGCAGCCATTCACACCGCTCACGTTAATGCCGATGTATTTAGCGAAAATTTTAGTGGGAAAAAAGGGGATATACATATAAAGTAATATATATATATATATTCCGATTTTATTTTATTTTATTTATTTATTTATTTAATTTTTTTTTCCCACTCATCAATGTCATGGAATCAGGCAGGATCTGGAGGTTAATGCAGTGAAAAGGATTAAGGGGCTGCTGTTTTCCGAATGGTGAAGCAAAGTTATGCAGGCATGTGAACGAGGGAATAAGATTAGACTTTCAGGTTTTGTTAAGTTGATACGGAACATACTTTGGCTTGAGGAGGAGGTAGTCAAGGCAGATTAAATTGCGGATTGGAAAATCGTATTTATATTTACCTGGGCGAAGTAGATAGTCCAGCCCAACAGTGGAGTTGACGTCTGATGGCAGGCGCTGAACCCACAAATCAAGGTAATAAGTAACCTTGGACCTTTGCAAGCGTGGAGGTTTGGTTCTTCCTCTGAGTTTTAGAATCCGTCTCTGAGATTTTTCAACCTATATGCATTGTGGAAGGAGATGGCATCCATGTCTTCTGGTAGAAGCCGGGCCAATTCATCCACGCCTCCATGTGTGTACGGAGTCAAAAGTTCATACAGCTACACTACAACGTTAGATGTGGCTACTGGCTTAAGAGGGACAAAAGGTAGGTTTTCCTTACGAGTGATTCGAGAAATAACATTTTACAAACCTCATTGCTACCAAGGGAGCTAGGGAATTTATGACTTCCCTATTCCAGGCCTGTTTGTTTTGAGAGACGTTCAAGATGCTGCTAACTATTTTTGGCGGATATGAAACCTGAGATAAGTTTGAGTAGCTAGATGTGTAATTAAAAGTTACGCATACAGTTCTGTTTTCTTTGGAGGGAAGTTGATCATTAATCGGATCAGGTCAACAGAAAACACTTCCTGTGAAGAGATGGGCAGCAATTGCATGAGCGCAGTACTGGACAGTCGGGGTTTGCAGGTTCATGCATAGTCTGTGTGCTTACGACGAAATGAACAGAATTTCTCATGAAGGATGGGGAAATGCAAGAGGGGCTTTGTTATTCGCGAGACACTCGTTAAAAGTCATTCAGCTAACCGCACATTTTCCGTTTGTTTTCTCTCTTTATTATTTCATTCATTTTGGATCAAGCTTGGTTGCAGCCTTGAATGATGGCACCCGGAAAACCGAGCTGAACCCTGCAAGAATGTCAACTCTTCAAGGTAACTGGTATGTCCGTAGCATTCTCCGTGAAACGCGTTGTATAAATCCGAGCTTAGCCATAAGAATCTTCGCTTCATTGTAGGTTGATTTGTTTAGTTGAGAAGGATGGATCAGGACTAGTTGGTTGTTGAAGGTAAGATAGCTTGACAAAAATAGGCGAGACGGATCAAGCTTGCAACCGAGCATCCCTCGCATAAAATATAATACCTACGATAGGGATGCTGGGTTGTGGCCGTCTAATTGGACAGCTGCAAAGCTGCTAGGAGATACCCGAACAGAAATTTGGAGATTAAGGAGGGACTCAACCATACACAACCAAACATACAGGTTTACGCTGGGAAAACCGGAACGACTTGGCAGATGTGTATCCTGGCATCCTGGCATCCTGGGCATATTCCAGGGTTTATGCAGTGTTGACGGAGGCGGCTTTTCAAACGTCGGAGTTATGCCATTGCACATAACTAACTCACCCAGTCTCTGAGTCATCGGCTAACAACATCGTTACACGGTCAACTAAAGTTGCTTTTTTCGCCGGTTGGGCTGATGACAGGCACTGCGGGGCTGCCACAACGTCAACATGGATTCAATCCAACATGGCTAGTCAGTTCGGAACGACAAAAATCCAACCAAGAGGGGGATCTTAAAGCTGAAACAAAGCGAAAAGAATGGAGAAAACTCATTTAAAAAACCTTCGCAAAAGAGTGATTCGGATCCGCAGTATAAATACAACTTCGATCTGGGTTTCAAAACACCCGGAAACGTAGTGCTTCCGCTCGTTTCTGGTCCGTTCGGATCTGGGTGGCTTCCACTTCCGACTCCGGTTCTCTAGATAGGGGCTAGAGAGCTCCCAACCAACAACATCATCCTGCTATGTCCGGTGCCGAGCCGCCTTTCTCGGGAGGAGCTGAACTGGAGCTTGGCACACAAATCAAATTATAGCCCCAATCCCCGCCCAGGATGTTGCAGGGGATCGATCGGGCTGGTAAAACCTCGCAGAACGAGCCAGTCCAGGGGTGTTTGTTTAGGCAACTGCGTAGACAGGAGCAAGGGCACAACATCCATCTGACTTCTGTCATATCGTCGTCGTCATCAGTCTGCAAGCACATCCCTCAACTCGAGACGGGAAGATGGAGGAGGAAATTCAGGGACACCGGCTGTGCCTGTGCCTGTGCCCGTACCATCGTACTGGATTTTCAATAACAATTATATATTAATAGGCTCTACCAGATGAGATGAGACGAGGTTGCCTGTTGACAGAGAGTGAAAGGAGGATAGAAACAAGCATTTTGTCAAAATCCACGCTTTTCCAGAAGCTTGCCATCAAAAGTTACGGGTTTCTTTGGAGCGTCCATGTTCCGGCCCTTCTGGTCCTCAGGTACTGGCCTCAACGGGCTGTTGCTGCTTGCATGGGGCTCATCATCTTGAACAGCCCTGCCATCTGATTATCCCTTAGAACCCGAGAAGCATGGCTCCTCGTGTTCCCTGGTCCGGGCCTCCACTACTCCAGCATGTCTTCCCAAATTATTTCCCGTAGCCAGGTGGATACTAGGCCCTCGGGACTAGTTTTGAACTCTCATCCGATTGGCCTTGCCTTTCAATCGCCTCCCCCCTCCCCCCCCCCCCCCCCCCCCCAAAGGCATGTGGGATAATTTACTTTTTTTCCTCCCCAAATATTATTCTCTCAGATATAATATATCTATTCACCCCGAAACTCACCTTTTTCGTTGTCTCTTTTACATTCTTTCAATTCCTAATCTTCCTATATATAGATACTTATAAATCCTCTCGACTGCTGTCGTCTTTCTTTCCTTACAGTTTTTTCTTCCTTTCTATCGACTCCCTTATTTTTATTTTATTTTTCTCTCTCCCTGAAAGAGCTGACCGAAACATTAATATCCTGCACGGATTGGGCCTAATCAAGAAGTTCAGGTCCCTTCCATAGTGGTAATACATTTTATGAGCCATCATAAACCGCGAAAATGGAGGCGCGGGGTCGCAAAGACAGCATATGCAGCGAGGAGACTGCGCGAGATTTCGATAACCGCAAGGCAAATGACGATATCAAAGAACTAGCGAGAAAGTTAACTCGGCAATCTTCCCATGTATCGACTTTGGAACCACATAATCCTTTTATCAATCCGGAAGGAGACTGTTCACTGGATCCCTCCAGTCCACACTTCAACGCCAAAGCATGGATGAAGAATCTGCTAGCATTGCAATCCCGCGATCCTGAAAAATATCCCCGTCGGACTGCGGGGTTCGCTTTTAGAAACCTCAATGTTCACGGGTTTGGAAAGCCCACAGACTATCAGAAAGATGTAGCCAACTCACTGTTGGAAGTTGGGAACATATTCCGAGCCATTACGGGGACAGGAAAGCATCGGATTCAAATCCTCCGTAATTTTGCGGGTGTTGTTAATGATGGCGAGATGCTCGTCGTCTTGGGCAGACCAGGAAGGTAAAATAATTATTATTCCGTTCCTATGTATTTGACTTTGGGGATATGAAAGTTAATAATCGCTTTGTAGTGGATGTTCAACATTCCTGAAAACAATTGCGGGTGAGATGAATGGCATCTATTTGGGTGATGACTCTTACATTAACTACCAAGGTATATTTGATTATCTGCTCTAAAGGGTGATTTATATTTTATTTTTTTAACATGCCTTCTACCCGTGATAGGAATTCCTGTGAAGCAAATGCACAACCAGTTTCGTGGGGAAGCTATCTATACAGCAGAGACCGACGTTCACTTTCCTCAACTAACTGTTGGGGAAACCCTTACATTTGCGGCCTGCGCAAGAGCTCCATCTAATCGAATCCCTGGCGTGACCCGTGAGCAATATGCCAATCACATGCGCGATGTGGTCATGGCATCGTTCGGTCTCAGTCACACAATTAATACTAATGTCGGAAACGATTTGATTCGAGGTATCAGTGGTGGAGAGCGAAAACGTGTCAGCATCGCGGAAGCTGCTCTCAGTCAGGCACCCCTGCAATGTTGGGATAACAGTACTCGTGGATTGGACTCCGCAAACGCTTTGGAATTTTGCAAAACGCTCCGTCTGTCCACAGACTATATGGGAGCCACGGCCTGCGTTGCAATCTACCAGGCCTCTCAGAGTGCTTATGACGTATGCTTTCCCCTCCCACGGATTCTTGGACTGTTCTCTTTTTAACTGACAGCCGGATAGTATTTCGACAAGGTTACTGTGCTTTATGAAGGTCGTCAAATATACTTCGGACGGACAGATGAAGCAAAAAAATTCTTCGTTGATATGGGATTTTTCTGCCTAGAGAGGCAGACAGACGCAGATTTCTTAACTTCTTTGACTAGCCCTGTTGAACATGTCATCAGGCCGGGCTTCGAAGGGAAGACTCCCAGAACCCCCGCTGAGTTCGAGACAGCATGGAAAAGCAGCGCAGCATACGCTAAGCTTATGCAGGACATTGATGAATACGATGCCCGATACCCAGTTGGAGGGGAATCTGTGAACAAATTTATCGAGTCCCGCAAAGCCCAACAAGCAAAGACCCAGTAAGATTTGTTCCATCGCTCCTGTTTTGCGCAGTATCTAACGTCCTATGAAGGCGAGTGAAATCCCCCTACACTCTATCCGTGAGGCAGCAGATTAAACTTTGCGTGCACCGCGGTTTCCAACGCCTGCACCGTGACATGTCGCTGTCCTTATCTGCCCTGATTGGTAATTTCATAATGGCTTTAATTCTCGGGAGTCTCTTCTATAATCTAAATGAAACAACTGAGAGTTTCTACCGCCGTGGGGCTCTCCTCTTCTTCGCTGTCTTGATGAGCGCTTTTGCTTCCTCTCTTGAGGTATGTTGTCTGTCATTCGGAATCTCTACTATTATAGAACCGAGCTGACTGACTTGGCAGATTCTTACATTGTACGCGCAACGTCCCATTGTCGAGAAGCATTCCAGATATGCCCTCTACCATCCTTTCGCGGAAGCAATTGCCTCCATGCTTTGCGACTTGCCATACAAGCTGCTCAACTCCATAACGTTCAATTTGACAATTTACTTCCTGTCTAACCTTCGTCGAACACCCAAGGCTTATTTCATATTTTGGCTTTTCAGCCTTGTCACGACCTTGACCATGTCTATGATTTTCCGCACCATTGCTTCTTATTCCCGAACATTGGCCCAGGCATTGGCGCCCGCCGCAGTTATCATTCTTGGTTTTGTTATCTACACCGGTTTCGCTATTCCTACCCGAACCATGTTGGGCTGGTCCCGGTGGATGAACTATATCAACCCTGTTGGTTATGCTTTTGAGTCTCTCATGGTGAATGAGTTCCACAACCGACAATTCCAGTGTGCGGGACTTATTCCCTTTGGTGAACAATATGAACATTATCCTCTTGAAAATAAAGTCTGCGGGACTGTTGGGTCAATTGCTGGCTCGACTCAAGTTGATGGTGACCTGTACCTCCGTCTAAGCTTTGAATACGAATACAGCCATTTATGGAGGTGAGATTTCCCTAGTGTCTGCATAGACCTTTTCTTTCTTATCATCTGCTAATACAACGCAGAAATCTTGGTTTTCTCTTCGTATTTATGGCATTCTTTATGTTCACATACCTACTCGGCACCGAGTATATTTCTGAGGCCAAATCAAAGGGTGAAGTCCTACTCTTCCGCAAAGGTCATAAAGCGATAAAACGTAAATCTGCAGATATCGAAGCTTCCATTCCACCAACTGCGGGAGAAAAGTCGAGCGGATCCAGTTCCCAAGGCGTTTCGGCTTCGATCCAAAAACAAACTTCTGTTTTTCAATGGAAAGATGTGTGCTATGACATCAAGATCAAGAAGGAGGAAAGGCGCATCCTTGACCATGTTGACGGATGGGTAAAACCTGGAACATGTACCGCACTCATGGTATGTCTGTCCTAGTTGCGCTATTCTTGCGGTGACAATGACTAACATGAATTTAGGGTGTCTCTGGCGCCGGGAAAACGACTCTGCTCGATGTCCTCGCCACTCGTGTCACCATGGGTGTAGTCAGTGGTGAAATGCTTGTCGATGGCCAACCTCGGGATACGTCATTCCAGCGTAAAACGGGATATATCATGCAACAAGATCTCCATTCGTCGACAACGACTGTGCGAGAGGCATTAAACTTTAGTGCAATACTGAGACAACCTGCAAGTATACCGCGTGCCGAGAAAATTGCATATGTGGATGAAGTCATTAAGTTGCTTGAGATGGAGGACTACGCTGACGCCGTTGTTGGTGTTCCTGGTGAAGGTATAATTAAAAACCCTTCATCGAAGAGTCCCGGATACTGATACTAACAATCTAATCAAGGTCTAAACGTTGAACAACGCAAGCGACTGACTATTGGCGTTGAACTTGCGGCGAAACCACAGCTTCTTCTGTTCCTTGACGAGCCAACATCGGGTCTTGACAGCCAAACATCTTGGTCAATCTTAAATCTCATCGACACACTTACCAAACATGGCCAAGCAATTCTCTGTACCATCCATCAACCATCAGCAATGCTTTTCCAACGATTTGATCGCCTACTCTTCCTTGCCAGTGGTGGAAAGACGGTTTACTTTGGTGATGTCGGCGATCGAGCTTCAATTTTGTCAAGCTATTTCGAAAGGAATGGGGCTCCTAAATTGCCAGCAGATGCAAATCCTGCAGAGTGGATGTTGGAAGTCATTGGTGCAGCCCCTGGATCCACAACTGAAATCGACTGGCCCGAGGTTTGGCGCAATAGCCCTGAAATAACTGCAGTACATGCCCATCTCGACGAGCTCAAAGCTTCTCTCTCTGAGAAAGGTCAGAACCAGGAGACGAATAAAAATCCCGAAGATTATCATGAATTTGCTGCACCCTTCAGTGTCCAGCTCTGGGAGTGCCTAGCCCGAATCTTTTCTCAGTACTGGCGCTCACCGACATATATCTACTCCAAAACAGTGTTATGTGCCCTTTCTGCGCTCTTCATCGGCTTTTCATTCTTTAAGGCAGGAACTAGTCTCCAGGGCCTTCAGAATCAAATGTTCGCTGTTTTCATGTTGATGACTATATTCGGTAATCTGTGTCAGCAGATCATGCCGAACTTCGCCGCCGCGCGTGCCTTGTACGAGGCTCGCGAGCGTCCTTCCAAATCATACTCCTGGAAAGCTTTCATGATGGCAAATATCATCGTCGAGCTTCCGTGGAACGCCCTTATGGCCGTAATCATTTTCGTATGCTGGTATTACCCCATCGGATTGCACAAGAATGCTGTCTCTCAACACCAAGTCTCGGAGCGTGGCGCTCTCATGTTCCTGTTAATTCTCACTTTTATGCTCTTCGCCTCCACATTTTCCCACATGATGATCGCGGGCATCGAAGTCGCTGAAACCGGCGCAAACCTTGCCAACCTGCTTTTCATGCTCTGCTTGATTTTCTGCGGTGTTCTTGCAACCAAGGATGCCATGCCGCGCTTCTGGGTTTTCCTCTACTACGTCTCGCCCTTCTCGTACCTCGTTTCTGCCATGATGTCTACCGGTCTATCCGGTAATGACATTGTCTGCGATCCTGTAGAGCTTCTACACTTTAACCCCATCGCTAACCAGACTTGTGAACAATATCTTGCTCCCTTCAGAGAGACGTACACCCCCAAGGGATACCTTGTGAACCCTTCTGCAACTGAGGACTGCGGTTTCTGCTCTTCAGCGAAGACGGATTCTTTCCTTCTGAGTATTGGTAGTGATTACAATGACGCATGGCGGAATTTCGGACTGATGTGGGTGTATATTGTGTTTAATGTTGTTGCAGGTGTGTTTATCTACTGGCTTGTACGTGTGCCGAAAGGTGCGAAGGCAAAGGGTCCCGCTGCTTGAGTGTTTGTCCTTCTTTTTCACTTTTACTTTCTCTCCCTTTTCTTTCACTATTTTTTTTTTAAATTCTTTTTCCGTTTTCCTTTCCATTTGTTGTAACTTTCTACCGCTCTGAGCGAGGAATGCTCTCGAAAGATCGAGCTTATATATTGCATATACATATAGACTCTACTCTGTAATAGACCCCTTCATAAAGTGTAGGAATGGCTAATCATTAGTTATCTTTCTTTTTTCTTTCTCTCTTTCTATTTCCGTAGGTAGATACCTAGTAATACTCTCCACTTGTTTAATCCAAATATCAAGCAGTTCTCTTTTGGTTCTCCATTTCTAGCTCCCCTTCCTTTCTCTTCTGCTATTCTTTACCAACTGCCTGGTAACTACTCTGTACGCTAAAGGCAAAGTGTGCGAGCGATTTGCAGCGGGAATCCTTTTCGACAAGGAATCGCTAATTATGCCGCTTCCCCGACAACGGCGAAAAAGTTACTTAGCGGTCCGAACTCCGTATTGACAATGCTCAAAACTACCTGTAAAGTAGAATCACGTATGGTGTATCCCCAGGCCTTACATTCATCGATGTTAGTAGGTTATCGTATCCATCATGTTCAATTCAGCTTGAGCAGGCATCGCATCACAGAGTACCGAGGTGACAACTCTACTGCTCTTCAAAGCATTCATACTGGTATTTACTCAATTGCTATAGAATTGTGTTTTAACCACTGAGTTAAAAGGATTTACCCTCAAGCAGTGATCTTAAATCAGGACTATCTGGGACAACTCACCAGTTTTTCATTTCGTCCTCCAAAGCATAGCAGGCCGTTATCCTCTCGATTGAAAGGAGCGAGGAAACTTCGGTGTATTACTGCTATAAGCCGGATTTTGTTGTATCCACTTCCTTACTGCTGAACGCCATGTGCTCTCTGCCATGTGGTAACTAACTAACCCTGCGACGCAGATCGCAGGAGCTTTCTCTGCCTCAAGTAACTATTCTCTCTTCTCACAAGCGTTGAAGATAGTTTGGCGAGCGGAAAACCGCTACATTGTTCTACCACCCCAGAGAAACTCAATGCTTCATTCAATCCATTCAGGTCCCATGATCATTGAAATATTTTTGACCTCAATTGGTGAAATCGCTGTTTCAAAAATATCCACCAACGGTTTCATTGCCGAAAAGACATCAATTCCAGGCCATCATGACTGGCCATCAGTTGGTAACTTCCAATGAGATACACCCAGTGAAACGTTATCAACATGGATTCTGCGATCCATGGACTTCCTCTGAGAGTCAACCCGTCGATACTCCTGACGAAATCATACATTGATTCGAAAATATATTGATGTGATTTCAACTTGAGTTCAGTGGGACTGGAATATTTCCCCGCTTCTTACTCCGTACCAATTCATTTCATTTCCGACCTTATTACGTCGGCATAGGTAAAGGATATCTTCATCTGTTTCCGTTCGTATATCAAGGACCGACGATTCTGGTGAGCGCCGGTGTCGGCACCTATCCACTCTCTCGCTGCTGGATTCGGTTTTTAACTTAGTGGGCCACGTGTATTTCAGATGCAAACTACATCTGTGGATCGAACTTGCCACTCGCTGATTAGTAGCAAGAGTTTTCTCTCAATCATCCAATGATTAGCTAAGTTAATCGAGAACATGGCTCTGCGTTGCTAGTCATGGCAGCGTATTGATCAACAACAATGATGCTGAAGTTGCCTTTCCCCCCACCGACATAGGGCTCGATGGGTGCACTTGAATGCAGTACTCTATTACTGAATAGTCAGAATATTAACAGATCCGTATTCCGCTTTCAAAGCATTAAATGCAGATTCAGTAATGTTCAATAATAAAAGATAGAAATGCGAAAGCATAACTATGACAGCCAAAATATTTAGAGAAACACTAATAAAAATCACATCATTAGTGGAGCTGGATCGCCAAGCTTGAAAATTATTATGCAGAGTTCGAGACTCATCAATGATTTAAACTTTCCTCTTGCTTGTCCGTCTCTCTAGGTTGTCTCAACTGATCCCTGTTCTTCATTTCGTAACACTATCCGTAGCGTCGCAAAGTAGGAATTGCCCTCATCAAACAGCTGTTAATTGGCATTTAGAGAACAGTAACAGGAAATGCGGAAACCAAATTTCCCTAATCTGACAAATGTCAGTTCTGGAAAAAATCGTGGTTGTCCTGCTACGGTCCATTATCGCATATATACATAGCATGGGATGTTACATACCTGCCTACCCTGAAGGATATTAGGCGCCCTTGACTGAACCACATAGGCAGGCCAATAAGCGTCTACCTCGCTTAAAATAAGCTTATTCCGGCCTGCGGATAAGGTTCTGAATCCTGAAGGAAGCCCCGGAAGGCGGGGATGGGCAGAACCTTAAAAGCGGAGGATGTTCTCTCTCTGCGATTGAAACATCGAGACAGGGGTGCATGATCCGCGGCGGTGATAGCATAGACACTGAGCACTTACCATGCAATCCTGGAGTACGCTTGTAGCCTTAATTTCAATGTTTCTAGGAGCAGTTGGTTCTCGGGACATCCGGCCCACTCAAGCCTGTTCCGCCCATTCAATTACATTGTTACGCATGAAATGCGTGCCGAGCTGCGCCGCCGTTTTATCGGTTCAATAGTTCCGCTTTGCCTACCGCGGAAAGGATTTTTGTTTTCCATATAATTTATATGCTGATTCGCTCTTGGAGTTAGTTGTCCTCCGCATGGGAATGTACTAACCATTTGTATTTCCTTCCGTGTCATTCACCCCTATTAAACTCCAATATTTAGGCTTCGAAGGTTTTTAAATAGCGGGAACATCCTCTTGTTGACGTTCTTGTATCGTTTGGCCGCAGTTGAACATCTCTGTTTTCACAATGGTAAATCTTTGCAAAGTTGTCGCACTTGCGACCGTCTTTTTCGTGTCCACTGTCGTCTCCCATGCCGACGTTAAACTGTCGCCTCGGGAGCTTGCGACAGAGGCTGAACGGATCCAGCAGGTGCGCAGAGGCCTGGATGTTTGCGCGAAATCTCTTTGGGAACGCGGTTGGGATGCGAAAAATGCTAAACGACGCGCTGCGCGGGCGGCATCTCTCCGTGCAAAGAGAAACCTTCCGACTTGTAAGTTGCTGATATGGAAATGCCTAGATTTGGTGCGCTAATAATCATCTGCAGCCCCTTGGAAGAGCACCAAGCGCGATTTTGCCGACGTCTTGAAAACGAATCACAATGACACGTTGAAATTCCCAGGTGCCAATCTCGATTCGCCCAGCTCAGTTTTTTTTGGCGAAGACCCATCTCAGGCCTGTGTACTGGCGGCAAGCACTGTCCTTGGCCCTTTTTGTGAGTATTTCCGGCTTCCGTTCCTTGCAATCTTTCCCCTTTTCTCCCACCTATGACACCAAATTAACCTTCCCTTTCTCTAGACGTTGATGGCGAGCTGGTTCGTAACAATATCGTGGATGACCAGCTTGGTGTTCCATTGTATCTAGACGTTCGGGTCCTTGACATTGAAACATGCGAGCCAATCCCAGAGATGTATACAGACATCTGGCACACCAACAGCACCGGTGTCTACTCCGGTGTTTCCTCAGCGGAGAACGGCAATGGAGCGATTGTTGATAATCTCAACACAACTTTCAGTCGTGGCATCTACCCCACTGATGGAGAAGGTGTTGTTGAATATCAGACAATTTTTCCCGGTCATTACTCGGGCCGCGCAATGTAAGTATTCTCTCTGAAATGCTCTGTTCCTCAATTTCCCCACGATATACCAGGTATACACCAAGCTAACCAACTTGTCTGGAATTCTCCTCCACGACACACAGCCATATTCACGTCCTAACTCATGAGGCTGGTGAAGTCCTGCCCAATAAGACCTTCAGGAGCACTCGAACTTCGCACATCGGGCAAATATACTTTGACCAAGCCCTCATCGACGCTGTCGGAGTCACAGAGCCTTATGCTTCCAACCATGTCAAAGAGACCTTGAACGCTGACGATTTCCTCATGAAGTTCTCCGCAAATGCAGCCAAGGCTGACCCTGTCGCGCACTACATTTATCTGGGCGACCATGTTAACGACGGGATATTTGCCTGGACTACACTTGCTGTCAATCGTTCCGCTTCCGTGTACATCCACGCTACAACGCACTGGACGAAGAATGGAGGTGTTAATAACACAGAACCTCGTCTGCAGCCCGATATGCCCGCCGGTTATGAAACTGAGACACCCGGGGGAAACAGTAGTACGAACGGTACTGTGAACGGGACTCTCATCGAATACCCTTCAATGTCTCCGGCTGGTTTGAGTCCGTGGCTGTCCCCTATCATTGGTTGGGCTGTTGCAGCTGTTGCGATTTGGGTATATTCTGGTTAGGGGCATACCCGGAAGTGTTAGAGTTTTCATTCATGGCCATGTATGTCTGTTAGTGTGGGATCAATATTTCATCATGACACAACTTGTAAAATTGATGTTGCGGGGAAGTGTAAAACATGGTTAGAGAAAATCTGATTGTTCTTAGAAATGCTTATTTTCTAATCATGCCCAGATGATATAGTTAACATACATACACTAGACGTTCCTAAGACGTCTCACCGCCATCCCGGGTTCACGGAGTCTGAATTAGGGAGTCAGAAGGATTAAATTAGACCTTGGGCAGCAGTAATAGAGCTAGCTATTGGCCTGAGACACAAACCAGAATCGAGAGTGAAAGATATTTATTGGACGATATATACTCTCCTTTTGCCCCATTTTGCTATATCAAACCATGGATTGTTTGATATTGATCTATTGATCTACGCCACAGATAAGGGTAGCTCGCGTTTAGTAATCTATTAGTAATAATGCTGACCGATCCAGCCAATCATGTTTACACGTTCAGTTATCTTTGTCTTTGCTGTCGTGAATTGGTTCAATTGATGTTGATATAGAGGCAGCTCTCTTGTTTTAATCTGTCTTTTGCTATTCCTTTCCTTCCAGAATTTCCTTCCCATGCTGGTTCTGTAATTCGAAACGGCATCCCGTCCCCATCCATCGATATGTTAGAATAAACGCAACAGCCTCGACATCCCAATTGAAGCGTTTATTCGTGAATTGGGCAAGTTGTTGACAAAGGGAAGAGCTGTCGTATCCAATTCTCGAATCCATCTCCGAAATACACCACCGGATCTAATCTTAAAAGCACTCCGGCCTTGCGACATCCTGCTATGCGGCAAACCGCGTCATGGGTTGGCACACCCTCTATCAAAGGCCGAACAGAGGCCACGAAGCTGGCATTGCTGACCTTCAGTCTGGTTGGCTTACAGTGCGTTTATGACAAGCCTATTCCTCGTTTTTCCCCTTCCAGATTACCCCGCATGTGCATACCACTCCCTAAATTCCTTTGTCTCATTTCATATATGCAATTAGGAGAAGTGGATTGATTGATGTGGCTTGCAATTGTTGACTTTTACTGCTTGGGGGTTTGTTCTCCCAAACTTTTGGTACCCTTCTCACGCGTAAAGATTTACATGGGGCGTTGAAATGACATGTAAATTATATCCCCTATTCTCCATTCCCCTTTTCTCTATGTCTATACCCTCTCCTATTGCGTTTTGCTTTCTCCAGCTCATTCTTTTATCTACACAATTTTAGCTACTTAGCTATCAACTCTTTGGATTCACAGAAAATTAAATACCGCTAACCTTCCCTGGAAAAAAACTGCAGATTTCACACCATATCTCCTCCAACTTGGTTTAACGAAATCACGAACGTCGCTAGTATGGATTGTCGGTCCACTATCCGGATTGATAGTGCAGCCTCTGATTGGGGTAATCACTGATCGCTCGACGTCAAAATGGGGCCGTAGACGACCGTTCATGGTCGGTGGCTCGCTTGTCGTTGGATTTTTTTTGCTGGTTTTAGGTTGGGCACCGAATTTAGTGGGCATGTTTATCTCCGCTGAAGATACGGTATGTGTGAGACTTTCTTTCATCTTATTATACAGTCTTTTGGGGGTGGAGTGTTATGGGATGTCACTTTGCAGGAAGATAATATTATAATATGTTGGCTTGCTCAGCTGGAATTGAAAATACAGACTCCTTTTTCAAGTTGCATTTTGCGCAATGGGTGCTAACTTGAAACAGAGGGAAAGCGTAACGATTGCAGTAGCAGTGATTAGTATATATGCTGTCGATTTTTCAATTAATGTTGGTACGTTGCACGGAAGCCTTACTTTTCACTCCTTGAATGGGATCATATTTATTGGCATTCTGCTGATTAGTGTAGTTCAAGCGTCTTGTCGTAGTTTAATCGTCGACACTTTACCTATTCCCCAACAACAACTTGGGTCTGCATGGGGTACGTCACCCATAATGTCCCATATTTCATTTCTAGTAATTGACACGCATTAGCAAGCCGGATGACGGCTGTTGGCCATCTTTTAGGATATGCAGTTTGTTCAGTGGATATGCTGGCAATATTCGGCCATACGATGGGTGATACGCAGTTTAAGCAAATTACTGTGATAGCCGCGGCTTTGTTGATTTTTGCAGTATCTGTTACCTCGTATGCTGTCAAAGAGAGGGTGTTGATTTCAGTTAGGTGAGTTAGGTGTTCGATGCCTTAGCCCGGTTTTGCTGAATCTGCCAAAATATTAACCCTTAATGCGACCAGAGATTCCGACAAGAAAATAGGGGTAGGAAAGATGCTAGCCCAATTTTTCAGAACGACAGTCAACTTGCCACCACGGATAAGGGCCATCTGTTGGGCACAATTCTGGGCTTGGATTGGTAGGTCTCGTTTCTCTGAGGATTGAATTAATTGTTGTAGTTAACAAGTGAAATTAACAGGGTGGTTTCCGTTTCTCTTCTACAGCACCACATGGGTAGGGGAGACATATTTCCGTTATGAGGCACCTAAAGAAGCCGTTGAAAATTCCTCAGATACGTTAGGAGATGTTGGCCGCATCGGCAGCATGTCCCTTGTAATATTCTCCTTGATCACCTTCATCAGTTCCGTCCTCCTCCCCTTTGTCGTTCTCTCCCCAGATACCAAAAGGTCGACTCCTGCCCGCCGCCCACCCCTGGGCATTATCAGACTTTTTAACAAAATCAGCTTTGCCCGTCCCGACCTCCAAACGGCATGGATGATCTCACACATCGTATTCTTCATAACGATGATATTCGCCCCAGCCGCCCGCTCCGTCCAATCCACCACATTACTCGTAGCTATCTGCGGAATCCCATGGGCAGTAAGCTGCTGGGCACCTTTTGCATTCATGGGCGTGGAAATAAACCGCCTTACCATTCCTTCCTTCAGTAGAAAATCCTCAGTCACCATGATAACCTCCGCTACCTTCAATAGACAGAACTCTGCCCTCATTAATTATGACGCTGAGCTTGAAGATCGCGAACCCTCCCTCCTCCGCCTAAATCACAGCTCCAACCCGGATTTGGACAGTGACAGCGACACAGATGATGATGAGGAGGGTTCTTCTACTGGTGAACTTGCCGGTGTTTATCTTGGAGTGCTTAATGTATTTAGCACGCTTCCACAGTTCGTTGGCACATTCATTTCCTGGATTGTATTCAGCATCTTCGAGTCGGGAGCGTCCTCAATGGCGGCAGATGGAGCTACAAAACCAGCCACAGGCGAACAGAATACTAGCGGGTGGATAAATCGCAACCATGAAGGACCCAATGCGATTGCGGTGTGTCTGTTTATTGGTGCTATAAGCGCACTCGTAGCTGCGGAGGGTACGAGGAGGTTAAAGTATATTCGATGAGATGGAAATCGACATCTCCATATACATGCATCTGAGATCTGTGAGATCTTATGTTCTTGATTGCTGTTTCGCTGGCTTTATAATATTACGCATATACCAGACCTTCCTTTCATGAACGCCAACTTGCTGGCTCGCCACCTTTTGACTATGCATATAGTCTCTGAACATGGGGTTTTCCGGTTGGTCTCAATAAGTATGCTCTCCATAAAATGCGAACCTTTTGCTATATTTACGATGTGGTAATATTTTTCAATTACCCCGTTTCCCCCCTGTTATCCTATCTTGGATAAATTTGAATGATTCATTATTCACTTATACACAGATAAGATTCCCACAGCTTGGAGAATCTATAATAATTGTTCTGTTAATATATGACACATCAATGAGGGCCTTGGAAGAAATACTTACCGGTTTTTCTATTTTGAACATTGTTGACTACCCATGTAGTGTTTGTACATACTTCTCATATAGTATTGATATATACTCATTCCGTCTAATATTACTTCATTGCCTATTGCATCGTTATCAATTTTGCATATATCTCGAATATCATGCCAGAATACAAGGAAAGAAAGGAAAAGTCGGAACATTTAGGAAGAGCACCTTATCGTCATTCCCGCTGTACCATCAAGGTATATCGTTTTTAAGACGTATGGCCATCGTTGAGATAATCCCGCTGAGAAAATAAGTTCATTACCCCGTCTCCACACCCCGTCAACCAGGCCTTCTCTTGACAAAATTCTCCAAATCCTCCCTGGTAGCAACACCCAACACGAACTTGCGACTCGCATCCGTTATCACAGCGAAATCCTGCCTCTCCCTCATTTCCACGGTTCCATCCTCCTTCACCATCTCCCCATCAAAAAACCGCTCCAGCTCCTCCAGCGGCATCTCCATCGTGATAATCTTATAAACATGTCCGCGCCTCCGGAACCGCAACATGGCTTTCTCCACCGGATCAGATTCTTTAACGATGCCTTCCCTTAGTAGGGCTTTTAGTCGTGGAATGCTGAGATATCCAAGTAGCGAGCGTGAGGAGGAGATTACGGTTAGGTGTGTGTAGTCGCGCTCGTAAGCTGTGAGTAAGGCGGTGGAGATCAGGTCCTGCGGAGATGTTGAGAGGGCAGCGGGTGGGTCGAGGTCTTCAACTGTGGCCTGTTATGGGAATTGTCAGGTTCTTATACATTATGCTATTTGCTTTGGATTTCTTCTTTATTTTTCTTTTTTATTTCATTTTATTTTTGCTGGGAGTTTTTACCCCGCGGTATTTGTTGGACATGGAAGTTAAGGATGTTGATGGGGAGGCGATTGGGGGTGGGATCCCGTTCTTGGGTAACTGTTCGCGCTCATAGGCCTGGCTTGCGGAGGAGTAGGATGTCATCGTGAGTGGATATTGTACGAATACAAATATGTTTATGCCTAATGTATGTTAGGGGTTACAGGGTTCTGTGCTCCTGTTGTTCGCGGGGTCGGTATGGGATCGAATCGAAATGCGTGGGGGCTTGTATGGCTGTTTTTGAGGTGGCTCAGATCGGTGAAAGAGGAGTGAGCAGATTGGGTTTTGGGGTCAACGGGAGGAATCTGGCTTCGTGGGACTCCAGAATTCTCTTCCTGTTTCTATCTTGCGGTGATATTAAGGATCCTGGACTCCAACTTGAAGCCATCATTAGTTGCACGTAACAAGGTAACTGGTTATACGGAGTAACGTTAGTTAGCTAGTTGGTTATTAAGCAAAATGATCCTGAGTATTCGGATAAACACGGGCCGTGCCACATTGTCCCTATTGAGTTTAGCGGCGCGGTTGTTGGAGCCGCATACCGCCGACCTTCACCGGACGTCATCCGACCTTATATTCCTCCCAGATGGTGCTCTGGCGAGTCTGAGACACTTGAATGCATTTATTGCGGATTCAATTACATTACTAGGTTGTGACTCCGTACCTATCGTGCTCCTTCGCGACTTTTACTGCTATCTGCGGATTTAGTAGCTCCACAGTCGGCTGAGCACGTCGACGTCATCCCGCCGCCGGCTTGTCAGAACAGGATAACCGTCCACAACTAACCTCAAAAACAAGTCCCTAGTTCTGCAATCCTCGTTCAGAGTGTGTTGATATCTGCAACTGCCTATCTCTTCGATGTTGACTTATCAGTCCGATGGGTTCACATTGATTGACTTAATTGGCTTTAGTAGACTCACAAACTATCACCATGCCTTCCTCCATCCTCCCCAACCAGGACACTCTTGCCGCCACGTTTGGCTCGAGACATCCGCTGTTTGGCTCTCACCATCAGAGAAAGCAAGTAGCTGAACCTGCGAGAGAGAGGCCATTGTTCCCAGCCTGGAGCGCCATTGACGATGTCAAACATAAAGCCGAAGCAGTGGGCAAATCTGCTACCCATGAACTAGAGAAGGCCAGCGCTAAAATCCAGTCTAAGACTGGCCAAATCGAGTTGTATAGCCCAAAATACTATGCTGCTTGTACATTTGGAGGGGTTCTTGCCTGCGTGAGTATGATCTGGATATTCTTGGCTTTGCAGTTTTTGTGCTCCCTTTTGATATCCTTAGTGTTACACACTTCATACCTCTAGTAAGGATTCATTGCCAATGGTAATACGCAGGGCTTGACGCACACTATGGTCACTCCTTTAGACCTGGTGAAATGCCGTCGCCAGGTCGACGCCAAGATGTACAAGGGTAATTTCGAGGCCTGGGGAAAAATTGGTCGTGCGGAAGGTATCCGCGGCATCTTCACTGGTTGGAGTCCGACATTTTTTGGATACTCCGTAAGCAGTCCCTTTCTTTCCTTTTTGCAAGTGACCGTTGTCAAAGCGCAAATCAATGTTTCTAAGTAACAGCATTAATTATGTTTAGGCCCAAGGTGCGTTTAAATACGGTGGATATGAATTCTTTAAGAAATTCTACGGAGATCTTGTCGGAGAAGAGAAGGCTCGCCGCTGGAAGACATCGCTGTACTTGACTGCAAGTGCGTCTGCGGAGTTCGTTGCAGATGTTGCGCTGTGTCCATTCGAAGCCGTAAAGGTCCGAATGCAAACTACAATCCCTCCCTTTGCGACTGGAACATTTTCCGGAATTACTCATATCACTGCGAAGGAGGGCATTGCAGGGTAACTAATCATCTTAGCCGATTTTGTATCTTCTATTGAGCTAGGACTTGCTAACATATGTCCACACTTGCAAAGATTGTACAAAGGTCTCTATCCGCTCTGGGGAAGACAAATCCCGTACACCATGATGAAGTTCGCCTCATTCGAGACAATAGTGGAGATGATCTATAATCGTCTTCCAGGCCAAAAGTCCGACTATAACAAAAGTTCACAAACCGCCGTTGCTTTTACTGGCGGTTACCTGGCTGGTATTCTCTGCGCTATCGTGTCGCACCCGGCCGATGTCATGGTTAGCAAACTCAATGCCAATCGCTTACCCGGCGAGGCGTTCGGCGGTGCTATGAGTCGAATTTACAAAGATATTGGGTTTATGGGACTTTGGAACGGCCTTCCCGTAAGAATTGTTATGATCGGCACATTGGTATGTTGTCTCCCATCATCCTCAGTACTACCTCCCCGCAACTCTTCTGGTTATCTAACTAACCGTTTTATGTGGTAGACCGGCCTCCAGTGGATGATGTATGTCTATTGCTCCCAATATTGTGTCTGCTCCGCTTACCTGGTAATAAAATCTGATGCTGACATTACACTCTTCCAGTTACGACGCCTTCAAGATTTTCATGGGTCTGCCAACCACAGGTGGTCCGGCTCCAACCAAGCAGAACAACTAGATGTCGCAGGAGCATGGATAGAAAACGAGGTGGGAAACCTTCTTTGCTGTTGCAGTATCTTGTTTCATTTTGTAGAAGTTCATGGATATTATTGGGAATTTTTTTTGTTTTCTTTTTATTTATTTATTTATTTATTTTTTTTAGTTTTTAGTTTTTAGTTTTTGCCCCTTCTGTGTCTATTATGGTTTTCTCCGATAAATATGTATACAGTTTTCTCTCTTCTCACACCACCCCTCTGCTTTAATGACGAGTGTCTGTATCATCGAAATGTGTTTCTTGAATCTCAGTCCTCTTCTTTCCGCTACCTCTTTTAATTTTAGCAGCAATAAATAGATGGGGAGGGGTTGCTGTTAATGTTGCTATATGCCAAAACACTACATGCCATGTCCTCAACACGTTCAGATCATGAAGACGTACACAGATCATAATGTTCTTTGAACTGTAGATGAATTGACCATCTCGAAGCTTCAGTTTGCCAAAGGATGGAAGGCAGACGTTTTGGAGTCATCATATGAGGATTCAAGAAGCGGTTATGAAAGAGTTTTGATCGCCGAACCTCAGTCGGGGGTCTTGTCCTCAAAGTCCAGTTGGTGCAACCTTTCCCAATGTCATTGTCAACGAATGTGCCGAAACGGCTTTTTCAAGATGTCGATGGAAGTTATTTATTTATTTATTTATTTTTATATTTTTGGCTTAGTTGGGCAATGTTGCTGTATAAATACAGGCAAGAATTCTTCCCAGCTCTCCAGCTCGCCTTTCCTCCATTCGCATCTGCTACATTTGAATGTAATTTTGTCTGCTTGAGCCGTATCTCGATCTACGTGCTTTATTGATCGTCCTCTGGTGCTCTTCCTCTTGATCCAGATCTGTAACTACAGGGAAACTAATAGCATAGAATGTCATCAAAGGTTTTCACGTCCCAGGCTGATAGTCCTCCTTCGGGAGCTGGAGCTGTTATTTCAGCACGGACTGGCATCGAACCACCCGCAAGCGCCAGTGGATGGTGTCAATATAAATAAAAGCAAAATCGAAAAGATTACAGCCTGCGGGGCAGCATTTTGATGGGCTTGGCTTATCGGCTTGCCAGCGCAAGTACAAGTAATCCGGGTTAAGTATTCCTTTTTTTTATTTTCTCTCTCTCTCTCTCTTTTGTTTTTTTTTTTTTTTTGATGTAATGTCCATTTAATGACAATTACATTGGCTAATCCTGATCCTATGGCTCACAGGGATGGCATCTTTTGTTAATTCAAGGGCACTTGTACGGGATAGGGAGTTTAATGCTCTACTTCCCGATGCTGAGTGTTATCCCTGAGCATTTTGACCGCTACCGTGGTTTAGCCATGGGCTTCATCCTCAGCGGAGCGGGTATGGGAGGTCTTATATTGTCCCCATCATTTCGCTTGCTGTTAGATGCCGTTCGTTGGTGGACAACGGGTGTTTACGAATCCTCTCTTTTCCAAACCTGGCAGCCGGAGTTCAGTGGAGGAAATGTTTTTCCCCGAACCGAAATAATCGGGGGAAAGTAGTGTATCCCCGGACTCAAGAAAATAAAAAGAAACGGGAAATTTCCCTTTTATCATAAAAGAAAAATCATATATGGGTTTATATGAGTAAAATTAAACTCAGCCGATGGTTGGAGATTGGGTTGAGTTTTGACGGCTAGCGGTCCCACTCTTTTTGATCCGTTCCTGGATCGCATCCATCCATGGGATCCAACGAATTTTATTATGTCTCTATGTTACTCCGTACTACGAAGTCCGTTGATTCAAAAAGTGCAAGAGCAAAATGCAAGGAATTGAAAAGACGATGATTACATCAATCCTCCCTCAGTTGTTGATATTTGCGCGCGGACGTAGACCGGAACGAACCAATGGCCAGTTTAGGTGTATGTAGAGAAACCACCTCCATGAAATTTATGGCTGGATTCCACCTTGGAGAACCCCATATGCAGACAGAGAGTATCAAGGCTGCTTGGTCCACAGGCACACACCACCCTTCGTACCCAGGTCCGACACAGGAGTTGAAACCCCGAATATGGACGATGGTCAAAGTCTGAGGCGGAGTCCATTGGGAGGAACGGTCAGCGGTAATTAGTTAGAAGGAACCCGTAGTTATTCCTCAACAAGATATGATTATGGGGGTCATAGAACCCGCCCTGCGACCGACTGAAGGCAAGACAAAGTCATCAGCGTGAGTGGAGACTTTTTGAACCGAGATCGCTCCTCTGCACCAGGAATCAATCACCTTATCAACAGTCACTCAACCACTAGCTGTTCACCGGACTCGTGGGGGCTGGGCGGTATCTCAGCTGAGCCTGGCCAGGGCCACAATCGCGATAACCAGACAGAGGGTGACAGAGGGTGACAGAGGGGCAACAGGCAGTGACAGGCGGTGACAGGCGGTGACAGGCGGTGACAGGCGGTGACAAGCGGCGGTTTGGCTGGGCAAAAGGAGGCTGCTGCTGCTTATCTTATCTCGCGCGGGCTTGCTTGGCTGCCCCGGATGAGGACTAGCGCCTCGCCGGAGCTGGATATCCTATCAAGTCCGTCGCAGAAGCCCCCTCCTCCTCCTCCACCTCCTCCTCCTCCTCCTCCTCCGTCATCCAACGGGGAATGTTGCGTGTTGCGTCCTTCTTTGGCTACGAGAACCACGATATTTTTGGAAGGGGATTCCTGGCTGATTGATAACTGCACCGTATTTAAACACCTGCATCCGCAAGTCCCAAATTTTCCCTTTTTCGAGCTGAATCGATGCTGACTTTTGCATCCATAACTAGACCTCACAAAGCCTTGGAACTTCGTCTCTCCCCGGCCAAAATCAGTCAGTGGCTTCCGTTCACGGGGGTCAAGGTGCTGTACCACGATAGCTTAGCCCCAAGAGAAGCTGCATTTCGGCTTCGGATTCCTCCATCAAACAGGATACAGCTTCTTTACAGCGTCTTTGCCAGAGAGGCCACAGCATCGCATATCTTCTCCCCGTGCCATTATCCATTGTAGTGAAGGTATGTTGCGAAATTTCGTGTCTCTCTCCCATAACCCCTTGGCCGAAATGTGTATCTATCAATGCAATCTCCAATGACCAATTCTATCTCCATCCGTTCTCGCTTGTTGGGTAGCATCACGAAGAACAAAGGTGTTTGGCGAATATCAACATCAATAGTTCACTTTCTTCTGTTGATTGGAGCCCCTTTCACAGCAAGCTGCCGCATTCCAACCTTCAGTCAGTGGATAGATTCGCTTCGATGAGAAACAACTGTGTTTTGCTAATTACGGACAATGTTATTCATACAATCAAGCTCCGAGTCTTCTTCCGTTTCCTCCGTTTCGAGCTCCCGAAAACCAGACGGAAAGGGCGAGCGGCTGCGTTGGAACAAAAAAAGAAAAGAAGATGGTTTCAGCGCCAATAGTGTCTCATGGTCGAGGAGGTATGGGCTGTAGATTTGTTAGGAGAATGATTCGGTCTGGGCACGTGTTGACAACCCTCGATGTTTTGCAGGTCAAGGAAATATCGGCGCAGATTCTACAGAGTACGTGGCGCAATATCCGATCAACATTTTTTTTCATGATTGCTCTTCCTGCGCTTCATGCAATGAATGAGACGGAAGTCGGATGATGCGCATCATCTAACACTCATAACAGATACGTAGACGCTGAGATCACACGCCAGGGTCCAGAAGGTGATCAGGGCGATGGAGCTTATTCTGCTGGTGTACGTACTCTGCTGTCTTTTTCTTGCATTGTCCTGCCAGCCTCGTTCATGGTCTTAACGTCATGTCCGTTTTTATTCACCCCTTCTCCCGATCACTGGCTTTTACCAGACACTCAACTCATCATCTCTTTCCCTTTTGGTACACTTATAGCGCGGCGGAGCAGGCAACATTGCCTCTACGGACCTCCCTCCAACCACGAAACAGCCACATGACGCCGACATAATTCCAGTGCTCGCAATCCATCCATCCCAAGAGGGTGATTATCATACTGGAGTATGGTCCCTCGTTCGCTTTTGTTCTTTTCTTTTCTTTTCTTTGTTCTCCCTCCAACATATCCGTCAAAAAGCATAGTTCATAAACCCCATATTCTAACCGTTCCTTTTCGGTTCCGACATACAGCGCGGTGGCCAAGGGAATTTTATCCAACAAACCAAATCAGCTGACGACGGCGCAAAGGAGAATGAAGAAGACACGTCAAAGAGGAGGTCCGTCGTTGTGGGCCTAGCTGATAAGTTGAAAACGTTGTTGGGGAAGAAACGAGAATGAGCACCGATCGGGCTCAACAAAGTAATCAATTAGTTAATTATGAACACATTAGTTATATAGCCCACTCGGAACGCCCGAAGACCAAAGTGTTAATTAGTTTAAAAACCACGAGATGATAAATGTAGCTGAGCACGATAAACACCAGCACTTAATGATTGAGCGGGAAGAAGATATTATACAGCAAAAATAAACTATTAAGTGAAATGCATCTATCTATGGAGATATCAAGACAAAGAGAAATAATGAGTGACGTTCAGAGCAAACTAGTCGTGGTTGGTTATCCGCAAAGTGGGAGAAAAAAAGACATTACCTAGGATTCAAGAAAAAATTATAATATTCAAAACCTACGGATCAGGAGAACTCGAGATGAAGCGATACCGTATAGTAGTGAAAAAGACTGAAGAGAGGGGAGAAAAAATAAAAATTAAATTTAAAATTAAAACTAAACTAAAAAGGCGAAATGCAACATCAATTAACAATTAAGAAGTAAAAATGGCTTTTTGCGCTCAGGATCTTTGATAACAACCATATTTTCTGATCTCATAGAAGGTGGGAAGAGCAATGGATATGCATATTTTTTGTTTGGACGAGTTGGGGTTTGGGGTTCTGGGGGTAGAGATAGAACATATCGACCAATGGATGATTCATTGCCGAGTTCTGTTCCTGAGTGACGACGAACCAACTTCCTTCCTTTCCTCAACATAGAGGTAACTTTGAAGGCAGGAATTGGGAGAGGCCTTATCCTTAGGCCATGCAAGCGCATGGCACTCCTAAAGCCTGATTTTATAGATTATCGAAAAGATACATGGGACAAATATACTGGTAAAAAGGGAGGAATATCAAAAACAGGGATGTAGACAGTATCTCAAAAGGAAAGAAAGCAAAATTAAACCAGAATTAAAAAAAAAAAAAAAAAAATGAAAAAATGAAAAATGAAAAAGAAAGAAAGGTCAAGAAACGGCAGGACAAGTGGTATAATTTAGTGAAAGAAAGAAACAAAAGAGGTGGCTACAGGACACATCACAGAGCAAATAGCAAAACAAAGAAAAACAAAATCGGGCAATCTTGAAAGACAAAATGGTTGTTCAAAAGCAGACCTTTAAAGGGACGATCCAAAGGCCATTAGGGAGAGCTAGCAGATTGAAGAGGGGAAAGGATATGGGGAATAAGGGAGAGAGCTAGAATCAGGTTCGAGAAAATTTTTAAGGGGATCGAAATTTGTTGGAATATCAGTTCAGGAGCCAGGGCATAGTTATGAGCCATGGAGAAGAAAAAAGTTGGTATAAGAAAAAAAAGTCGAAGGCAAAGGGAAAGAGAAATGTAAGAAAATGGCAATTCAAAATAATTGAATCAGTTCAAGTTTTGGAAACAAGTCTGGGCTTCGCCCATTATCATTCTGACATTGGGAATACGCAATCCAAGCATGAAAAAGCCGTGGGAACATCGTTTAGCACAAATGCTCTAGGATTCCATATTCCCAGTCAACTCAGCAACACGAGCCTTGATGCGTGCAACTCGGGATTCGATCGCTAAATAATAAAAATAAAAATAAAAGCCATTAATTCATCTGGTCTAACAACTAATAATCATGGGGAAGTAGCACTTACTCTCTTCTCCACTTGTTTCGCCATCATCCGTCTTCTCTGGCTCAGGCCTTCTTGACGGATGGTCGTCTATATGGACAGCACGCTCGGCAGCGTTCTTCCGGATTTGAGCCCAACGGTCCTGCAGCGCCATTGGTTTTTCCATAGGTTCTGGCTTGTCATGGCCATTCACTGGAGCTTGTTGTTTGGCGGGTGGGTGGTGAGTTTGGCGGTCCCGTTCCGGGAATTCTTCTGTGGTGGGAGAATCCGCGGGAACGAAAGCGGGCTGGTCAACGAATGGGGCTTGGTGGTCAAAGGAGGAAAATTCACGATCAGCCCGTGCTTTCTCGTTAGTATCCACGCGGGAAAGGGCGTCGAGCTCCTTTTCCCTTCGAGTCCATGGTGGGCCATCGTATGGGGTGGTCACTGGGGTGTGGGCGGTCTTTGGTTCCTCAGGAACAGGTGGGGTGTTTGGCTTGGAATTAGTCTGTGGGGGGCTTGATTCGGAAGGCTTTTTCCTTCCAAATCCAGAAAGGCGGTGCGCAGTAGGGAGTTTGGACGGGGCTAAAGTCGACGGTTGTGCGACCTGTGCAGTTCGACCTTCCAGGGCAGCCCTTGCAGCAGCAACGGCAGACGTCTCTGCTCCGGTTGGTTTCACTGGAGGCTGCTCTACCTTTTCTGTTTTCTTACTAAACATGCCCTTAAGCGTTGTGTTTCCAGGCTTCTTCTTAAGCTTCTTGTGTTCTTCGGTTGAGTCAAGAGATTTCTTACCTCGGGCCCGTTCTGGTGAAGCTGTTTCAACGGAATGAATGGCAGGAGGTTCGGAAGCAGGTGTGGTGGCAGGATCCAAGTCAGATGCCGTGTTCTTCGAAATCTCAGACTGCTCGGCAGCAAACTGGGAAGCATTTGCATCTTCCTTTGAAGGAACAGGATGTTCGCAATCTGGAGGGGAGCTGCTGGGATTAAGAGACCCATTTTGTGCTAGTCTATTGGTAGAAATTTGTAGGGACTCTGCAGGAGCACCTGTTCCAGCCATGTTATTTCCGAGATAGGCAGCTCGAACGGCGTTCTTATCGTAATTGTTAGCCCACTTCATCGCCTGCGAGACCTCAGTCATAACCAGCGGTTGCATGGACATAATTGAGTTCGACTTCGAATAGTTCAAGTCATCCGATTTATTGCGATGTTCTGCCGCTCGCTCCTGTTCCTGCTCTTGTTCTCGGTGTTTCCGCTGGAGTGCAGCAGCGGCAGCTTGGATCCTGGCATGCTGATCAGGGCCGATGCTAGTCTTGCTTATTGCTGTGGTGCTGTTAGCACGCTGGTATGGTTCCTCAATGGTTGAGATTTTTTTTACAGCTGACTTCCGTCGTATTAATCGCCCCTTTCGCGATCTAAAACCAAAAAAGCCCTTCTTTTCAGCTATATATGCGCCCACTTCGGGTTCCGGAGCTGCTCCTTTCACCTGCTCCTCCAACACGAACCACCTGCCACCTGAGATGGAAGTTTCAATCAAAGCGCAGCGTCCAAAAACGGCTTTTCGCTGCGTTGGTTCCTCGCCAGATAAACTGCTAATCCAAACCCACCAGAATGAAGCATCCAGGTCCATGGTAGTTATACTTGCCAGTTCCCCTGGTTCAGCAGACGATTCCTGGTCAAACATACGTTTATGAGACTGGGAACTTTGTCCGCGCACAGTCTGTATTGGCGGGAGGACTTTGTCGGGAGGCAGGAGGAATGGAGGACGGCTTTGCGGTTCATTTTCATCAGCAAATCCAGACGAGAGGAAATCAGCCCATGAAGGTGTGGTCGGTCGACCAAGATCAGCAGTACGAGAGTGAGGAGCGGACCTCAGACCCAGCGATCCCGCATGTTTCGTCACAGTCCCATCCCCATCATTTTCACCATCTCCCTCTTCGATTGTATCCGTGAAGCCAAGATCCTCGAATCTTGACCATGATGCATCACGGAGAGCAGCTGATTCTTGGGCAGCTGCCGAAACATTGGATTGGTTCGTGGAGGATATGCATCGCAACACTCTACGACATTCGTCAGTTAGCGCTCTGACAGGATCATCGAAATTTGAGAATTGCTGCAAGGCAAGGTCGCTATCTCTATATTCGAAATTTTTGGCCCGTCGAAGCAAAGCGAATGGGGTCGGAGAAACCGTGTCGACAATCATTACGACTTTGGTTGATTCCACTTGAAGGAGGGTAGGAGGTTCTGGTGGGTACTCTGTAGCCTGGACGAGATTTTGCAACGAGATTGGAAGGGTAGAAATGCCATTGGACCCACGAATGGAATCGGGAGATAGAGAACGAAGGTAAGCAAAAAATAAATGGCTCGTCGCGTCCGCCGCACTATGAAAATCTTTAATAAGTAAAGCACATTGGTATTGTAGGAGCCTCATATCTGTTTTTTACCTTGCCCAATTCTTATAACTTGATTCAAACCCATTCCCGGAGTCAGTATGATCGAAAGCCCACCAACCGGCATATCGCGAAAGCTTACGCCCTCCAAAACCATTGGTCTTTCCGTGAGCTGCAACAGCAGACATAAGATCGAAGAAGTCTAAGATAATTTTCGTTCGGGCATCTGATTCCACGCTTAAAGGAATAAAGGTTGAGAAAGCATCGCGGGCGAATTGGGAGTCTTATATACCCAGTTAGGAAGCATTAGCACTCAAAAATAGTTACCCACTAGGTAAATACTACTGTATGTCAGGAAAAGATAATAACCTTGTTCTCCAACTTTGAATAATTCATATGCTTCCCAGGTGACCACTCCTCCAGGCAATCGGCTCCAGCACCATTTCATAATGCTGCACAATACCTGCAATATGACCAAAATTTTTGAATTAGCTGTCTGGTCCAAATATTTATAAACAGCATTGTGGCAAATACCATTGGTTCCGTCAAACGCAGCTCTTGTGATAGATGTTTCCCGCGAAGTGGTTCAGGCCTCTCCGGAGGAGGGCTGAAGTAGTGTCGAATAAAAGTGCGTGCTGAACTCGGATCCGAGTTGGGGCGAAACGGAAGAAGAAGAAACGGAATTTCGAGACCTGAATAACAATATGGAATTTGAACATTTAACAAAACATAAAATCGCATTTGTCACGGATACCCAATAGTTATACGGACCTCTCGATTTTAGCTCGATCGTACATCCATGTAGCAACTCCTGTACCTCTTCTGGGCTCACCTCCGTACGGAGGAATGCGTCGGTCCATTGGGGCTTCTGTTGAACCTGACCAACACCGTTTTGCTTTGATTGTTTCTTGGAACTGCTAGCATCTTTGCTGCGGAAAACTCGAGCGAAAAATGACATTGTGCGAATGGGAGATGGTTTTAAATGTTAAAAGAGGATCAACATATATGTATACGGGAGGACGGCAAGAGCCGCAAAGGCGACGATAACGTGACTTTTATGACCCGGGCGTCTTAGATCCCCAGTGACCGTCGAACAGCAACGAGCAACGCCAAAGGTGTTGATTCGTGCTCTCCAGCTGCTCTCAGGGAGGAGACAATAACAACAACACTGGTCTGTATTCACCGAATCTACCACAATTGAAGCTTGGGTTTGCCAAACAAAAAAGAGGGGACCAAAGACGGATATCCGACGAGTATTTCGAGGGCGTCCTGGGGGAGTTTCGAAAATGGAAGAATGTGGAGGGTGTGAAGGTTCAGAGAAGGTTTGAGTAGCACTAAATTATAAAGATATAAAGGAGGGTTTTGAGCATCTGAGATGAGGTACTATATGTTAGGCACATTCAGTCAGTCAACCCAACACAATACAGAGAGACAGAAATTTTGAGAGGCGGAATAGGGGAAATTTTATTCCGTACCTAGTAGAATGGAAGTCAGAGTAGCCGTCTTTCTGTAATAAGTGCTGATGTGACTGGTATAAAGAGCAAAGAGGGAGAGAAAGCAAAGATAAAGGTGACCAGCATGGAGAGAAGAAGTAGAAGTAAAAAGGGGGCCGAGCAATGAGGAATAAGGAACGTTGGTAGGGTCTCGGGAAGAGCCCAGAAAAAGGGGCGAGAGAAGATGACCAGAGAAGAAGACTCTTGGTTGCAATCGAAAGAAGGGAGTGAAAGGAATAGAAGAGTAAAGCAACAGACAACCAGAGATCTGGAGGGCTGGATGAATGAGACACAAGAAGAGAAAGCAAAGGTGACAAGAGACAAGAAGACAACAAAAGAAATTAATGAAGAGTGAGATGGGACGGGGTTGAGGTCGAGGATGCGGATGAGAGGAAACACGTTGGTTGCTGGTGGAAAAGGAGCGTGGGCTGGGGCGTTGGGCTGGGGCTCCCCTGGCCAACACAGCCAACACCCTGTTCAGGGGCTGCCACGGCCTGTGCTGGTTAATGCCACGCACCAGCCAGCATGAAAAAACTAAATTTGATGGAGATTGACCTGGACAGTAACAACTAACAATACCTCACCTAACTACGGATCTGGAATATATTCCATGTCACTATATAGGTATGAGGGCCAAGAGCATGGCAGGGCAATGGCATGTCAGACATGGATATTTCCAGTGCCATCGACCATATATATATAATATGTTATCCCTATAACCAGCATATCTCGATGCCGCATATTTAATTATTTCACCCCCTCAAGACCTGCTTATGCCAGAGGGGTTGGGCTGAAGCCCAGCATGGGGATACGTAAATATTTGATTTGTCAATGCCAGGGATATTTAATTAGTTATGATGATGTTTTATATGAGTTAGTCGATGTTTGAAAAATGCTTGTCTATATCTCTACGCCTATTATGACACATTCATTTATCCATCCATCTCCAACAGGCTCGTTGATTGATGGGTGACTCTCGAGATATAAACCCCGACTCAACCCAAGGACATCATTATTCTTCTTTTCAACTACCCCATATGCCTTACTAAAGCCTTCTTCATCCTCCATCCAGCTCCATTGTACCACCTGATCCGCCATCGCTATTCTAAGATCTCTGAGTCGCCGTTTGGTCAATGTGCTGGACTTGACCAGCTTTCCACACCAGTTGGCAAGTAGGCAGTTTGCATACAAATTTATAGCCTTGTTCCCAAATTAGCAGAAGAAAAAGAAAACAAGCCCTCGGGGGCCCGATCTTCTATTCCATTCCCATATCTGTGGGACACCAGTCCGACTAAATACGTTGACTCCTACACCGTACTGGACGAGAAGTTCTGCTAATGCTATCTATCTAATATCAGTCTTTCTGCAAATGCTGAGAGGGCTTCCAGGGTCCAGATCAACGTTTTTTTCGGGACAGAGCTAGGCTTAAATAAACCCTTCACCCTCTTTATGGACTCGACTGGTGACTGGTGACTGGTGACTGGTGACTGGTGACAGGTCCATTAGTCCCCTAGTCCTACATGCCGATCCGTACCAACGATAGACAAAATGTCGTCGTGGGACAAGCTTTTCCTCTTGTCATCTGGCGTCTTCTCTGCAGCTTCAGCAATCAAGAACTAAATTAAAAAAAAAAGAAAAGAAAAGAAAAGAAAAGTGCAACACTGTCCTTGCGTCAACTTCCAAATCCTAGCCGAGCCCTGGTCGTTTGCTGATTCCTACTCTTAAATTTAAGGTGCGTTCTGGAATGGAGGACTCGATTTTAGGGTTGGTGCTACTGAGTGCCAGAAAAAAAAAAAAAGGAAAAATCTCATCTACCCATTTGGTTTAGAACCAACCCCATCAAAGGGGGAGAAAAAAAAGGGGTCAGATCCAGTAAAAGAGTCTCGAAAGAGTCTCGAGCTGTCAGGGGATGAAGCGCAACGTCGCACCCCGTCGTCTTATGGTGGAACGGCCGTGCTCTGAGTTTCAAACTTTCAAAGCCACAGATCGCACCAGGGGTGGGGGCTCCACATTCCTGCAGCTAATTTTATGGGACAAGACTAGGAAATAGCTTATGTGATGTTAATTTTTGCCGGGTATCAATGATGCTCAGGATACGCAACCTCCAACAACTCTCATGCAATGCCTGCTCTGGCTGTTGCAGCTCGTTACTATAACATCTCGTTTGCCGTCCGACTTTCTTTTGAAGGAGAATCTGAACAGCTGGATCAAAAACACACTGTTTTTCTCAAAGGGAAAAACAAACATCGGATATCGTTTGTTCTCCCAATTTACCTCTGCAACTCCGCCACTAGCATCTCGCACAGACCAAATCAACACACCAACATACTCGATAACTGATGCATTCCAAAAGAAAAGCAGAAAGAAAAAAAAATTAAAGAAATAAAGATATAAAGGAAGAGGAAAGGAAGAGGAAAAGAAAAAGAAAAGAAGAGAGAAAGATGAAAAAATTAAATACTCCATACAAAATACAAAGACACAAAGCTATTCATCCCATCTCGCAATAATAACGGCTTGCGAGCGAAGCTGTCAAAACATTCCCACTCCCCAGCCGCAAAGGCCGGATTAACACGGGTCCCTTTCCAAGCCACCAACAGGCGCAGCTATTTTTATCCCCTATAAACTACTTACTCCACACTCTCCGTCCAATTGCCAATGGAGAACGAACCTGCGCCACTCCTTTCATTCACACATCCATGATTACACGAACTTCTTCCACGAAAAACACCTCTGAATCGAAATCTGAAATCAGTCACACAGGAAACTTACCATAACATTATATCATTTCACGACCAAAGTCTGTTATCTTACCTCTTCACCTTAACCAATATATCAAGTCACAATTGCAATGCCAAGTTACTCCATTTCTACCCCCAGGAGGGTAATATATCTATGTTAAATTCCATATCTGAGCTGGTTTTGCATTGCCAATTGAAAATTCGGCTGAACGAGAACGTTAAAAAAGAGAGAAGCCTATTTACAGCGTGCCCCAACCCGTGGTATACATGTGTCTCTGCTAATTTCTAACGACTTGAGCTCCCCTGGTTAACTCAAAAGCCGGTTAATGAGTCATCTTCATAAAAGGGCCTACCGTCTTGGACTCTTTTATCTCCCAGCACATAGTTATATGCTTCTGAGAGAGAAATCTGACATTTTTGTTAACCGTCCATAGTTTGTTCCAATTACCGAAGTAAGATCCACTTCTACTCCCCGTGGTTGGAAAATTTGCTCGATATTGAAAAAAGCCCCATGTCAATAAAAAAAAAATATGGAAAAAATAAGGTGCAGCGGCCAATTCCATCGTCATCATTGAAGAATGAGAATCATGCAAAAAGACAATATTGAATCGGCCTCTTCATTTCTCCTGCACTCCACTTCCTCGCCCCAAATGCTTGAGCTGTCTTTATGAAGTATAATTTGAAACGACGATATCTATGGAGATACGTGATATCCTAGTGGTATATGTGGAGCACTCCGCATACTTCCAAGAAAATATCAATCTAGAGAGATTTGGTTACATCGCTCCGATAGGCACAATAGACACCACTTCAGCCAGAGTAAACGAGTATATGAATGGATGTACAGGCGGAAATGGTTTCCTTGCGCCTTAGCCCGAATATATATAAACTTCACCAGTAAGTAGTTAAGCAAGAGCCAAGTTTAATGTTTAACTAGTTCAACTAACTAGTGATCGGAGCGTCTTATTAGTTAGACTGTTACAGAGATGTTACAGAGAATGACGTAGCCTCACACCGACCTACTAAACCAAGAACATCAAAATGAAAAAAACACCATGTATATAAAACCCCTGAGATCGCGAATGGACGTGGGTGAATATAAACAACAGTACTCTCGTACATTCGATTGATTTAGCGCACTTCGGTCCCCAATGGCTATCCTCACCAGATAATGACACTCTACCTAGTATCCGAAACCAAATCATAACCAACTCAACTCGCTTGGTCAGTTATAATTCGAGGTGGAATTGAACGGCGCCCAAGGTGTCGTAGTATTCGGGAAGGTGGTGTTTGAGAATCCGGTACTGTTCCGCAGCGGGTATCTAGCCTTTGGACCTCCCGGGAGATTGAAGCTAGGATAGACAGTCCAGCGAGCGCAATCAGTCGTTAAAAATGCCACCTTGTTCGAAACTCGTCCCCGTTTGATCACATTTATCAACCGGCTTTCTCAGGGAATGACCACACATGTCGTCCGGCCCTGAGTCCTCCGTCCCAATTCCCATGGGTCACAATCGTTGATTCCTTCTACAGAAACTTTTTTCTTTTTTTTTCAATCACGCAGCCGAAAAAAATCCCTTTAAGCACGCAGCGTTGTAGAGTCCTTGAATTTTCTGTCCCTGTCTCACTGTTTTTTGCCCTTGATATCACAACAAAATTTCTCTATAGTTGCGATCATACCTCCGCGATGCGCTGGGCTGCCTTTTTCAAAGCATTTTACGACCTCAGGCCCCTCTCCTGGAGGACTTGGAGTTTTCCTCGGCATTTCTCTTTCCGCCGTGGTTGGCTTAAAATGAATCCTAGTGGCATCCCGGCTGTGCATCTGGTATACAAGATGCTGGCCCAAGGCACTATAGTGCTGCGGCGTGTCAACTGGAATTCCATCATAGTTGCAAGTTTAATAGAAGAACTAGTCGTGGTGGTTGTGGTAGTAATAGTCGTGAGTTCAACAGAGCAGCACCCGGTCACCGTGGAACAAGCGGTCCTCATCCTGTCACGACTCGCCGTACTCAGCTGTATTTTCATGACAAGTTCAGTGCATCGACGAGCGGTTTGTGCTCCGCCGTAGCCATCCTTTCCTGTCTCGCACTCGGCTCCCGTACAAAACCCAGACGCGCAATTACTGCCTTCACAGGTAATGGGGTGCAGCGAGGGCCCTTACAACTGCCATTTTCACAGTCGGGTCCATCGCAGCCAAAGGCCAATACATTTTGGGCCGAAACATCGGCCCGTAACCTTATCGCAGTCCGGACCCACGCACCCACTCGATCTGCACTCAACACCGCTGCAACCGCCCCGCTGCGGAATGCAGTCCAGCCCGCCGCACATCGTAATCACGCATGTAGGACCCCAGCAGATTCCATCAAGACAATCGAGCCCAAAACAGCCAAACTTGATACAAAAATAATCCCATGCATTTGCCGTCCTTTCAGTCTCGACTGCTGCATTTATTAACAACATTTTTAGGTCTCGTCTTGTCATTCTCAGAAAAGAAGTCGCGCCCATCACGGCAATCATGCTCACAAGGCTCACGGCAAAATGGAGCCTTGCATTTTAATCCGCAATTTCCTGTACAAACAGGGTCGGGGGGACCTTTTGTAAATATGACGGTGGGTAATATGCTCCGACCGTGGTCGTCATCGGTCTTTATATCGGGGACGTATGGATATGGTGGCGGAGTAATTGTCCTAGTCATGATGAGAGAGTCTGTTGCACCACCCGGCAGGTCGGATGTAGGGATTAAATGGTCAAGATCAAGTCTCGTTTCTCGGTCCCTTTCATTACCCCCGGCAGCTCGGGTATGGTGGGAGTCATCTAACCCAGGCGTCAAGTGTTTCATGCCATCATCTGTTCTCTGAGGGTTGTTTCCCTTGGTTGTCCCAGGAGGATGGGAATCATCAGATCCGGTCTTTGGCCTGTTTTGTAACGCTGTTAGCCCTCCCGGGATTATTTCCATTGATTATTCCAGGGAGGATAGCTGCATCAGACCCAATTGCTGAACTGCCTGGGATGTTCATGGCCTGAGGGTTAATTTGTCCCCCAGTTTGTTTCGGATGATCATCTCCTCCGTTTTTGTGGCAGTCTATCTGTAACCACAAGGGGAGACGGGAGGATGCTGCTCATAAGAACATATGTGGCTTTTGGAGCATCAGGGTCGGTAACCCTCCAGTTCCACAGATCGATATTTGTTGTCGTAACAGGAGGAATGGTAAGTGCAGCGGTCTGAATTGTTCTCTCCAGGCCGGTTGATACCGATACTGCACCCCCGGGAAGAGTAACTACATGCACTGTCGGCCATGCAACTTCCAAAGAGGTCGTATCGGGAGGGAAGGTGATTGTGGTGGGTGCGTTCAAGGAGATTGCGGGCATGAGAAATGTACAACGGCGTACACATGCTATAACCGGATTGTCCTTCGTTAAAATAGCTGGAGAGACGTAGACATCCCCCGATCCGCCGTCTCTTCCATTTACATCAGCACCGTAAGGCCCTTTTCGTCACTACTCAATAGAACTCGGGTTCTTCATTGTACCGGCCCCCAAAGATCAATGGCCTAGGCGAAGATTCCTCCCAAGCACAATTTGTTCACTAAATCTGCTTTTTGCTTTAGCGTTCTTGCATCAACATCATCATATGAAACCCTATTGTACTTTGCAATCAATTGCCAAAAGTAGAAAATGGAAGCTATGACAAGATGCATATAAAGTAGAGGAAAATGAGGTTAAATGCAAATGGGAAAGTTCAAGACATGTTCGTACCATTGATCGCGATCCCACGAAATCCTATTTACTGCCTAGTTTTGGTCATGAATGACTGGTGGAAAATTCTCCTTCAAAATCCTGTTGATCTCGTAGTTGGATAGTGTACCGCTGGTCAAAGTACATTTACCTGGCTTAGCACCGCCGGAGGTCCCATCACCGTCTCTTGTGAAAGTACAACCTGGAGTAGTGTAACTAGGATCCGCCAATGCAAATGACCTTCCGTAAAATGCTAGACCCAAGGAAACCTTCTCAGGAGGGACTGAGTTCCGCCACAGAAGATCCAAACCTGATGATATTTCTTCCATTTGTTAGGGACATATCAGCAGTTTCTAAATAACTAGGTTGCTTACCAGTTTAACTTGTATGGGGGTAAAAATCCCATTTGTCCATTTGCTGGAGCCATCCCAGGTGCCATGGATATCATATGTCATAAAATTAAACCAGTCCACGTATTGGGCCATTCCTTTAACATCAAACCCTCTTAACTAGTTACCCTAGCATTTTGTGTTAGCCTATGATTTACTTTGATAAGTAGCCTAATCAAGAACTCACAATATGAATCTGAGAGTGCCACTGTTATCCCATATATGTTTCCCACAGCAGCTCTTAGCTCCTTTGAAAATTGGACGTAAGTTCTAAAACCATCTTCCGCGCCACCTATGCAAAATCAGTCGCGTTTACTTTATAAGTAACTATATAAAAGAGAGTAGGCTTCCTACCCCGATCAGCTACCGGGTATTCCCAATCTATATCAACTCTTGAAGTAGCCAATGTAACGTTAGCTTGCAGAGCTCCCAGAGCATGGACTTCAGCTTGAATCAGTGAGGGAATATAAACCAAAAAGCTACCTGAGCGCTTTGAGGTGTACTTACAGTCTTTAATTTGCTCGCACCCATTTGACAGCGCTTCCCACAAAATTCTTCCGTAGTACCACAAAACTTTCACTCGTATATCAGTGCCAGTTTCCATGATGGATGCCTATAAAATTTACTAAAATAAGGCTCACCCGAATTCTGAGCAACAAACATTGAGCGGACAATTTTCCAGTCCCTTCGGTGCGCATTCTAGATTGAATCATGATAAGTTAGTCAAGTCGGAGCAATGGATTTTCCAACGGTTATGACATGGGAAAACAAAACATGAGCTTCGAATCTGAGCATGACCTCTAGTCTGATATTTGGAGAAATATCGCCAGGGTGGTCGATTAAATGGTGGGTTCACTGATTCAGCGACTTACTGCCGCATTTTGATTTCGCATCACAAGAGAACAGACAATTTCTCTGGACCACAGAAATCAGGACCAAACCCACAATTGCCGTATTCACTACAGCAGCCTGCTTTTCATGGCTGGGATTTTGAGCAGGTGGCATCCGAAGAAGGCAGCGCAAGCAAAGCACTAGGTTTGCCAAAAATCAACGCAACCTCGCCAAACAGTGCCCTCTTAGTTTTCAAACACAATTCGGACTCAAAATCCGAATACCGATAGGCGGGATTGCCAGGATAAATAAAAGAGGCTTCCCAAACATCTCTTCAGAAGTCCAGCAGCAAGCAGCTTGCACCCGTGAAGCTGAGTGGGGAACATGATAACGATTTGCACATCTTTTCTGACTTCCAATATCTTAGGCGGGGACCTTGCGGCGCAGATGTCATGCAAGCCATGCAAGTCATAAACACTATTATTTGGAGCTTGTGGAAGAATGAATGCCAAAAATGTTTAACGATGTAGCCTGGAACGTCTAGTAGTTAACCCTCCGATTCAGGTTAAGTCGAATTATGAAATTGGACTCGAGGATTTTACTAGTTGCAGATTCCATGCACACGAAACATATGCTGTTTGGAGAACTTGCCCTAGGTAAGTTAGATGTTTCAACGAGTTTACAGTTAACTGGTTAAACTCGTCACTTTGCTAAAGGGCTTTTTCAGACGCGGTGCAGCAAGTTAGTGGTTCAGTTCGCAATGTCCACATCTCAAAGAATTGCGTCCCAGATTCCGGTGACTCTTTTCACTGTAACATTATTTGGAGGCGGAATTCAATTCTTTTCAAGAGATTAATCCAGATTCGTTTATACTAACTTGCTCAACTATTAATTATCTTGACAGTGACCAGCAATGCAACATCTATAATTTAAAATGTAGCTGTTGCAATATCTCTTTCATATTTGATTGTTTTCTTTTTTGCCTCTGATCTCATTTATGTATGTGATTCATCGTTCTCAATTAGTATATATATCAACAACATTCACACCAGTCTCATCATCTGTGTATGTAAATACACATAAATCTCTGTCAAATATCCTGTTTCATCTTCTCTGCTTTTTCTTTTCTTCTTGTTAGATTTCTGTGATATTTTCTATACTGTTTCATATGACACCACTCAACTCAAACATAAAAGACTAATTATTTCTCTCAATCATTGGAAAAGGGCTTATAATTCTCATTTTTTTTTTGACTTCCACACAACTTAGCTATTCCTTCATCCTGGGTATAAAAGATTGCGCCCATGAACTCCGAGGACATATTGAAACACGGGTAAAAGGTTATGGCATAGGTCAACTGGTAAGAGCAGAATTTGTAGTGTGTAATTAGTTACAATATTTGCCATGACTAAATGAGATGGGGAGGAAGATAAATGTTGCCCTTTTACGTCTGCACGAACTTGATAGACTTCTAAGTAGTGGCTATGACCACAGCGACATTAGTTATAAGAAGTTATAAGAGGGCAAATACGATCTACACAATATATACCTATAAGGCTCCGTTTGGGACTGTCAGTTGAAAAATGTGATTGGTAAGAGAGTGCAAATGCAATTCTTTCAATCTCCTTACCCTGTGACGCTGATAATTTCTGGGAAGCTGGAGCTGTTTCAGCGAATGGCCGAGAGTACTAGCCAAATTGACCTATGGTGCTAGGATAGATGGCTGAACAATGCGTTTCCCGACGATGTCCACTATAAGTATGACATCAATATGCGAATATAACTATATATATATGTTTCAAGAAGTGAATCATCTGGATTGCTTCCAACTTAACTGTTTGTTCCCCGTCAACCTACCGTGACAACCCGATCACCTTTTGGGATGATCGAGTTTGGGAAACGATGGGCAACTCCCTGTTTATTTTCCTCAAGATGTAGGAAATTGTCAAGAGGTTACAGAGTGTCGACTCCACGATTGCAACCAGAAAACTACAGATTTGGGCTTGTAGTCATATGCGAAGCAGCAATCAGACAAGATATAGTGGAATAACTTAGGGGTTAGTTACTCCAAGAAGAAAGCGTCGGGAAAATAAGAATCCATCCGCTTCCTACTGGAGTTTCCTTGGATACGATAGTTAGTTAGTTAATGGCAAGAGTCTTCCCGCCATTAGTCATCCCACATATTGAAATAGACGGAAATGACGCAATGGGTAACTATGAATTTCTTCCTTCGCTTTCCAATGCGATGGTCAGCTAATTTCGTTTCTCCACCAAAATTACATAAAAAGCAGAAAACTAGTTACCAAACTGGGGGAATTGATGGACGCGTTCCCGCTGGTTGGGGAAAATGGCAGGTACGTTCCTCTGCTCGTCATATATGTAACTTGTATTTGTTTTCCTGCTCATAAAGTTCAACAAAATCTACAGATAATTAGTTATGCCTACTTGATAATGGGTAGGGATAATTGCGAGTCCCTTGTGTTTTCCCGTCTTTTTTCTTACCCTTTTTTTTTTCTTATCCTTTTTTTTATTTTCTTTGTTTACTTTTTGTGGAGAAACTAGAGCTTATTTCTATGATTCTGCAGCTCTGGCCCTGATCAAGAATGACAGGAATACTGGCATGGCTTTTGGCATGGCTTTCCCGCCAATGCCATCCGTAAAGGGAGCCGATCATAATTATTATACTCTTGGTGGAACGAACTATTCAGAGACTTGTTCGTGAGCATGGCAATTCGCAGCATCCGCCGGAGATGGACTGGGAAAGAACGTGAGTTGGAACGATAGATACATCAGCTCTTCAATCAACAGATATTAGGATTATCGCTAAAGGTTATTGTTTACTACTCTGCGCAAAAGCTTCAGAGAAACGATGTTATCATTCATGGTAGGAGTCCTGTTTGAGAGCGCAAAAAAGATGATTGAAAAGCAATATTGACGTCATTTTTTGTTGTAAAGCCGACCACCTTTCTTGTTTTCCATTTCTTACCTATTGATTTATTTAATTTCTTCCATATTTTGGGAGGATGCTGATGTTTAGTTACCTCACAGCTGAACTCTTCCACGATTTTTCTTAAATTATCACTTTTAGAAACAGTAAATAACATTTTCAGATGTCATCTAATCAATGAGGCACTAGTTAGCTGGATTCTCTCACATATGAGCTAAGCCCGTTGAGAATGGAAATCGGCAATGTCAAGAAAATATTTAACTGAACCACGATTTAAAGATCCTTCCGCCACGAAACTGCCCGAAGCATCCCGCCGCCGAAAGACGGAAAAAAATATACCTGTCAAGTCCATTCGTGCGACCTCTAAAGGTCATGATGTTATTTATTCTTCACCGGGTTCTAGAAGTTGCTGGACACTGAAATCGAAGTTGGTCAATCTTGTAAGGCTGGGCAAAATTCATGGCACTGTCTGGAGAGTGTCTCTAAAATAAAATTTGAGGCTTAACTTAGAATTTAACTACTTTTCTCACCTGGACAAAGCAGTGGCCACAAATTTTATCTATCAGGAAGATTGACGCCTGTTTTGGAACTGGTTGCTGAGGCGGCGCATCCACTTAATGACAAGCACATCCCATTAGATTTCCAAAGTTATTATTATACCCGAGTTGTTTTCAATGTCTTGAATGTTAAACTCTACGGTAAACCGGGTGGCATCACTGTATGCACGCGAGTGAGGTTTCCAAGCCCGCAACAGGATTTCTACCCGCGAAAGCGTGCAAGCCTAGCTTGGAGATGAAGTGTAACTAGTTAAGCAAATTTTATAAACTAGTTAGTTGACTAGTTGGTTAGTTAGTTAGTTACCGCAACTGAATAGTGATTGTTGCTTTTTTGACACCGCTATTTCACCTTCGATCTACAGTTATTCCTTTTCTTCTGAAAATGGCCACTCTCAACCAAGGCAAAAAAGTAAATTCTGGATGTGCCACACTCATATAAGAGGCGATTGGTCCAACCTCATACGTGGTCACATCCAGATGTACCTCATGGTATGTGCACGTGCACGTACAGTAATCGACATCGACATTCGCGTCGGATGCATGTGATGCGGTCGGGGCAAACAAACCAAGATAGGACCCACGTTTTCATCCCCAGTGTGTTTATGGAGTTGCCGCGAATCAACGATTGATTTGTCAGTTCTTGATGGAAGGATGTATGTTAGATTGATGAACTTGAGCCCAACCCATCCCGCTTCCACTTCCACTTCCACTTCCAGTGCGTGACGCATGTGGGCTGTAACTGCAGTTAAATTCGTCACTTTTCAGATCACCAAAGGAAGATAAGTCCATTGAAGAGAAATCATAAATAATCTAATAACTTGACAACCTCGTATGCAAATCCAATAAAATTGAAAGACTTGGCTCAGCTAGCTGCTGGCTTTTAATTGAAGGTCTTTCCGGCTTCTGAATTAAAGAATTGCGTCTGTTTAGTGTTTTGCGTTGTATATAGAAAGGCTATTTTAACAGCGGAAGAAGAAATAACTAGAGCTGCCAGAAATCTGAAAGCTGAATAAACTAAGAAGAAAGGTAGAATTTAAGTAACTCAACTTCAAGACATGGGCCTTATTCTACAGGATATGTATATCTGAACACAATGTTAGAGAATGTACACAGATCCAAAGATTAGATTTATATTTAGTATTAAAATATTCAACAGTGATACTTACTTGAATTTTTTATTTTATTTTTATTTTTTATTTTATTTTATTTTATTTTTTTCACGTGATTGAATTAGCTAGATGAGAGAGGTGATGTGAAAGATGATCTGATCTCAAAAGATGATCATCAGTCTTAATTGCATTAATAACAGATAGTTGAGGACTTGCTGCAGATTTTCATCAATATGTTCATTATATTTCTTGCTTAGATTAAAAGTATATTTGTTTGAGAGATTTATTTGTTAACTGCCTCTTTTTTTCTCTTTTTTTCTTTTCTTTTCTTTTCTTATTTTTTTTTTTTTTTTTTGCATCCGATATCGGGGTGAATCGAACAAGAGAGTACTATCGATTTCTCCTATTGAAGACATTTACTCGGCCCTTTTAACATTGATAAGAATATATGGGTTACTCGCCAGTGCATTGTTCCACATGTGACACATTCCTGTCTTCCTTTCCACGAAAACTTACCCGGAGTCAAAAAGATCTTGGATGAATCCGTGGATATAAAGTAATATTGTTTCTCGCACACTTCTCACTTCGTGGAGGGCCAGATAGGGAAATTTATGGGTCCATGAGTACCTTGCAAGCTTGGATTCCGGTGGACTAATTCTCTGCTTTTGGTAAAAATGATTTGGCACCATCCCTCCGGGAATCGGAAGGGCCACACAGAATATCCCCATTTGAGTAGGATTTGAAGCTGGCCAAGTTGGAAGAAGGTAGTGGGGGAAAGTGTGGAGTTGGCTTTCTCTAGTCTAGAGGAGGTAGGGAGATATTCTTAGCATCTGCGGAGAAGCTGACTACAAGGATGGGTCTATAAATGGTACCATAGCATTCTGAAGATGGTCATTGGGTGGTGTCTGTAAACACACAAACTTCTTATTGAACCTTGTTGAAACTAAGAAGCTATCTGGATTTCTGTAAACAACTTCTAGAAAAGAAAAGAAAAAGTTATGATTTCTGTTCCTGGCACAGATCAACTCGGGCCATACCTATTCTGTCCCAGTGGCGCTAATCCCACTCAGAGACAGCAGGATAGGCTCTCCCTTGTCCTTGGGTCTCAACCTTCTCTGTTCCGCGGGTTCAAGAAAATCCATACATCATTGATTTTCAGATCGGCACCGGAATAATACCGAACACATTCCGAGTGAGCATCAGAGATGAAACAGGCAAAAGTTAGTGGACGCTAACGTGGGAGGATAAAAATAGAAACATAACATGGATTTAAACTGCAAGTAAAATGAGCCCTATACCGGAATAGGAAAGATCCCATGTCCGTCACCCATCAACACCCTCTCGACTCTTTGACTGATTATAACGGAGTATTTGGGGACTATTTTTCGAGAAAACTTAACATGTCCTTTTCTTCCAGTTTGGAAATTTGCTTAGTTCTACGCGGGTGAATTTGTCCCGCGGGCAACCGTCGTGCCACGCAAGGGATTATTTGGCAGCCTGGTTCGAACCAAACCACTGGCAGCCAGGGGAAGAACTGCGTGACATGTTAGTACACTATTGCCACGACCACACCTTGCGGTCCAACATCCTGGGTGGGTTCAGTGGGCTGATACATTCATCATTCGCTCCCCAATGAACAGTTAGTAATTGCGTAGGAGTGATTGGTGCAATCCACACGCACCTTCACACAGCCCGCACACAGCCTGCAACTGCAGTTGTTTGCCGAGGCTCCCCACCCGCTAGACCATAAGAAGGGATAAGCAGATTCTCACGTAAGCGGATCTCGGCCAATCAGGCGGCGTGCCTGCTTCCCCAATCCCCCACTGCTGAGTTGCTGACTTGGACTTTAAGTCCGTGCACCTTCCTGATCTGTCCTTTCCCCTTTTCCCCCTTCGCTCGTCCGCCCTTTCCTAATTCCCACTTCTCGCTCTCTCCCTTTATATTTTTTCTATCTTTAGAACGCCGGCGTCTGCCAGCCTCCACCTAACCACTGACATCGTCCACACCACCACAGGCACCAACAGCTGTCACTGACGACGGCCTATGCTTCTCCTATACCACCAACTCAAACAACCAACCTCAAACGCCCATCTTTAGCTAGCTAGCTAAACCCACTCCTCCGTTTTTCGAGTTCTTCAACCGTACGAAACCCACTTTCCTGCACGTACTTTTTGTTCTTTTTCTGCTCGTTCTCACCACATCAACCCGCTCATCAACACCAACCACTACTTCCACCTAACAACACACTATCACTTGTCACCTCTCCAATACTCTGCGACTATAGCGTGTCTGGTACTTAGTCTGACCTTGGCTGCTGCAGTTGTTGTTAGTGAGAGCATTCCAAGTCACTAACCCTTTGATCTCTTTGTCCTTCCAGCGGGCGCCAGGGTTTCGTCAATCGCCTCAAAATAACAACACTACAGCCATCAGAAAACTACAGATTTTCTCCACCTCACCCTTCTCTCACCCAATATACATACATCTTCTTCCCTCCATCTAATCATCTTTACCTCGATTCAGTCCCCAAGGCCAAAGCTCAACTGCCCTGTCTCGCGCCGTTGCTGCTGCGACTGCTGTTTTTCTATGTTCCTGACTGCCAACTGGGCAGCCCACGCTCCCCCGGATTCGTCTTAGCAAAGCTCATAGCTTTGTCTCCCGTAGGCGCGCATTACCGTCTCAACAATGGGTCGACGAAAGATCGAAATTAAGGCCATCACTGATGATCGAAATCGCTCCGTGTAAGTGTCCTTGGGTTTGGACTTGCATTCCTTCTCTTTCTTCCTCTTCTTTCTGTCCCTCGACGCGCATATAAACAAAACAACTAACTTTGCGTCGCGCTATTACGATGAAAATAGAACCTTCCTCAAGCGCAAGGGTGGTCTCTTCAAGAAGGCACACGAGTTGTCAGTCCTTTGTTCTGTAGACGTTGCCGTCATTATATTTGGTCATAATAAGAAATTATACGAGTTCTCCTCGGGCGATATCAATGAGACTCTTGGACGATACCAATATGTGTGTTGCGCTCCATCACACCTGCTCTCCCCTTTCTCATCTTCCATTGTAGGTCTTTTGCTAACCTATATCATTCAATTCAGTATGGCCAACCACACGAGCATAAAGGACCTGCTGATTTTCCCGGAAAACAAAGCATGGATGACGATGATGAGGATGAATCCCTTCCCGAGGAAGCCCCTCCCAAGACTCACAAGACAGTCCCCCAACAGATCCAAAACCAACCCACCTTCCAACATGTCAACCATCAGCCTTCCGCATCCCCGCCAATGCCTAATGGCGTTTTCAATCCTCGACGCGGAACTCCGCAGCCAGTCATCTCGCGGCCGCCATCGAGAAACAACCTCCAGCGGGTCGGTTCGGGGCTAGTTCCACAGCAGCAGCGTCACCATGCAACCCCACCACCTGCTCAAAACGGTTTTACATATATGCCAAACCCTTCCATGTATAACCCACAAACGAACCCAAATATGCCCCAGCAGACCCCCCGACAGGGCCAATATCCCTATCATGCCATGCCACAACACCAGCCAGTTCCGCAACCGACACCGCAACCGCCGGTTCAGCATCACCCTCACCCTCATCCTCACCATACCCAGCAACGTCCTCATCCTCTACCAGTGCAGCACCCACACCAATCTCAACCGCAACCACAACCGCCACGAAATCACACTCCACAACCCCCTCATCAGCCCATGGGCCAGCCCGCGCAGCAATACATACGCGAGCAGCAAAAGCGACAGTCTGTTTCGGTGCCACCGGCATTTCCCCTTCCAGAACGACCCGTACATTCACGATCACCATCCCAACAACAACCGCAACCGCAACCCAAAACGGAACAAACCCAAACTCCACCTCCCAAGCCTTTACCATCAAAATCGCGAAGCATCTTCACCCCAATTGATGATCGCGGTTCCGTACTTGCGCAGCATTTTGGATTTGGTCCGCAATCTTCCTCTCCAAAGACCGATTCTCCCCCCAAACCTGAACAGGAACCTACCGATTCAACAACTAACCATTCCGTACCCCTTGCTCCACCTCCTGCAAGGTCTGCAACTCTACCTGCCCACTCCCAAGGCATGCACTCCCTCTCCTCGATCCCCGATACCTCCTCGATCTCCCGCTCAAACAGTCTCCAAATGGGCGCCAAACGCCCACGCCTGAAAGTTCAGATCCCAAGCGAAAATTCAGATGCAGACAGCGCCACTGCAGATTCATCCCCTCGAGAATCAACAGGAAACACAGCAGCCACCCCCGCCCGAGGCAGCGCAGATACAGGACACTCCGGTGTTGTTCTCCCCCCACCCTCCCCATCCACAACCACACTTCTAAGCGCAGGTGCCCAAGGCCCGCCAAACCCATTTGCCCGCCCTCCACCTCCAGCCGTAACGGCTTCTCAAAATAACCCGGCATACCCCAGCAACAATACCAACAGCAACAACAGCAACAACAGCAATGGCATCAATAGCAGCAACAATAATGGCAATGCCATCGACACACCCATTTCCGCGCTCCCCAGCCGCTTTGTATCAGATAACTTGCTTCCATCGCCATCCAGCTTTTATCCCGAATGGGGCTTTGGGAGATCAGGGCCCGATAGTAATGTGTTACCAAGTCCATTGACGTTTCCTACGCCTGTTGTGCAGAGTGGGCCTGGTTTTGCGACTGTTGGTGTTGACGTTGGTTCTAGTGGTTTGAAGGAAGTTGAGGATGGGGGTTTGATGGAGAGGAAGAGGAAGAGTTCTGAGGGTGTTGGTGTTGGTGTTGCTGAGGGCATTGCGACGGGGGGAAAGAGGTTGAAGGTAGAGTGATTTGTAGGTTGGTGGATGGAGTGGCGGGATGTTTTGGCTTTTTTATTTTTTTTATTTTATTTTATATTTTTATATTTATTTATTTATTTTTTGGTTTGGGTTTATTCATTGACTGGTTGGTTTCTCTTCTCCTCTCAGAACAGTTTATTTTGACACTTTGTCTTTTCTTCCTTTTCTTCATTTTTAACCTTCTCATTCTTCGTTTGTTTGTTTTCATATATCCACTGGTTTACACACGATGTCTAGTGTTGAATTTTTGTTTTCTCTATCTGCTTTTGGTTTTAATTACTTTTTCCTATTGTGTACGATGTGATGAGATGTGTGTAGCTGACTGATTTGTTTTTGAAGTTGATTCCCAAGCACCACATTTGTTTTATGCCTATATTTTACATCGTTATTTGGTATTCTTCCTGCTTTGTTCTCTTTTGAAGCTAGTTGATGGTAAGACGTAAATGCTATTTACTAAAACGGGTATACACATGCGTGTTTTCTGTTAATGTTCTTTTGTTCTTTTTAGAACTTTAGCTTATATACTTCCTACCAAAGTTGGCGGATTTAGGGAGAGGATGTATATGAATGGAGAGTGAAACTACGAGAAAGAAGTGAAGACGTTTCAAGATTGCGAGTCAAGTTGCTTTTTAAAATTATCTATCTCTACTCTTTCAATCTGATCATGTCTTGTTCAGTCAGTCTTGTCTCCTTTTTACCTCTCTACATCGTCATCCTCTTCCCATACATATTACACATACCAGCCCACCGTTCACACAGACGAAGCTCAGAAGAAATTCAACGTAGATTCGGATATCGTAGTGAAGAATCAGTCTTTTTAAAACCCACCGCTTCCTTATCTAGTTAATAATGGGACGTGAAACAATCCCAACGGGTTCTATCTATCTGGGGTCAACTCAATTCGTCGCACATCAGTCCTAGTAGTTGCTGTCAAAGTGAAAGGATCATCTTTTTAACTTTAAGCTTTTAACTTATGGGGGAAGCTAACCCTCTTTCGGCCCCTTGCACGTTTCAGCCCCGCAGCCCCAGCTCCGCATGGCATTTGACGGGGCGGGACGGGGATTGGACCCTGCGACATCCTGGCGACATCCATGGATATATCTGAATGCTGTGTGTGGCTGACTGGCTGGCTGGCTGGCTAGCTGGCTCTGGATTGCATGGCGTTTATGCTCTTGATATAGGTATCCATAGAAAAGTAAGCATCAAGTGTCGGGTTTGGCAGTTTCTGGGATACAACCTCTCACTACTTGTTAGAGCGGTTGATACGGTGTTGCTGTTTCCACGTGGAGACGAAAGGTGGAGGAGAGGGGGCAAAGGCATGTCATATGCACTATAGGAGAGCTCTCTGGGATCTATTATAAGGTATCTTGAATCCGGTGGTTGATTACAATATCCTTATAATATACAAAAAGAAGTCCTCTATTATTAACCTGATGATATCAGCCTATATAGTTAAAAGAGGGCCGGGGAAATGTGTGTGCTTTCTATTACAGTCTCCGTTGGCCTTCTCCGCAACTCCATGTTCCGTCCAACCCCTCTCTAACTCTCACGGCAATCACCTCGCACTCCAGTGAAAAACAGACAACCCATGCCACAATTAGAATGTCTTTCTCAGCACCTATATTTTAACTCCTAACTAAACCTCAACCAGCCAGATATACACAATGGATTCACCCTGCCGCAATCGGCATTGCCGTTGCTTACTGCCAGGATCAGCTTCATGCGTACAAGTCACAGCTTAGTAATGTGGGGTAGTAATTTCTATTTCTTGGAAGGACCTGGGGATATCTCCGTGCCGCGGAGTCGATGACGACCGATGAGACAATGAAGCTTCCAGGCCGTTTCTGGATCGGCTTATCCCAGCAGGAGACTCTTTCGAGAACGTTGGATATAGCTGGGGAACTCGCCAGATATGCACATATATGCATGCCAGACCACCAATGGGAGAGCGTCATATGATGCATCGGAAAATGCACACTGGTTGGATTCGAAGCGATTTTCATCAGCGTATGGTAGCGTCGGTATTGAAGTTCGTGGATACCCGTCCTCCCCGAAAACTGCTGCGTAGAATCAGCCGCTTCTGCATATGTAGAAGGTTTCTCCAAGTCAACACCCGGTTTCCTTCAGATACCCCCTTCACATCTCTACAGTCAAATCATTGCCCCCCCCCCCCCCCCCCGGGCGAACCCAAATATTTCGAGAGACTGCGGAACCATCTTCAGTTGACTGGGAATCAGATCCTGTCTCGGGCATCGGTAATAGCCCTAGTATTTGTCCTGGAAGGCGCATCTTCACTGGATATCGAGGGTTTCCTTCATTACCAACACTTGGACAGTGTGTTCCAGCACCCCAAAGGCAATAGAATGGGAGGCAAGCGACTTCCAATAGATCGTTGACACTCGCATTTATCAATCTCTCGAAACACCGTCCCATTTTCGTCCTCTCCCCGTATACAAGGGACTAATCTGAATAGTTGGTAGATGGTTCTTTGGATTCGCGTCGGGGTCGGCGAAAGCAGCATCGTCGGAGTTTGCGGGAGAGGTTTGTTTTTCTTGGAAGCAGTAGGTGAGGCTTGAATTGCTTCCAAGCAGTCCTTCAATGTTTTCCACGGCTGGATAATTGACAGTCAATCCATTGGGCCCCTGTACAGTGAAGTCTTGCTGGCTTATACTTTTGGACTGGAGGTGCGTCCTGGGGAATCGACCCTCTTTTACCTGGACTATTACGATTAGATTCCTCTTCAATTTGGTATTCAAAAATATTACCAATTGTATAGACTTTGCCGCATCTGCATCTTTCATCGTCGAATGGTGCAGCTTCTTCATCTAATTCAGGAATTGTTGTGTGACATCCTTGTGCACCGCTGCATCCAATGGACACAGCTTGTAAATGCCACCAAGCTGGTCAAAAGAGCTTTGGGTCTTCCAATAGTCCTGTAATTCTATCGAGATGGCTTTTTAAGTTATATAACTTGCGCTCTTTGGTATCAAGAACGTCCTCCGTTCTGAGTCTATATGTGCGCTGGATACGAACTAGTTCCGACAATGTTGATTTCATGATATCAGTATCACTTCTGCTTTTTCCTCGCGTACTCGTGGAACTCAATAGCTACCTCTGATAATACAGCTGCGCCATTGGCATCCAGTCGGGGCCTGCCGGCTCTCCTGGAAGCATGAAATCGGCTGGGAATATTGGGAATATTCGTCTGTGCCCCGTGTGGTGTTGAATTGTTGGGACTGTTTGTTCATGAACAGAGATGTTGTCCCAAAGTGGTACTATCAAGTCTGTATGACGATTATTAATGCTATCTTGATCAAAACTGTGTTATCGATGTTCCAACAGTAGTACTAGGAGATGGATATGCAGGGTCTGGCATATACCCAAAACTACCTAGGAACCTAATAGGTATTTAGGATTGTCAATGGTCGAGACTCCTTTGGGAAGTTCGTGATCTAAAAGTTTTACAACCTGTGTCTAGCCATCCGCAATAGAAACACGAGGAATGGTGAGGCAGGTTGCCGGACCATCGGATGCTCATCGTATCCGTATGAGCGGAGATCAGGGCTAGTGATAGAAATCATTTCACATCTAGGTGTTTGAGCGGACAAAGGCCCACCAATTTGGAAGACCTCGACTTGGGGCTCAACCATAACCGTTTCGTGGAAATATTTTTGACATTTTAGCTTTACCTACTCTGATATGATGCAGCAGGGGATGCTCAACTCAATGGTTTTGCTCCTTCGCATGCACCGTATATGCAGAAATAGCAAATGAACTATCAATCTATGGCTGGATGACTCAAGGTCACTAACAACAATGAAAAAAATCGGCATCCCTTAACCCCAACTTGTTGAACCTGGATCTGAGAAAGTGAAGTACCAGGTTAGCACTGGTACTTGCTGTCATCAAATGTGGTTCAGTGAGCAGATTTTAACCATATCAAAACCTTATGTTGTTTATATAATTAATTAAGCCAACAACGTCTCTATCAAGCGTCAAGGTGGAAAGGTGGAGTAGAGGGCTACGAAAATCTTCTTTGATCTGACTGTCACGTTACATCTCCGGCAGTAACATGGGAGCCACCACGGTGGGTATGTTTGTAAGTCGACGAGGAATTCATTTTCAAAAGTTGCAGGCGGTCCAACACAAATAGGTGAATGGACCACTCTCGCTGAGGTACTCTGCAAGTATAGCATCGTATAATCTTCCGTACGACTTCCTTAGATACGACTTGTTGTAGTGTCATCCAGTAGCCGAAATAAGAATTGTATGAAACAAAGAATCCCCGATGGGTTCAAGAGTTGCACAACCTGGAGATAGCGTGAGTTGGCTGCTTCGGGCTCTGTCTTGGATTGACATGAGCCAATAAGTTCAAGTTGGGGTCTCCAATTGAAAAGGGGTCAAGATGGTTGATCCTGGATGCCAAATTGATTGCCGCAAGAGATAGTTTCCAAGTAGCTGTGGCCCTGGTGGTGGCGTGATGGTCTGCTGGCGCCCCTCATCTTTGACGTCTTCGTAGTATCAGGGCATACCTGATACTCCTCTGGACCTCTCAAGGCAGAATGAAACGTAGTCCACGGTCTGCTATGAGAGATCCTGGACTTGCCTGTCTCCTGGGAGATGACGATAGAAAGAGGTGAAAAATTGTTACCAATAGGCCAAAGAAGAAGACCAAATGAGCGCACCGAATATATGCCGACATCAAAACGTGGAACACTATTCTATCCTTTGAGGTCAGGGTCCGCACGTTTGCACCCTTCCACCCATCGGACCAGAGATTCTTCTAACAACAACCTTAGTTAACGAGTCGCATCCAGTTCGGATTTTGAGGAAGCGAGAAGTAATAGCTTTTAGCCGTAGTGTATGTCAAAGCATACTCAGGCATTGATCAGCCTGAACTGATTTTCCGATGTTGAATCATCCAGTTGTGCCCGCGTGGTTTAGTGGCAGTTAAAGCGTATCACTAGTAGCGTAATGATAAGATCCCCAGTTCGGTTCTGAGCGTGGGCAAGACAATCTTTCCGGGGCCATGATTATCTGCTTTTGCTCCCCCCCCAAAAAAAATATATCCTGGGGGAAGAAATGCATACCTGATAAGGTCTGATATCTTTTTGGCCCCATGCAGCTATGGCCCACGAGGTAAGCACGATATTGCGGGATCGAGCATCGAATCGCCCAATGTTTGTCATCTGGGATTTTGAACGGGAACTGAAAGATGCCGAAGAAAGGGGGATTAAAGAAGAGGTATTTTGTGGCAGAAAGGGACCGGGTTCTCTGATAGGGCTGTGGTTCTGGTGATTCCAGGACCGGATCGCAACAGGAAAGGTTTCAGGAAACCGGTGATTCACATGCAATGGAAAAATAGTGAAGCATGGGTTGATTCCTTGTACTTGTACACATTGTGACTGTTCAAGAATATCTCTGGTTATGGATGTAACAGAAGAATTTCAGTTGAAGTTTCCATCATTATCACAGCGCGCAGTTAAACGAAACACACATACATGGACTAGCAGGTAACCCAGCGTTCCATTAGAACAATATACGCAAACACTACATACATCCATCTGTACCTTTAGCCACTCAATGAGCTCCCTCGCAGCACCCAGCCCACCTTCCATGTTCCATCCTCAGAGACCTTGGAACTCAACCCAAGTTTTCATCTTCGCTTTTACATGGTCCCCATACACAAGAGCACCGGTCCCACCACCACCGTCGATGTCATCATCGACTGACCTAACAGCACACTCCTCACCAGGCTCAAAGAAAAATGGCACGCTAAACCTGCCCATTCCAAGGCCCTGCTGCATCCCATCATCCGCACCGGGAGAAGGAGAAGACGCAGTTGCAGGCGGCGCACGGACACGATGCATCGTAGCCACAAACCTTCCACCAGACACTTTCGCCATTAAGTCGCCAATGTTCACAACGATGGATCCAGGAACGTACGGGGCGGCAATCCACTTCCCATCGGAATCTTGAACTTCTAGACCCCCCGTAGCATCCTGGTGGAGTAAAGTAAGAATTCCGCTGTCAGTATGGGGTGGACAGCACAGCTTTACCGTGTCGGAGTCGGAATCGGCATCTGGTGATGTCTCCTGCTGTAATATTGATGGGTTCAATTTGGGGTTTGCATTCGGTGGATAGTGCAGCAGCCGTAAGGTACTGAGTGAGTCTGTTAGGTATGGCGAGAAGAAATCCGCCTCTTTGTTCAGGGCAATTGCAAAGAGGGAAAGCAGAGTTGAGGCGAGAGACTGTAGTTCGCTGTGTAGTTGTTCGAGTTTGAAGCGGAAGGGGAATATTGTAGGTGCTAGCCAGACATTGGGTTCTGAGAGATTGACTTTCAGATTGCCGGGATTTGTGCTACCGTTGGATATTGATGACTGCGGACAGTGATGTTTCGGACCGATCTCAAAGCCCTCCTTCAGATTATCATTGGCCAGATCTGGCTGGGTGGGGAAGTATCTATTCGAATTAAAGCATTAATTATATACCACTCATCAGCTAATTAGAAGGCCCAGTTCATTTCATGCTAATTAAATAACCACGGTAAAATATGTGATGCGCGGATTACCCTCGATAAGTATTCAGATTGTCCTTGCAAAAGCTCCGCTTGGACAACTTCATCTTCTCCTCTATCGGGAGAGCAAAGAACTCCCTGGTAATGTCGAAAAGAGTTTCGTGATCAAAGTTCAAAGGATAATTTACCAGATAGGCAAATCCTGTTGTGACGAAGACGTCGTATAACTGGTTTGCCAAGCTCTTCTGTTCTTCCTTTCTCAGTCCATTGGGGTTCTTCAGAGGGGTCAGATCAACAATGGGCAAAGAGCAAAAGGTCGTGGCCATAGTTTATTGTCAATATACAAAGACAGGCGACAAGGGTTTCAGCCTTATGTAGTGTTATTGATATGACCTATTGTGAATCATGAATCTCAGCATAGAAGAGTGAAAACGCTTGACTTGCCACAAGTGCGAAGATGAGAACTGGCAGAAGTGCATACTGAAAAGGGTTCTGAGGAATTAGCAAGGAACGCGGACAGTGCCCTTGACATGGAGAAACATTTCGCCTATCAAATGTTTGGAATGCAAGTTTCAAGGTTACCTACCTCCAATTGGCCGTCATGTAGGGAGACCAATGGCAGGAGGAATCTCGAAGTCCCAAGTCCTTAATAATGGATATCATGATTGAATCACTATTTGTCCTGGTTACCTATAGCTTTGTATGATCCCATCCAGACATATTAATGAATAAAACACCCACAATCAGGACCATAACCAGATCAATATCATAAGATGAACATTCATCGAAAGAAAAGGCTTTTATCAACAGCCAGATATCACGTGACACAACTTCCATACTACCAAAAAGGGCAAAGCGCCCCTAACAACTTAGGGCTCGCTAAATCAGCCCATGCCGAATCGGTCCAACACGCACCAAACCAACCAACAACCAGCCGAAAAGGGACTTGGATTCGATTTCGATTTCAAAACGACAACGAGCAACGAGCAACGAGCAACGAACGCCGACCAACGATCCCGAACCCCCCCCCTTTCCTCGAAAAAGGGAAAGATAAAGAGAAGAAACAACACCCAACCCCCTTCCAACCGGGTTGCCGTCTTTTCAAGCCCTTTTCCCCCGTTCGATTTACAGAGTTTCGGTGGCCCGCCATGCCTTCCGATCACGGTCACAGACGTGAGTGGGATCTCTTTTTTATCTTTTAGATAGTGTGTTTGTGTGCGGTGGATTGGATATCGCGTCCATATGCTTGATACTACGGAATTTTTGTATTCTGGGGAGAGTTTGTTGTGTTGGATCGCAGTGTTTTTTCGTTGTGGTGTGCGGCTGGTGAACAGAGCGCCTGGGGTTGACTGGAGGAATCGTAATATTTACAAATTTATAACTGGTGAATTTGTGCGCTAACATAAATTTTTTGTTGAATTGATTCTAGTATATGTCAAGTAAGGCGATTCCTAAAATCAGTTCCCCCCCCCCCCCCCCCTCTGCATCGGCCAAATTGGATCCCTGGGAGTCCATCTGAAGTTGATATGGGGGCTTGGAGAAGAGATGGGATATATATGCAGATGCAGCATCGAAACATGCAGCAGAACTAATGGGATATTTACTTTAGGGGTCGGCATCTGAGCTACCAGCGTGGAAAGCGCGCCACAAACCCCAACACAAGGTACTATATACCGTTACCCCCTCGTTTTCTCCTGGGCTTCAACAATGATGTCCCGGGAGGTATGGTGGATTTGCCTAGCTAACAAGGTGTTATGTGTATAATATAGTCTTATCAAGCTTGAGGGCGTAGAAGACTCCAAAGGCCGCCAACTTCTACCTCGGAAAGAAAGTTGCGTTCGTCTACCGGGCCAAGCGCGAAGTTCAGGGTTCGAAGATTAGAGTCATCTGGGGCAAGGTCACACGGACACACGGTATGTCAACATATATATTTAATATATATATCGCGCTCTCAGAGTTGGGCTGCTGGGCACAGTTTCGGATTCGTGATATGCTAAAGGCGACGTTTACTCTTATCAGGCAACTCGGGTGTTGTCCGCGCTCAATTCAGACACAACCTCCCTCCCAAGACCTTTGGTGCCACTGTACGAGTGATGTTGTACCCTTCGTCCATCTAAGCGTTTGATTTCGCGACCGGGGTCGGTGTTTTCAAATCTTTCGTGTCTTGGTTGGTGGGGAAAGGCGGGTTTGGTTGTGGGATTATGTAGGAACTATCGAGGGAAAATATATGTGACTAAAACAGAAGAGAGCAGGCGGCAGGAGGGGTTCAATCGCTGCATCGCGAACCGGGGATAAACTTCTATGAGAGTGGAATGGCAGGAGAGAGGGCAGGCAAGAAGGGTACTGGGATATTTGGGCTCAAAACGGCCTATTGTCCTTTCTTCTAAACTTTCACCCCGGTCAGCGTCTGCGATCAATCGATAGATAAGGCGACTCGCCTTTTATTTTTTTCCTTGCTTGAAACGTGTTTTTTTATTTATTCTATTTATTTATTTTTATTTATTTTTTTCCCCCCCTTTTTCTCTTTTTGAACAAAGTTCAGACCCAAGACCCTTCAGGCCCCCCCCCCCACCACCCCACCCGGCTTTCTCTTTTGTTTGGTGGAAAAGAGGAGGCTTTATGTTTGTTCCTGCACGACATGGCAAGCTAGTTCCAGTATCTGACCCGATCAAAGCACCAAATGAACCTTCAAACCTCAAATACACATACCCTATCCAATCCATATAACAGTTGCTTCCATGATATACGTATATATTTTGCAGCTTCTTTGTTAGAACTGGTAAGATTAGGTCGAGGTCAATATAGATACTGTAAAGTACAGTCAGTGGTTGGATCCAACCTCAGACCTGATTGAAACCCAATTGAGTCAGTCTCCAAGTCTCTCTCCATTCGGAAAACGAACCGAGGCAGATCATGTGATGGGAAGGCTTCCGGCGTATATTACAGAGTAAATATCAAATAGAGTAGAATCAAGCTGAACCGTGCTCATTCATGTTCTTGGTTGTTATCCGTAGCCGGATGGACAATGAATAAATAATCCGGGAAAATACCCTGTCAAGAGACAGAGGAAGGTAGTTAACTTCCGGAGGAAAATGGATGCGTAATCTATCGCTGTCGTGTCCCGGGATTGGAGCCTGTAACTAGTTTAACGGGTCTGGGGCTGACATGACGTGGATTCCCACCCAAGAACTCGGAGAAAAGTGGTGGGTTCTGTCCCAGACGTTTGTTTCTGCGCTGCTTGGTCGAGTGTCCACAAAAGCCACCCGGATTTATGTAACTGTGTTCTGGTGCAACAACAACAACAACAACGTTTAACTCTATCATTCCTGGGCAACCATTCGGCGCATCGTTTCCAAGATCCCCGCCGGGCCTCAGGAAAATTCTCCATCGTACCCAAAAGACGTCCAGCCTGGCCCACTGGGTCAGTTATCTATTACCCACCTGTCTCTCCACATCCACCATCCATCATCCATAGTTCTCCACCATCTTCCACACTTCCACGCCCCAATATGCGTTCAATATCGTTGTTACCCGAAAGCTCACCATCAACGGTCCCACCCTGTTGACTGTCATCCCCGTTACTTAACTCGTTCTACTTTCTTGAATATATTATCTACCCTTTTTGCAATCCCCCCCTCCCCCCCCGGGGGGGGAAAAAATAAAAAGAAGGGTATTATATTTTTTTTTTTGTTTTGTTTTTGGGTTATTGTTGTTGTTTTGGTTTGTTGGGATGTACGTAGTTTTGGATAGAATTCAATTGGAAGCGGAGT